CCCCATGCTATGCCCTGGCTTCCCCATGCTCTTCCCTGGCCTCCCCATGCTATTCCCTGGCCTCCCCATGCTATTCCCTGGCCTCCCCATGCTATTCCCTGGCCTCCCCATGCTATACCCTGGCCTCTCCATGATATCCCCTGGCCTCCCCATGCTATCCCCTGGCCTCCCCATGCTCTTCCCTGGCCTCCCCATGCTATTCCCGGCCTCCCCATGCTATCCCCTGGCCTCCCCATGCTATTCCCTGGCCTCCCCATGCTATTCCCGGCCTCCCCATGCTATCCCCTGGCCTCCCCGTGCTATTCCCTGGCCTCCCTATGCTACACAGTGTAGTGTTCTAATCTAAACAGAACTGTATCAGTGTGCCCGTCATGCTTTTTAAAGGAGAGAGCTCAGCTTCCATCCTCTTTAGTGATTCCTCCACCCCATCCCTCCCTCCCTCCCTCCATCCCTCCACCGCATCCCTCCTCTCCTTTCCCTCCTTCATCCCTTGATAATGTATCTGCATCCCTCCCTAAAGGCCAGAGCTCGTAGTGTGACCTTGTCTTCCGTCAGGGAGGGCGTCCCATCTTGAGAGTATAAAGACATGCGTCCCAAATGGCACCCTATTCCCTATATGTACATTTTAGTCATTTTAGCAGACGGTCTTATCCAGAGCGACTTACAGTTAGTGAGTGCATACATTATTCATACTATATCCCTAAAACTCAACTCTGGACCTCGAAGCCAGTTCCACTGCATTTTTTTCATTGTTGCCCTCTAATCATGGACTGATTTAGACCTGGGACAACGGGTGTGTGCAATTAATTATCAGGTAGAACAGAAATCCAGCAGGCTCCGGACCTCATAAGGTAAGAGTTTAGTACCCCACCTGCCCTATATAGTGCATAGGGCTTTGGTCAAAAGTAGTGCACTATATAGGGAATAGGGCTTTGGTCAAAAGTAGTGCACTATATAGGGAATAGGGTGCCATTTCCTCTCTGTTTTAACACCCCTTTAATGTCATCAGTGAAATATGAGGTCATTAGGAGATATTAAAACACTGCTGACAAACTAATTAACAGGAGACATTAAACGGGGTGGGGGTTGATTAATCCGCTTTAATGATTCTTTTTAAGTGGTTCTGGTTTAAACTTAATACAGATTTACTGGGGATCTAACTGAAGACAAAACAGTAACACTGTGTGAAGGGTAGGGAGTCGAGAGGCCCTGAAGGGCAAGATAAAGTCATTGGCCTTTGACCCCCGTGTGTCCTCTCTCCTTCGGTCCCTTTTAGCTGAACTTCAAAGGCTCAAGGGGAACCAAAATGATTTCCAAACCATCCCAACACTCCTACATTTTGTTAGTGGTTCAGACTTTTGTGATGGAGATCATTAGAAATAGGCCTATTGTAAAGGCATTCAACAAAGGCTGGACACGCACACACAGGATGTTTTTTTAAGCCATATCTCAGACCTTCAAAGCACAATTATCTAATCCAACTCTATCAAAAAAACAGAGCCCTTTTATTTTGACCCAATAATTTACTGTTTGACCCAATAATCTATCTGATTGGTTCCAAAAACCCTTTTCTCATAATGTTGTGTTGGACTACTGAAATCTGGCTGTGGCATATGAGGCCTGGGTATTTATGTAGAAATGTCACCCTCTTGTGGAATAAAAACATAACAACAACTTGGGTGATCCGGAAATGATGTAAATATGACGTACATGAACAATACCAACCAATCAGCGTGTACGTTCCCCACGTCTCCCTCCACAACCAAGCTAGTTAGCTTTCTAGCTAAAGCATACGGAACCCGAAAAACCAAGGCGAACAACGCATTTTCTTTAATTTGTAAGCGTTTACTGATACAACAAACTCCATCAATAATCAGCGTTTGTTTACGGTTTGTAACGCGCGTGAAAACGTACCTCTCTATCGAGGGTAGCGTAGCATTACCTTGTATTTTTCACTGCACCGGTTTTATGTGAGCACAAAGGCCCACACAGCCTGCTGCTTCCAAGCATGTATCCTTGGGGTACTAACTACGGTGGTGGTGGCCATCAACCACCTTCGCAGCAGAACCTTGGTGCGCCTTCTCCTCAAGGCTATGGAGCCGCTACGCCCGCAGCTGCACCCGGGTCAACTTTCAACAGCCTGCGGGAGCAGCATCTCCAGCAGATGCAGCAACTCCAACAGCTCCACCAAAAACAGCTCCAATCTGTGCTGCACCACGACAGGAATGTAGATGCAAACCCCTATGGCGGCGGCGGTACTGCGGCCGAGTCGTGGCAAGGCAGTTCGGGATATGGGTATGGTTCCACGGGGCCCGGTGCCCCTTCCCCGTATCAGACCATGCAAGCCGGTCCGCCCGGCCCACAGCAACAACAGCTGCCGCCGCTACCACCACAGTCCCCGCAGTCCAAGGAGGCCCAGCCTCCCCTACCGGATTCGACTCTTCCGGTGCCCACTCAGAACAATGGTACTCCAGCAACTAAAGAGGTAAACAAGACAGAATCTTTGGCTCCGAAAGACCAGGCACATTCCTCTGCGTCGGAGGAGGAAAAGCCCGATTTTACGTCAATGTCGTTACAGGTAATATCTTAGATGTGTATTTCACATAGCAGCAGTAGGTCTCCTTTCCACAGCGCATTCAAAAGTACCGTACTTAATCTTAGGAATGACGAGAATGTAACGTATATGATTTGCAAGTACTCATTGCATCAATAAGTCGTTGTTTCTGCATGCTATTGTCATAGCCTGATCCCAGATCTGTTTGTGTTGTATGATTTATCAATGACCGTAGGAGTCGGCAAAACAACACAAACAGATCTGGGACCAGGCTAGTAGTATTGTTGGTTTGTAATTGTATTGTGATCATCTTCCTGCATGAGATAGGCCTACTTATTATTAAAACCCTACTTGTCTCTCAGAGCAGGGTTTTAACTATAACACAATAGTAGCTCTGTTTATTCCATCATATTTACAACAAGCAGGAAGGGAAATGGGGCCACACATCCTAACCAGCATGTCTAATATTGTCATGTTGATGTCATGTTTGTTGTTGTTGTCATCCAGGAACAGCAGCAGTACTGGTACAAGCAGCATCTCCAGAACCTGCAGAGGCTGAAAGCAGAGAAGGCCAAACAGGGCCAGGGTGATGGCCCTACACCCCCGCCTCCCAAATCCCAGCCCCACTCGGCAGCCGCCCCTCCCCCTCCATCGGAACCCCCTAAGAGCGCCCCTCCACCGCCCCCACCCAAAGAGGAGCCACCTCCACCACCTCCACCTGAGGACAAAACGGTAAGGAGAAGCCTGACTGTTTCAAACCTGACTGTTTCAAACCTGACTGTTTCAAGTCTGACTGTTTCAAGTCTGACTGTTTCAAACCTGACTGTTTCAAGTCTGAGATTAGTATTGTAGGTGAATATATTGGTCTGTGAGACATACCCCATTTCTGACAGACCATGTGGTATGTTACCTGTGACAAATTATTTAGTGGGATTTTTCTGTGTATGAAAGGAATAATGCTGACATTTATACAATCTTCTTCTGAGAATCTGAGAAGTTTTAAAATGTGGTTCCTTTGAAATGTCTTCAGAATGTAATCAGAATATGTAACAATTCAGTGATACAATTCAAAAATACAAATAATTGAATGGGGATGTAAATCAAGCTGTCTCACGCTACAGAAACAGGAGATAGACTCCTGCCCCTATGTGTCGTTCTGGCTGGGACAAGGCTAAAGGACTCTACACAAACGGACCGACGGAGCTCCATTTTCCTCGCTCTCTTCGTAGTTCTACGTACTTTTTATGCGGCTGAATATTTTGAACGGACCGTATACGACGATCTGTCTCTCTGTTTGCGTAGATTTTGTAGAGCCCTTAAACTCTCCAAGGCTTCCTTATTTACTTAGTTAGTTTGGGTTAACTTTACTACAAGATACTCCTCTCCCCCTGCAGCCTGCGCCCCCAGCCCAGGACCCAGCAGAGGAGGCCCGGCTGCAGAGAGGCCGACACCCTCATCTCTCTCTTCTCTCTCCCCCTGCAGCCTGCGCCCCCAGCCCAGGACCCAGCAGAGGCGGCCCGGCTGCAGCAGCTCCAGAGTGCAGCAGCTCAGTGGCAGCAGGCCCAGCAACAGAGAGCAGGCTACCAGTACCAAAGCCCCTGAGCAGCAATCATGACCAGTCTACAGAACCATACCCAACCAGTACCAGCAGTGTATCCAACAACCTGCACATCTAGAGGTAAGCAAGGTTCTACTGACACTGATTATTTACAGCATTTCTAACTATTCCTAGGTCTACAGCTAACTCGTCCTAGGTCTACTGCTACCAGTGCTAGGTCTGTTTCTAACTATCCATTAGGTCTGTTTCCTACTAGTCATAGGTCTGCTGTTTCTAAACTAGTCCTAGGTCTGTTTCCTAACTAGTCATAGGTCTGTTTCTTCAACTAGTCATAGGTCTGTTTCTAACTAGTCCTAGGTCTGTAATAGTCTAGGTCTGCTAACTAGTCATAGGTATCTACTAGTCATAGGTCTGTTTCTAACTAGTCATAGGTCTGTTTCTAACTAGTCATAGGTCTGTTTCTAACTAGTCTAGGTCTGTTTCTAACTAGTCATAGGTCTGTTTCTAACTAGTCCTAGGTCTGTTTCTAACTAGTCATAGGTCTGTTTCTAACTAGTCATAGGTCTGTTTCTAACTAGTCCTAGGTCTGTTTCTAACTAGTCATAGGTCTGTTTCTAACTAGTCATAGGTCTGTTTCTAACTAGTCATAGGTTTTCTAACTAGTCATAGGTCGTTTCTAACTAGTCATAGGTCTGTTTCTAACTAGTCATAGGTCTGTTTCTAACTAGTCATAGGTCTGTTTCTAACTAGTCCTAGGTCTACCGCTAACTAGTCCTAGGACTGTTTCTAACTAGTCCTAGGTCTGTTTCTAACTAGTCCTAGGTCTGTTTCTAACTAGTCCTAGGTCTGTTTCTAACTAGTCATAGGTCTGTTTCTAACTAGTCCTAGGTCTACTGCTAACTAGTCATAGGTCTACTGCTACCTAGTCATAGGTATGTTTCTAACTAGTCATAGGTCTGTTTCTAACTAGTCATAGGTCTGTTTCTAACTAGTCCTAGGTCTGTTTCTAACTAGTCATAGGTCTACTGCGAACTAGTCATAGGTCTGTTTCTAACTAGTCATAGGTCTGTTTCTAACTAGTCATAGGTCTGTTTCTAACTAGTCCTAGGTCTACCGCTAACTAGTCCTAGGTCTACCGCTAACTAGTCCTAGGACTGTTTCTAACTAGTCCTAGGTCTGTTTCTAACTAGTCCTAGGTCTGTTTCTAACTAGTCCTAGGTCTGTTTCTAACTAGTCCTAGGTCTGTTTCTAACTAGTCCTAGGTCTGTTTCTAACTAGTCCTAGGTCTGTTTCTAACTAGTCATAGGTCTGTTTCTAACTAGTCATAGGTATACTGCTTCCACCAGACTAGTTGTGCTACCTGTTTAGAATCCAACAGGTGTATACAAGGTTGTGGTCTGTTCAGCTAGTGTAATGCTAATAGCGATCAACTTTATTTGCACTGATAAAATACATTTTTTGAGTGAGCATAGAAAATATCATGGTAGCATGCTGTTTGCTCCTCACAAAGTGTGTGTTGTCTTTTTGCTGTCAGGGTATTTATAGTTTAGTTTTGAACGACGGACAGATGAAGCCTGCTCTATTCTCCTCGATGTCCCCCTCTGTAGACGATACCATGGACATGCAGCTTACATTTCCACATTTGTTTGGCCAATAAAGTTATTTTTTCTTCTAATTCTAATTCCCACCGGTGTAGACGATGGCTATAGGCATGCAGCTGAGTCACTATGAGAAGCAGCAGCAGCAGTTTGGGTCCGGTGTTTGCAGACTGGGGCCGGACCTTCAGCCTGTGGCAAGAGCAGTTCCAGTCGTATCCTCATAAGGATCAGCTGCAGGACTATGAGCTACAGTGGAAACAGTGGCAGGAGCAGATGAACTCCACCTCGGCACACCTACAGGTACAATACAGCTCTGGGGCCTGTTCAGTAGGAATGTTACAGGACGTTTAGATAGAAATGCACGGTGTAGAAGATCTGGTCATCTGTCACGTACAATAGGGACTAGTCAGCTCTAGTCGTTGCATTTTCCTTCTTTCTGCAGCGTTGTGAATGTTTTACGGTGCTGAATACACCCCAGCCAGGTTCATGTAAATGCACTGCTGATGTGGAAGAAAAAAAAAAAGGCTTCATAAATGTGATTGATTGATTTGCAGGAGAAGGTCGCCGCCCTGCGAGCCATGCAGCCACAGTATGGAGGCAGCAGCAACGGTGGTCAGTATGGCGCTGACCAGTACAGTGGTAGTGTCCAGTATGGTAGTGTAGGGTACGGGGACCAGTCCAGCCAATATGATCAGTACCCCCACTCTGGCCCGGACTCACAGACGCAACAAGGTCACATGGTGGGCCCGTCCCAGCCAGGTAGCCAGCCCTCATCCACCTCTGGACCCATGTCCCAGGGCCCTCGACCAGGGCAGCACGGCCCCTCCAACGCCCAACGCATGGGAACCCCCACAGGAGAACCACACCAAGGGCCTCGGGCAGCGCAGTACAACCTGTCTGGACCTCCAGGTAGAGGGGCAGGAGGGAGAGGGCTGGCCAGACCACCAGGTGCACCACCTGGACAGCCTCCACCAGGTGCACCACCAGGACGGCCTCCACCTTACCAAAGCCCCAGAGGATCAAGGTAACTTGTTTGTGTATTCATGACAATGATATTCAAACTGTGTGATTGTGTTTCACTGGGGGGGGCTACCCTCTTGACCAGGTTTCCCTTTGGGAGAGATTTTGTTTGTACCTGAATGTGACAACCTGGATAATAAGAGGATAAATAAATACAAATAATTGTGTCTTGGACAATAAAAATGTCCATATACAGGCTGTTCGGGTATTCATGTGATTTTCTTTCTTTCCCAGGTTTGATGGTCTGAGAGGGAACGGCCCACGGTTTGACCAGCAGCAGCAATCCGGTCAACAGCAGAGGTTTAATGCTCCATCTGGCCCCAGGTTCGACCAGCCTGGCCCCAGAGGACCAGGGTCCCGCTTCGACCAGCCCCCGAGACAGAGCCCCCCAGCCCGCTTCGAAAGACCCCCTGGTCCCTCAAGACCCCAGATAGGCCCACAGCCTAAACCGGACCCTGGCAAAGACACCAAACCACCGCAGGGTCAGACTGAGATGCTAGCGGGCTCCAAGCCTCCTGGTAATAAACCTACCGGGACAGCGAAACCAGGAGCAGAACCGGAGGATATGTCAGAGGACATGTTGGGCTCGCTGGACGGCTTCTTTGTCCAAAACGACCCCATCCCTCAGACGAAGGCGGAGGCTGACGCTGCTGCTGCTAGTAAGGGATCCACCGCCAACAGGGAGAAGGGGAGCCCTACAGGTCCTGCCGGTGCCGAGCCCCAGGTGTTCACCGCCGCCTCTGTGTCCCCGAAAACCGCATCCCCCGCTTTCAAACCAGGTGGACCGGACGGGCCGTTGAAGAATAACGTCAATGACAACAACGGGCCTCCGGGACCACCGGGGCTGATGCCCCACGGACCGGAGCCTTCGAAGACAGACCCAATGACCAACCAACCTCCTGGTCCTCCGGGGCCCATGGGGCGTGGTAGAGGGGGACATGGCCAGCCACTAGGGCCTGTCAGAGGGAGGGGTGGTGGAGGAAGAGGGGAGATGGATGGAGGAATGAGGGGAGGTAGAGGAAGAGGGGAGATGGATGGAGGAATGAGGGGAGGAAGAGGGGAGATGGATGGAGGAATGAGGGGAGGTAGAGGAAGAGGGGAGAGAGAGAAGGGGAGGAGGAAGAGGGAGGGGGGAATAGGAGTAGAGGAAGAGGGGAGATGGACGGAGGAATGAGGGGAGGTAGAGGAAGAGGGGAGATGGACGGAGGAATGAGGGGAGGTAGAGGAAGAGGGGAGATGGATGGAGGAATGAGGGGAGGTAGAGGAAGAGGGGAGATGGATGGAGGAATGCGGGGGCGAGGAGGAAGAGGTGGTCTGAGGGGACGTGGAGGAAAACAGCCCGGTATCCCAGACTTCAGTCCCAACACTATCCCCCTGGGAGGTGGGAGGACGGAGGACGACATGGAGGGGGTTCCTTATGACTACAGACCTCCACATGAAGAGATGAGATCACAACATGGACGACAGGAGGAAGACTGGCAGGAGTGGCAACAGGACCCTCCACTGGAGAAACCTAGAGGGCCTCCCCTGCCTGAAGAGGAGATCTGGGTCCCTGAAGAGCACCACTACCCTCCAGAGGACTACTACGAAGACCCAGGGAGAGGAGGTCCCCCTATGGGGAGAGGAGAGCCTCTAGACGGGCACCACTGGGAGGAAGCAGACCCCCCACCTCCAGAGTACTGGGGAGAGGAAGGAGGAGATCCATACTGGATGGACCGGAGGCCCCCTCCTCATGGCATAAGAGGAGGCCCCAGAGCCCCCTTCCTCCCTGGGCGTGGTCGCCCTCCACGCGGCCGACCCGGCTTCATGCACCAGGGGGGTCCCAGACGCCCCCTTCCGCCTCCTCACGGAGCCATGGACCCCCATGACCCTCTGGGGTCCCCCATGGAGCCTCACGATGACATGGACCCTCTGGGACCCCCCCTGCATCGAGACTACAACCCCCGCGGGCTGCCCACGCACCACGATATAATGGAGAGAGACATAAGGGGGCGTCCGCCTCCACCTAGAGAGATGATGGACAGAGATCTGATGGGGCCTGGTGGTCAGCCTCCATACCACGACATGGAGAGGGGCCCTGGATGGCCCCCGGTCCCAGGACAACCCCCCCACCACGGCAGAGATGGGACAAGAGGTCCCCCTCTGCCTCCCAATGAGATTATGATGGAGCGGGGAGGGATGAGGAGGCGTCCGATGGGCAGGGGCCGGGGCATGATGCGGCAACCACCTCACCCACACGAGGAGATGGAGGGGTACCCCCACGATGGGTACGAGGGGGAGTTTGGTGGTCCTGGTGATGACGGGTATGGAAGACCGCTGCCACCACGTGACTGGCCGGACCGCCCCCCACATGAGTATGAGCGTGAGGAGGAGTATTATCCCCATGAGCAGCCTCCTCGTGGTGGGGAGTGGGACAGGGAGAGAGGACCACTACCAGAGAGGGACTATCCTCCCTACCCTCCCCGTGGCCCTCCTCCAGACCGCTTCAGAGAGGATGAGTGGACCGCTGAAGGAGACAGAGATCGTCCTCCGTACCCCTACGAGGGAGACAGAGATCGTCCTCCGTACCCCTACGAGGGAGACAGAGACCGTCCTCCGTACCCCTACGAGGGAGACGAGCGCGGAAGAGGAGGCAAGCTCCAAAGTCTCGACTACCCAGGCGACCCTCCTTACAGGCACAATGAACCCCCCTACCTGCCCCCTCCAGTGTGGGAGAGACCCAGACCACCCTTTCCGGAGAGAAACTACCCCCCAGACTTTGAGGACCGTAGGCCCCATTATGACGGGCAACCCGAGCCCCCTAGATCAGATCTAGGTATCCCTCCACCCACACCTTCCCAGGCCCCTGCTCCTCCCAGTACTGCACCAGACAGTGTTCAGGAACCAGCCTCACAGGGAACTGGACCGGGTATATTGGCGCTGTCACAACGACAACATGAGATCATCCTGAAAGCTGCCCATGAGCTGAAGCTCATCAGGTAAAGTAGAGACATCATGGTCGGGGTCAATTCGGGAAGTACACTAAAATTCAAATTCTCTTCAATGCTTTTCAATTAGGAACATGTCGAATTGCAATTTGTTTTACTTTCGTAATTGCCTGGAATTCAAATGGAATTGACCCCAACCCTAAGACATATGTATGTATGCAAGGGGTTTCCCCTAAGATAGAAACTGTCTTTGTGAAACCTTGTAATATTTGTATGACCACAATATATATCAAATATTATACAGTGCATTCGGAAAGTATTCAGACCCCTTGACTTTTCCCAAATGTTGTTACCTTACAGCCTTATTCTAAAAATGGATTAAAAAAATAAATTAATCTCATCAATCTACACACAATACCCCATAATGACAAAGCAAACACAGTTGAATACATTTTTGCAAATGTATAAAAAAATCCAAACTGAAATATCACATTTACATAAGTATTCAGACCCTTTACTCAGTACTTTGTTGAAGCACCTTTGGCAGCGATTACAGCCTCGACTCTTCTTGGGTATGACGCTACAAGCTTGGCACAACTGTATTTGTGGAGTTTCTCCAATTATTCTCTGCAGATCCTCTCAAGCTCTGTCAGGTGGGATGGGGAGCGTCGCTGCACAGCTATTTTCAGTTCTCTCCAGAGATGTTCGATCGGGTTCAAGTCCGGGCTCTGGCTGGGCCACTCAAGGACATTCAGAGACTTGTCCCGAAACCACTCTTTGTACTTTGCTCCGTTCATCTTTCCCTTGATCCCAACTAGTCTCCCAGTCCCTGCCGCTGAAAAACATCCACAATGCTTCACCATAGGGATGGTGCCAGGTTTCCTCCAGACGTGACGCTTGGCATTCAGGCCAAAGAGTTCAATCTTGGTTTCATCAGACCTTTTCTCATGGTCTGAGAGTCCTTTAGGTGCTTTTTGGCAAACTCCAAGCGGGCCTATCATGTGCCTTTTACTGAGGAGTGGCTTCTGTCTGGCCACTACCATAAAGGCCTGATTGGTGGAGTGCTGCAGAGATGGTTGTCCTTCTGGAAGGTTCTCTCATCTCCACAGAGGAACTCTGGAGCTCTGTCAGAGTGACCATCTGGTTCTTGGTCAACTCCCTGACCAAGGCCCTTCTCCCCCGATTGCTCAGTTTGGCCGGGCGGCCAGCTCTAGGAAGAGGCTTGGTGGTTCCAAACTTCTTCCATTTTAAGAATGATGGAGGCCACTGTTCTTGTGGACCTTCCCCAGTTCTGTGCCTCGACAGAATCATATCTCGGAGCTCTACGGACAATTCCTTCAAACTCATGGCTTGGTTTTTGCTCTGACATGCACTGTCAACTGTGGGACCTTTATATAGACGGGTGTGTGCCTTTCCAAATCATGTCCAATCAATTGAATTTACCACAGGTGGACTCTAATCAAGTTGTAGAAACATCTCAGGGATGATCAATGGAAACAGGATGCACCTGAACTCAATTTCGAGTCTCATAGCAAAGGGTCTGAATACTTGTGTAAATAAGGTAGTTCTATTTGTTTTTGCTTTGTTATTATGGGGTATTGTGTGTAGATTGATGGGGGGGGGGGGGGGGCAATTAAATCAATTATAGAAAAGGCTGTAACATAACAAAATGTGGAAAAAGTCAAGGGGTCTGAATATTTTCCAAATGCACTGTATATATATCTATATATTTTTTTTTGAAGTACTGTTTTTCCACAGCTGTTTTTTGTGAGAGACCTCTGTATATAGCCTGGGTACCAGGCTGTTTGTGCTATCATTCTACCCTTTTGTGATGCCATGTTTTGGAGTACAAGGAGAGGGAACGTTAGCACAAAATAGGATTCCAGGGTGCTCCGTACGTGCAAATGTATCACACAGCACTTTAAAAACAATGTAGGTCTGTTTCTCTGGTACTGAACAGAGAAATGCAGGAGAGTAAGACCGATGGAGAGGCCCTTCCAGTCACGTCTGAGCCCAAGCCAGAGCTCCCTGCTGGTCTGCTAGGGCTGGAGATACCCCCTGAGGTCCGCAGTGCCCTGCAGGTAAACAACCGCACCTAATTTATATAATATACTATATCATTTATATATTTGACATAACATATAGAATTTAACTGTTTGACATTTGCATATAGGATTTAGCCGCAGGTAAATCTATGAACCTGGGTTTGACAGATTACAGTTTTGTGTATTTTCTTTTTAAAGCGGTTTATTCAAGTAATTTTATATATATATATATATTTGTTGAATCTCACAGTTGATTCATGTCACTAGCTAGGTTTCCATCCAATTGGCGACAGATTTTCATGCAAATATTCTAAAATTGGAAAGGAGCGTCAGGCTCATGCACCTCCAGCACTTTCACCACCCTGTGAAGTTCATCATAACTTATTTCATCTGTAGCCTGATAACCTGCATGGTTTACCAAGTCGTAGTTGGAGGACCACGCACCATGTCATCGCGTGACTCCAGGTTCACTTCGATATGATGCTTATTATACTGAATCAATATAACGCATTAAGACGATTCCACCTCCATTTCTTGTATAATTTATTTTACAGACACAAAAACCTTCCGCCTTGTCTAGGGTATTTTGTTTTGTCAACAGTTGAAACGTTTATTGACAGATTTGCTGTTGCCGTCAGGCCTCTTTTTATTAAAAAAATTATACTGGTTGTACTTTACTTGCATAGAAAGGTTGGATGGAAACTTGGTTATAATATTGGTTATAAACCTGGTTGTAATATTGGTTATAAACCTGGTTGTAATATTGGTTATAAACCTGGTTGTAATATTGGTTATAAACCTGGTTGTAATGTTGGTTATAAACCTGGTTGTAATATTGGTTATAAACCTGGTTGTAATATTGGTTATAAACTTGGTTGTAATATTGGTTATAAACCTGGTTGTAATATTGGTTATAAACCTGGTTGTAATATTGGTTATAAACCTGGTTGTAATATTGGTTATAAACCTGGTTGTAATATTGGTTATAAACCTGGTTGTAATATTGGTTATAAACCTGGTTGTAATATTGGTTATAAACCTGGTTGTAATATTGGTTATAAACCTGGTTGTAATATTGGTTATAAACCTGGTTGTAATATTGGTTATAAACCTGGTTGTAATATTGGTTATAAACCTGGTTGTAATATTGGTTTGTAATATTGGTTATAAACCTGGTTGTAATATTGGTTATAAACTTGGTTGTAATATTGGTTATAAACCTGGTTGTAATATTGGTTATAAACCTGGTTGTAATATTGGTTATAAACCTGGTTATAGTCCAACAGTATATTTGAAGTAGACCACTTTAATTATGGTCCATTGTCATTTCCAGGTCACATAAATATTTGTGACTCTGTTTTTTCCAGTTACACATTTTTAGATATTTACCCATTTTTTTAAAAATCCGTTAACCCACGTCTCTGTTTCTCTACCCCAGGCGACCAACCTCATGTCTAGCTCAACTGCTGCAAGAACAGTGACGTGGGGAGACCCCAAACCTCAAGATACTGGGTACCTGTCCTCTGCTCCTCCAGTCCCCAATGCACCAGTCATCCCTAAGACTGTCGACTATGGACATGGACACGGTAGGGAAAGAAACGTGGAAATAGGAAGCAGGGTTGGGGTCAGTTCCGTTCCGATACCATTCATAAAGTAACCTAAATTCCAATTCCATATGTCCCTTGTTGAAATACATTAAAGAGAATTGGAATGCGTATTGGAATTTGTTTAGGAATTGGAACTTCAAATGTTATTGGCCACATGCGCCGAATACAACAGGTGCAGACATTACAGTGAAATGCTTACTTACAGCCCTTAACCAACAATGCATTTATTTTTAATAAAAAAGTAAAATAAAACAACAACAAAAAAGTGTTGAGAAAAAAAGATCAGAAGTAAAATAAAATAACAGTAGGGAGGCTATATATACAGGGGGGTACCGGCACAGAGTCAATGTGCGGGGGCACCGGCTAGTTGAGGTAGTTGAAGTAATATGTACATGTGGGTAGAGTTAAAGTGACTATGCATAAATAATTAACAGAGTAGCAGCAGCGTAAAAAGGATGGGGTGGGGGTGGGGGGGGCAGTGCAAATAGTCCGTGTAGCCATGATTAGCTGTTCAGGAGTCTTATGGTTTGGGGGTAGAAGCTGTTGAGAAGCCTTTTGGACCTAGACTTGGCGCTCCGGTACCGCTTGCCGTGCGGGAGCAGAGAGAACACTCTATGACTAGGGTGACTGGAGTCTTTGACAATTTTGAGGGCCTTCCTCTGACACCGCCTGGTATAGAGGTCCTGGATGGCAGGAAGCTTAGTGCCTTCCTCTGACACCGCCTGGTATAGAGGTCCTGGATGGCAGGAAGCTTCCTTAATTGACTGATGTAAAATTTCAGTAAAAATATATAAATGGTAACTAAAGGGTGCTCATTGGAAACGAGTATCTAAATAGAGTGATAACAAAGGAAGTTGTGGCTTGTATCTTTAAAAACGATAGACCTAAAAGGTTTTAAATGAAGTGGTTATTCTGCTACAGAAACATGACATTGCCTCTTGTAGGCTGTGCGTGTGTTTTCCCTTCAAGACATTGACCCCCCCCCCCCACATTTCCATGTGACTTTCCAGATCTGGGTGCTGCCACGGTGGAGCGGATCTCTTACGGCGAGAGGATTGTGTTGAGGCCCGATCCCTTAGCTGACAGAGAGAGGAGCTATGAAAAAGGTGACTTCGTGTTTATTTTTTGGATGGTGATCGTTTTTTTGAGACTTACTAGCATTTGTTTTTTTTTTGCAGGTAGCGGCTAATTCTGTATGTCGCTTCGGATAAAAGCGCCTGCTAAATGTCATATATTATTATTATTATTATAATGATATCCTCCTTTCCCCCTATAGAACTGCTGGGACCCCTGAGAGAGAGAGACCCTTACCACAGAGACATGTACTACGACAGACGACCGGTAGACCCCTACACGGAGCGCAGGGAGTACGGCAGGGAGATGTACAGAGAGAAACCTCCCGTGGACTTTGAACGAGACCGATTTGAGAGGGGACGCTATCCGCCTCGAGATGGCAGGTATACCCTGGTTACATTCAGTGGAGATTGAACACGTACAAATAAAATGACTAGATTTATTGATTTATAAAGAGATCATATATTTCTATGGATTAAACAGCGGCCACAGTGAATGCTACTGTATGCGAATTAATCCACAAGCTCCACTTGTGAATGTGTTACTTTTGTCTTATGGTCTTGTTAATGCAATCAATCAAATCTTTATAAAGCAATTATTTATTTTTTTACCTCAGCAGTTGGGAGTTATTTTACAGAACTGTGTGACAATGCAATGTAGAACTACCAAGCGTCAGTAAATGTGTAACAACATTTTTAGTTTTTTTTATGTTCTTGCTGCTTTCAAGCAAACACTCCATGGGTGTTGTTGATGAAAGGTATTATCACACTGTGTTACTCTGACGAGTCCAGCTGGATGGTGTGGCCTTGTGTATGCTGCCTGCTCCAGGGCTTGCGTGTTCACAAAGCATCTACGTGTAGGAGTGCTTGGATCAGATCCCTCCCTGTCCATATAATCCGTATTCATTATGATCTAAAAGGGGAAACTGATCTGGGGTCCAGATATATGCAGTGTTCTGAGGGGTTTTCATCCTGCGTCTCTATCTCTCCAGACCACCCCCCGGCCATCCTCGCCCCGGCCCCCCACCACCTCGCCCGGGCTACAGGGAGAGGGAGGGCAGCCGGACCAGTAGAGACAGAGAGGATCCTTATGGAAGGCCTGGGGGTTATGACAGACCTCCGTACGAGCGCGGACCTGAGCGCTACGACCACGGTGCCTCACCATACGGTAAGACATGCTGTGTACTGCCGTCTCTAGCGAACACACGGACTTGGGTGCATTGCAAATGCCTTTAGTGTGTGAGTGGTGTTGATTTGTACTATGCAAAAATTCCACTGTCCAAAAGGAAAAAGGGACTAAAGCTACATGCCGTAAAACACGTTGGTTTTAACAATCAAAATGGTGTTTAAGGCACCTTCCGTCGTCCTACTAATGTTCAGTTTGCTCGTCTTTTTATGCCTCTTGGTTGTAGAGTCAAATAGCGACAGTATTCTCTTTTATCCTTGGCACTGACTGTCCTGTCTTGTGGTCCAGGTGAACGGAGGAGTTACCCAGAGGACAGAGGAGGAGGAGGCCCCACGTCGTCCCACCCTCCTCCTCCCCCACCGACTGCTCCTCCTTCCAGGATGGAGAAGAAACCGGAGACCAAGAACGTGGAGGACCTTCTCAAACTGCCAGGCCGAGACACTCGTCCAGAAAGGGTGCAAATAAATGGCTGCTCACTCACTCTCAATCGCCATTACGCTTCATTCACTTACTTCCTCATTCAATTCAATACAACTTTTTAAATACAGTACTTCCTTATTCAATTCAATACAACTTTTATTTATCCCTCTCAGGGACAATTAAGAAATGCGTTGCCAGGATAATGACATCCTCAACCTGTAGTCCAATACAAGTACAACAAGAGTACACAGATCTCATATCCCCCAGTATATCCCCAGATACATGTCTACTGTATGAGTGAGTTCCATAACCTCTGTGATGTTTCTCAGATCGTCATCATAATGAGAGGCCTACCAGGAAGTGGAAAAAGCCATGTGGCCAAGCTGATACGGGTGAGTAGAACCTAGAGTTACCATCGTCCAACTTGGCTGTTCTGTTGTGGTAACAATAACTCATCTGGGATGAAATGTTATTTCCTGTCATGCGTTTCCTGTTTTCCAGATATATAATATGTTATAGATATCCTAGCGTTCTTTCACAGTGTTCAAATACCTACCCTCGTTCCACCATCCTGATGTCGAAGAGCGCATGAGAGCGCGGCGGTCAGGGTGGTGGATCAGGTTAACACAAATACCTGCACCCCTCGTCATATAAACACAACGTTGCTTTCAATTTCTACAAGCCCCAACGTCAGTCGTCTTCTTCCTTGTTTGTCCGAAAGACGTCACTTCCTGAAACTTCTCGAGTGCTGCCTTCTCTCACTGAAATACCTTGTCGTTTACTAGCTCTGACGTTGCTGATAGCGGCTCTACTGAGGAAGTTTAACTTGCTGTGACTGATATGTGGTTGTCTCACCGAGCTACCTTAAGATGAATGCATTTAACTGGAAGTGGCTCTGGATAAGAGCGTCTGCTAAATGACTAAAAATGTAAAATGTTGTTGCGTGGTTAAGGATAAGGAGGTGGAGTGTGGAGGGGCTCCTCCCAGGGTGCTGGGATTAGACGACTACTTCATGACGGAGGTGGAGAAGGTGGAGAAGGACCCAGAAACTGGGAAACGGGTCAAACTCAAGGTCTGTCCTTCTGCTTGCTCTCCGACTGACTTTAAACCTCTCTGTTCCTACTATATGTGGAGCATAAGGCTTCCACAAGAGAGTTTTTTTTAGTTTAGTCAAATACTATCTCTGTGTAGAAGTAGGCCTGAAGAAAACCCACCCATGTATAACATGATGGCTCACTGAAGCTATTGTAATACATTTAGCGAATGTCACCATTTAGGCTGTGTGGTTTCTGCAGGCTTTGCAGGTGTTTTTAATGTATTATTTGAACACACATTTTATTTGTATTTGAATATCAATCCATAACATTTTCCTTTCTTGTCAGTGTCTGGAATACGAGTATGAAGCGGAGATGGAAGAGACGTACAGGAACAGTATGCTAAAAACCTTCAGGAAGACGCTAGACGACGGCTTCTTCCCCTTCATCATCATCGACGCTATTAACGACAGGGTTAAATACTTCGATCAGTTCTGGAGCGCTGCCAAGACTAAAGGCTTCGAGGTCGAGTTAACGTTTCATATCTTTGAAATATCAAAAATGTGGAGATGCAACGCTACTAGGTTCCTTGGTCGATACTTAGCTTGCCGTTTTTAGAATTCGTGCCCAATAAATGACGTAAATCTAAGTGGTACATTAGAACAGAGTTGGATCTCTCTGAAACCTATACATTCCGGATGTGGCCTCTATTACGTATATAACGTGTCAATGTATTTGTATGCCAGGTGTACTTGGCTGAAATCACTGCAGACTATCAGACTTGCGCTAAAAGAAATGCCCACGGACGGAAGATTAAGGACATTCAAAAGGTACTGTGCTGAGTGCCCTTTGCGTCCACAATCGCAGAGCTCTCATACATTTTCAATGGTATCAGGTGGCTTATTTCTCAAGGCATTGATAATGACAGTGATAGACTAAGTATATTGTGTATTTATTTTCTGGTGTCTGTATAGTATTTTATTTTCTGGTGTCTGTATAGTATTTATATATAGTATATTGTGTATTTATTTTCTGGTGTCTGTATAGTATTTATATATAGTATATTGTGTATTTATTTTCTGCTGTCTGTATAGTATTTATATATAGTATATTGTGTATTTATTTTCTGCTGTCTGTATAGTATTTATATATAGTATATTGTGTATTTATTTTCTGCTGTCTGTATAGTATTTATATATAGTATATTGTGTATTTATTCACGTTCTGTTTTACATTTCTGTTTATTTATTTGTTTTTTTTCCCGTCTGTGTAGATGTCCAATAACTGGGAGTCGTCTCCACGTCACATGGTGCGCCTGGATATCCGCTCTTTGCTTCAGGATGCTGCTATTGAGGAGGTACGTCGTATGGAAACGTTTCACAATATGTTCAGATCTAGGTATTATACCACTTAGGGGGCATAAAGGTGCTACACATAGGATTTGTTTGAATATCGGCAGTAATGGTGAAATGAGTGTTTCACAGTATTTCTTACCCGCCAGTGTTGTGATTGGCTGGGATATTCGCCTATAGATTTCTCCCGCCAGAGCGGCATTTGTTGTCAAAATGGGAAAACTGTTTTGACTTTGGCTGTGTTATCTAGTGGTAATCATGTCTCCCGAGTGGCGCAGTGGTCTAAGGCACTGCATCGCAGTGCTAGCTGTGCCACTAGAGATCCTGGTTCGAATCCAGGCTCTGTCGTAGCCGGCCGCGACCGGGAGACCCATGGGGCGGCGCACAATTGGCCCAGCGTCGTCCAGGGTAGGGGAGGGAATGGCCAGCAGGGGATGTAGCTCAGTTGGTAGAGCATGGCGTTTGCAACGCCAGGGTTGTGGGTTCGATAAAATAATGTATGTGCTAACTGTAAGTCGATAAGAGCGTCTGCTAAATGACTAAAATGTAAAATGTAAATGTAATCAGGTCAAGTGGCCAATATAGAAATTGCTCTGTCATTTCCTGGTTGCTAAAATTTTACACAGTTCGCTCAATTTCAGTTTGTGAGAAAACAAGCACTGTATAGTGTAGGGAATCATTGTACCATCTAAATCACTGTGAAATATATTTTCAATAACAAAAAATATTGTTTGTGAAACTGGTGGTGGACCAAAACAGGAAAGTATAAGACTCAGGCCCGTGTCTCCACCATGTTACGGGGGGAAATGGGATGCGGGGGATGGGGGAGATGTATTTTGAATGCAGCCTAGTGCTGTTGCAATTCACCAAGCTTCCACATGGGGGAGAAACTCTAGGTGTAGCACCTTTTTATTTATTTTTATAAGCGTCATTAAATATACCTTTTTATAATGGGTTTCTGTTATAAGAGTGAACCTAGTCCTCTCTATAGCGAAGGATGAGGACCAGATAAGGTATAGTGTACCTGTTGGCACTATCCTCAATGATTTCAGTGTAGCCACTTGTGTGGTTGTGAAGTTTAATTTTTTATATATATATTTTTTTAGAATAAAATAAATTCTACCTACCTATCTAAGGCATTTGTTAAAATGTTTCAATCAGTGAAATTCAATGGAAACATTTTGTATTTGAAGGTTGAGATGGAAGACTTCAATCCTGATGACGAGCCGCTGAAGGAGCCCAAGAAGGAGGAGGAGGAGGAGGAGGAAGAGGAAGTTAAGGTAGGACTCAATCAGCATGCCCTTTATAGCTGTTACTGTTCTTAAAGGGATCTACTGATCTCTGTCTGTGCTCATATCCACGAGAGCAGGACTCTCCGACCCTGTTCCTGGAGAGCTACCCTCCTGTAAGTTTTCACATCTTATCAACCAGCTAATTATTAGAATCAGGTGCGTTAGGACGGTAGCTCTCCAGGAACAGGGTTTTTGAGAGCCCTGCACCAGAAACACATTGGTCCATTTGATATGGTGTCATTGCAGTGAGCAGACGTGCTAGGTTGCTTTGCAGGTACAGTGAGTGACTTGTTGACATAAGCCCTTGGCTCCTTTAAAGAGCGTATGCCATTGACGGATGCCAGTATTGCAGTTACAGCAGTACATTTGGTTTTTGTTAAAGGCCCAGTGCAGTCAAAAAAATGTGATATACCTGTGTTTTATATATATTTCCACACTATGAGGTTGGAATAATACAGTGAAATTGTGAAAAGGATAATGCACTTTTAGTGTAAGAGCTGTCAATTGTAGCTTGTTTCCCCTCCCCACTCAGATCGCTCCGACAGTCCTAGCAAAATTCTTGCTTGAGAAATTGCTCTTTGCTAAGAAGCTATTTTTGTTTTGTTTTTTTAACATTTTAATTGAAAACAATCACAGTAATGTACTTAATTGCTACTCAGAAATGATTTGATATTGAGATAAAAACGGCTGCTTTGGACCTTTTTAAGAAAGGTTGATGTTGAGTTTTTATTTTGGCCTTGTTTGGTTGATACTATCCTCATTGTGCTGAGATTAATCACGTTTATCAAAAAAACGTCTCATAATAACATTAATGATAAGTTTTATAAAGTTATAAACCCAAGTCAAACAACCTATACAGGGATACAAAATACAAGCGTACCAGAATGAGGAAGATCATGAGATTTGGAAACTCGAGAAAGTAGTGTGGCCTGTGGCCTAGTGGTTAGTTGACCCCAACACAGACACATTTATCAGAGAATCCAACCCACAATGCTTCTGACTCTGGCCTTTCCTGTTCTCTTCACTGTCCTATATCTGTTCAATAAAACCACAAGAATACAAAAGGAGTGGGATTTACCACATATATTTTTTAAAAATATTCAAAATAAATAAATGGAGAAATCATTCAGGATATCTTTTGCCGAGGTAATGTGTATGCTTTTTAGGATGGTGTATGTAAGTGATTTGAAATATCTTTCTTTTTTTGGGGGGGGGGGTGGGTTGTTAACTAAATAAGCCTAAATTAGCTCTGGATTTCTTCTGTAATCAAACTCTACTTGAGTAAGACAAAATATGTTTGTGTTGCCATGGTGTTAGTTCCTTACTAGATGGTAAGTATATGCATACCTTTTTAGAGTTAGATTCAGCGATTTTATTAACTTTTTCCATTTAGAAAATCTGTGATTTTAACACATCCTATCTCAAATTCATGGATATAGTTATTGTGACCTAGTAAATGGGAGACCCGTCCGTGTAAAACCTTTTTATTATGTTATGTAGGCCACACTTTAAAATGTAATGAAGATCTGTATTCTTGAAGTTCCTCCTGAAACACGCTTCTGTCATGAAACTCGACTTCTTGAAAACGACTACTTGTGACGTAGAAGGTTTAATGCAACCGAGCATATAGTGCTCGACTATATCTGACGTTATTTTCCTTTTCTTAATGGAAATAATATAATAGCCACGTCAATTCATTTAAAAAAATATATATTGTTGTTGATGTTAATTTACTCTAGTGACGGCTATAACATGTCTGACTTGAATAATCCAGTATATATACTATTTATTTATTTTAAACAATGAAAATATCAATGTGGGTGTCCTAACGTTTGATTTTCAATGTAATTAATGGATATGACTTGATAATTGGACCATAATGACTTGACACTTCCATGGTCCAGTTGATAATAACAATTTGTAATTTCTACAAACAGCACCATAAATATTATGTTTTTTCTCATGTATTTAGCGGGGGGAAAAAGAAACCCATTTCTAGTGGTGTGGTGGTGCCTGGAGAAGTTGGAATACAAACATTTTTGCCAAATATTTCCTAAACGGCCCGCCCGGTGAAGGAATGGCGACCTGTGTGATTTTTTTTTTTCTCCTATATTTCTATAGTTCAGGTTTTCACTCTCAAAATCACCCGTAAAAAGTCCACAACAACGCTTAAACCACATCAGAGGGATCTCCTATGAAGCGGGTTTGAGGAGTTAGCGAGGTAACGTTGGCCAACTCCGGATAACCGGTCAGGTACATTTCTATGGCGACAGATCTTTCAGAACTAACCTGCTCCGGGAAAGGCTAACTCACGGTTTCACTCCGCTTACCCTGAATTAAATGACTGAGGATAGAGTTCAGTACCAATGAAATCAGATTCCCTCCATCTTGCAAAGATTGCATTATCATCCCCTTCATTTGAGGAAGAATACTGATTTTAAATATTATATTAATCGAATGTTGTTTTTGGTGTAAAAAAAAATATATTTTTAAAATGCATGTCACGTTACACATTTAGTAATGACAGAATGCATTTTAAACTTCACACAATGTAACACTTTTGTATGACTTAATAGTGTGGGGAAAGGGTGCTTGTGCATTAATAAGTACGCCAAATACGGCATTAACGATAAGCAGTGGTCTTATCGTTAATGCCGTCTTTAACGGACGAGGAATATCCTCCGTCGTAGTACGGATGAAGCCTTTTAGTGGTGCCTGGATAAGTGGGTATCCTCAAATGTTGGCCAAAATCTCCCAAACGGCTCGCCCGGCGAAGGAAAGGCACCCTGTGTGGAAAAAGCTATGTTTTCCTAAATGTGTTTTCCTATATATATTTATTTTTTCAGGTTTTCACTCTCAAAATATTTTTTACAATATAACATCTACAAAAATCGAATGTTCTAAGTCCAATGCTTATACCACATCAGGAGAGCATTTTTTTTTAGGTCTGGGAGAAATCGACAAAAAAAAAGAAATGAGGGAGGAGCCCTTTTAAATTTAATTGTGAACCAAGCAAGAGACCGTTTGGCCAAGGGTGTTTCTGTACTGTAGGCTACAATGTAATGGCAAGAGTTTACACACAAAAAAAAAGCGCTCCCGATTTGATACAAATCACACGACATCATTCTGCCAGGTAGACCTACTCTGCAGTGAACATTTTCATTGGGAAGTTTTTTTTTTTTTGGTTAAGCCTTTTAGAAATGTTCTTTCCAACAGCGCATGATGACTGAATTGCGCATCGCAAAGCTTCAACAAAGACTTCGGACCAAACTTCTTCAATAGCTGGTTTGCATACCCACTGTTGCCTTAGTTAGCATTTACTGGTAGATACCATACATTTTAAACGTATTAGCTACTCTACTGGCTCCCGATGTCGTTCAATTCTGTGAGCTGCTCCATGAGACAGTCGGTTGAGAGCTGCGGGCTCATGCTGCCTGGTATTCAGCTGAATCTAGCTGTATGCGGCACGCTTGTGAATATAAACGTAACAAAAATAAACACGCAACATGCAACAGTTTCAACATTAAAAAAAATCTTTCAGCTCCACTAAACTTGGGACCAACACTTTACATGTTGCGTTTATATTTTTGTTCAGTATATTTCACATGCTTTGCGATTGTATAGGCTACCTTGTGTATGATTTCTCTATTGTACTACGTCATTATAATTTATATCGTATACCTCCACTACACTGCTTTTAATACGCAACAGTAGGGGTTAATAAATGAGTATAAGCAATGCCCACTGAAGGAAAAGTGGGTATAATATCATTCTGATATCATTCTGCCAGGTAGGCATACTTTGCAGTGCCAGTCAACATTTAATTGGGTGGGATGGTTTTTTTGGGAAAGCCCTTCAGAACTTTTCATTCAAACAGTGCATGATGACTGAATTGCGCATGGCTAAGATTCAACCAAGACATCGGACCAAACGTTTTAATTGACTCAATCTCTGAGTATGTCATCTCAACCGCTACCAGATTCCCACCTGAAACACCCAGGGAAGGTCTTCCAAAACTATTATTATTATTAACACGATTCATTAGATGATAGATAATCTATTAGAAATTGTTAGAAAATGATGATAGGATCATAATGTGCACATGGTTACTGAAGCACAGAGTTACAGTACACCAGGAAACGCATCTCACTCACAAGTTGAATGTGATTGGACATCAAGAAATATCATGTGACAGGGTTTGGGTCAATTCCATTTAAATTCAGAAAGTAAACCAAACTCCAAATTTTCCTCATTTGAAAAGCATTGAAGAGAATTTGAGTTTCAGTGTTCTTCCTGAATTGACTGGAATTTTAAATAGTATTTACCACAATCCTGCTGGAAGTCCTCAATTAGTGGTCTACTGTTAGGAACAAGGTAACCTCGTCTCCACACTAACTCCTCCATTAGCTGTCTGCTGTTTTGGAATGAGCCTCTGATATTGCTTAATAAATGCTACTTTATTATGATTCAAATATTTAGAAATTCAAAATCTGTTATTTCCCCCCCCCCCCGCGCATTGAGTGCTGACAAACTGACCATGGCATGCCGAAAGGTGCTCTGACCAACAACAATCTCCTTGTCCCTAACCTCGTCCACCAGTCGTCTCGCTCTGTCTGTATGCCGTAGCTGATGTCCTAGGGACGAGGTTACCTTGGTCCTAACAGCAGGCGGCTAATGTGGCTCAGTTGGTAGAGCATGGTGCTTGCAACGCCAGGGTTGTGGGTTCGATTCCCACGGGGGGACCAGTACGAAAAAGTATGAAAATGTATCCACTCATTACTGTAAGTCGCTCTAGATAAGAGCGTCTGCTAATTGACTAAAATGTAAAAATATAAAATACATGAAGCCGTATCAGAGACTCCATATGAAGCCGTATCAGAGACTCCATATGAAGCCGTATCAGAGACCCCATATGAAGCCGTTATCAGAGGCTCCATATGAAGCCGTTATCAGAGGCTCCATATGAAGCCGTTATCAGAGGCTCCATATGAAGCCGTTATCAGAGGCTCCATATGAAGCCGTTATCAGAGGCTCCATATGAAGCCGTATCAGAGACCCCATATGAAGCCGTTATCAGAGGCTCCATATGAAGCCGTTATCAGAGGCTCCATATGAAGCCGTTATCAGAGGCTCCATATGAAGCCGTTATCAGAGGCTCCATATGAAGCCGTTATCAGAGGCTCCATATGAAGCCGTTATCAGAGGCTCCATATGAAGCCGTTATCAGAGGCTCCATATGAAGCCGTTATCAGAGGCTCCATATGAAGCCGTTATCAGAGGCTCCATATGAAGCCGTTATCAGAGGCTCCATATGAAGCCGTTATCAGAGGCTCCATATGAAGCCGTTATCAGAGGCTCCATATGAAGCCGTTATCAGAGGCTCCATATGAAGCCGTTATCAGAGGCTCCATATGAAGCCGTTATCAGAGGCTCCATATGAAGCCGTTATCAGAGGCTCCATATGAAGCCGTTACTCAATGAGGCCTCCATATGAAGCCGTTATCAGAGGCTCCATATGAAGCCGTTATCAGAGGCTGTATTCCAAAGTGTTTTTGCAAGTGCCAACATTTTGAAGATGAAAAACAATGTAGCACATAAAACATTTGTAAAAAAGGCCAGTCACTTTTTTTTTTTTTTTTTTCAACCTTTAAAAAAAAAAATGACTACATATAGATAATGGAGTACATAGATAAATTGACTATTCTTATGAATTGTTTTTGATGCATGGTTTTGGAGCATTTTACGTGATTTAACGACCTAAGAACTAAATATTAAAACGTAAACTAATCACAACGGTACTGGTTCCATAGCACTCACTATTAGCTTTGGTTGTGACGAATGTAAACTTTTAAATGATTAATGTATTTAGTACATTTAGCAGCTTTTTTATTATTATTATTATTATTATTATTGGTACCTGTGTTGAAGGAAATGGCTATATCCACTACAGGTTCCTGTGTTGAAGCATACGGTTGGAGAGGTTAACCTCTACGGGATTGGTGTCCTGTATACGGGACGGTTGAGCTAACGTGCGCTAATGTGATTAGCATGACTGTTGTAAGTAACAGCAAACTTTCCAGGACATAGACATGTCTTATATGGGCAGAAAGCTTAAATTATTGTTAATCTAACTGCACTGTCCAATTTACAGTAGCTGTTACAGTGAAAACATACCATGCTATTGTTTGAGGAGAGTGCACAACAAAAAATGTATTACAGCAACTGATTTGATACATTCACCTCTGAAGGTAAATCATGTACTTACATTCAGTAATCTTGCTCTGATTTGTCATCCTAAGTGTCCCAGAGATAAAATGTAGCATAGTTTTGTTTGATAAAATCAATTTTTATATTCAAATGTAGGGAACTGGGTTCTACAGTTTGAACCCCTGCTGTCTCTGGCTCCACACCCACCCCGCCCGGCCATCTAGATGTGTGAAAGTTAGTGTATAAGCTAATGATCCATCATGTATGATATCCCTGGGAGTGTGTAAACATACATTTTGTATTACCATATCATTTTTGTATGTTCTCTATAGTTATGTACTTGAAAATGTATCAATTGACCAATTCGGCACATTTGGGCAGACTTGATACAATATAGTCCAGTATTGCAATGCTTCACTGGATCAATCTGAAACTTTGCACACACACTGCTGCCATCTAGTGGGCAAAATCTAAATTGTGCCTAAACTGTAATATTATCCAACTTGTGTACATCGGTGTTGTGTTGGGGCTTAACTAATAGGCTAACTTCTTCTTCCGTAACTAAGCTATATAATCTAACGAGCTGTTTCAACTTGGTGTGGTACCAAAGTGGAACCACGATTAACACAAAGAAAGTGTTGATGAAATCTAGTTGTGCTCTTTTAGTAGGCTAGCTTCTGTATCAACTAGCTGTTTTCTAAAGTGTCTCTAAATGCTTTGATCATTGCTTACACCAAAGGCACATCTTCTCAACTGAGGTGTCATAATGACATCTGACATGTTTGCATGCCAACGTCTTTAACAGTATTTCATATTGTCTCATGTCGTGTCATTCTTGCGATCCTCCTGATTGTACTGAAATTGTTTGATTAACATAACTATTTGAACGCCTTCTCTCCGTCACCGAAACCCCCCCCTCTCTCTCGCTCTCTCGCTCTCTTTCTCTGCTCTCTCTCTCTCTCTCTCTCTGCTCTCTCTCTCTCTCTCTCTCTGCTCTCTCTCTCTCTCTCTCTCTCTCTCTCTCATATCCTCCTCCTGACCCCTAGCTCCTTGCCGCTCAGAGGCCTAACCGTTGCGGTCTCTTCTCTGTATAATTTAGGGTTACATTCCACAAAGCAAATGGGAGATGGACACTTCTGATGCGAAACTCGGTAGGTATTCCCTTTGTTTTGTGATCTTACTAATGTACACTAACAACTATGGAGTGAATGGAATGATATTAAACACGTCTTTGATACCATTCCATTTACAGTGCCTTCGGAAAGTATTCAGACCCCTTGACCTTTTCCACATTTTGTTAGGTTACAGCCTTATTCTAAAATTGATTAAATTGTTTTTCCCCCTCATCAATCTACACACAATACCCCATAATGACAAAGCAAAAACTGTTTTTTATAAAATGTTGTAAAAAAATTAATGAAATGTGATATTTACATAAGTATTCAGACCCTTTACTCAGTACTTTGTTGAAGCACCTTTGGCAGCGATTACAGCCTTGAGTCTTCTTGGGTATGACGCTACAAGCTTGGCACACCTGTATTTGGGGAGTTTTTCCCATTCTTCTCTGCAGATCCTCTCAAGCTCTGTCAGGTTGGATGTGGAGCGTCGCTGCACAGCTATTTTCAGGTCTCTCCAGAGATGTTCAATCGGGTTCACGTCTGGGCTCTGGCTGGGCCACTCAAGGACATTCAGAGACTTGTCCCGAAGCCACTCCTGTGTTGTCTTGGCTGTGTGCTTAGGGTCGTTGTCCTGTTGGAAGGTGAACCTTCGCCCCCAGTCTGAGGTCTTGAGCGCTCTGGAGCAGATTTTCATCAAGGATATCTTTATACATTGTTTTGTTAATCTTTCCCTCGATCCTGACTAGTCTCCCAGTCCCTGCCACTGAAAAACATCCCCCCCAGCATGATGCTGCCACCACGCTTCACCGTAGGGATGGTGCCAGGTTTCCTCCAGACGTGACGCTTGGCATTCAGACCAAATAGTTCAATCTTGGTTTCATCAGACCAGAGAAGCTTGTTTCTCATGGTCTGAGAGTTTAGGTGCCTTTTGGCAAACTCCAAGTGGACTGTCATCTGCCTTTTACTGAGGAGTGGCTTCCGTCTGGCCACTCTACCATAAAGGCGTAATTGGTGGAGTGCTGCAGAGATGGTTGTCCTTCTGGAAGGTTCTCCCATCTCCACAGAGGAACTCTGGAGCTCTGTCAGAGTGACCATCGGGTTCTTGGTCACCTCCCTGACCAAGGCCCTTCTCCCCCGATTGCTCAGTTTGGCCCGGGCGGCCAGCTCTAGGAGGAGTCTTGGTGGTTCCAAACTTCTTCCATTTAAAAATGATTGAGGCCGCTGTGTTCTTGGGGACCTTCAATGCTGCAGAAATGTTTTGGTACCCTTCCCCAGATCTGTGCCTAGACACAATCCTGTCTCAGAGCTCTACGGACAATTCCTTTGACCTCATGGCTTGTGCTCTGACATGCACTGTCAACTGTGGGACCTTATATAGACAGGTGTGCCTTTCCAAATCAATGGAATTTACCACAGATGGACTCCAAGTTGTAGAAACATCTCAAGGATGATCAATGAAAACAGGATGCACCTGAGCTCAATTTCGAGTCTCATAGCAAAGGGTCTGAATACTTATGTAAATAAGGTATTTCTGTTTTTTGTTTTTAATACATTTGCAAACATTTCTAAAAACCGGTTTTTGCTTTGTCATTATGGGGTATTGTGTGTAGATTGCTGAGGAAATTGTTTTATTTAATCCATTTTAGAATAAGACTTTAACGTAACAAAATGTGGGAATACTTTCCCGAAGGCACTGTACATGATGTTCACTAACAACTCCAGCTTCCGGTAGCTTCCGGTAGCTCCTTTTACTCCACAGTATCCTCTTCCTCTCCATCGTCTAAACTTCTCCTCCGGGACCCCCAGACGTTGATAATTTTGTTGTAGCCCTAAACTAGCTCCCTTGATTTAAGTAGTCAAGGTCTTGATAACTAGTTGGCAAGTTTAAATCAGGTGTGCTAGCTCTGGAATGGTTCAAATACATGGAACGGTTGTGGGTCCCCAAGGTGAGACACTCGGCCCTCCGTGGAATGAATTTGACACCTGTGGTCTGACCAGTTTCCTCCTTATTATAGACAAATATACGGAAACGCTGAATACAAATTATCTGATCAAAACACACAAAGATCAAAATAGTACATTTTCAAATAAATAACATCCACTCATATTTACAAAAAAACAAGATGTTCTGTAAAGGAACACATTTGTGCTTGCTTTAAACTGCAAACAGTTTGAACACCATTTTGCCTTTTTAACTCCCCTTGCTTCAATATCAAAACGAGAGGAGACAACTATTTGACTGGATCCTTGGTAATACATTTGGGAAAACGTGGAAAGTTTCTTACAAATTATTTATAGACGGAGCAAAAAAATGGCGTTATACAGAATCGAAGAAGTGTCGGGCATCATCGTCACAGTGACGATGTCAGTGAAGTAGCTAGTGTTTATTATTTTGCTGAGTCGTGAGGTGACGTGGCGAGCGCTCTTCTCCTTACAGACAAGCTGGACGGCCTGGTGATGGGGGGGAAGAGGAAGAGGGAGGGAGATGACATGGCAGGCATGGAGGACTTCCTTCAGCTGCCAGACGACTACGCCACACGCCACTCTGAGCCCGGCAAGAAGAGGGTAAAGTGGCATATCCCATATTATATCCTGTTTTAACCGTTTCTGTTTAACACACCATTAAATATTGATTGTTTGACGTTTTCCCAAAACCATCCTGTCTAATCTTATTCATGCATTTTTTGTTAGTAATTTTTTTTTTAATCCAGGCTATTCTGATTTACAATGACAGCCTGACTGACCATATAATATGGTTTGCAGACTGTAACATGTGATCGTTTTGACTTCTCACAATCTCTGTATTTCAAGGCAGATAATGTCATCACAAAAACAGGATTATCTATTGGCGAAAAATGTGGTTTTGATCGTGGTTTGGTGTGCTCCCTAAATACTGTTTCACAAAATTACGAGAATATTTAAATTGCAATGCGATGTCTGAACAGCTAGCTAGCATCAGCAGAACATTGCCTGCTCCTCGTCCATTTCCTGCTCGTGACCCCCGCTGGATGTTTTCCTTCCTGTCCTCTAGGTTCGCTGGGCTGACCTCGAAGAGCAGAAGGATGCCGAACGCAAGCGCGATATCGGCTTCGTGGTGGGTCAAACAGACTGGGAGAAAATCACAGACCAGAGTGGACAGATAGCTCAGAGAGCTCTCAATCGCACAAAGTATTTCTAATAACAGAAGATCACTGCCCTACCCCCTGCTTCTTGGTTTATAGGTATGTCCATTCAATTCTATGAATAATCTAATTTGATACAGTATTGCCATGTTTTTGGAGTTGCGTTTATGTAATGACTTGTCTAGTTATTAATACCGGTAGTTATTTGGGGGTTACGAAACTTAAATGTTTTATGTCAGGGTTAGTTCCCCAATAGGTGGCCTCCAAGTTTTCTGAGAGGTTTTATATATATATATATATACACACACACAGTACCAGTCAAAAGATTGGACACCTACTCATTCAAGGGTTTTTCTTTATTTTTACTATTTTCTACATTGTAGAATAATAGTGAAGACATCAACACTATGAAAAAACACATATGGAATCATGTAGTAACCAAAGAAGTGTTAAACAAATCAAAATATATTTTAGATTCTTCAAAGTGGCCACCCTTTGCCATGATGACAGCTTTGCACACTCTCACTATTATAATACAATGTAGAAAATAGTTATTTTTTTTAAATAAAGAAAAACCCTTGAATGAGTAGGAGTGTCCAAACTTTTGACCGGTAGTGTATATCATAAATCCACACACACTGTCTGGCCAAAAGTATATGGACACCCCTTCAAATTAGCGGATTCGGCTATTTCAGCCACACCCATTGCTGACAGGTGTATAAAATCAAGCACGCAGCCATGCAATCGCCATAGATAAACATTGGCAGTAGAATGGCCTTACTGAAGAGCTCAGTGACTTTCAACGTGGCACCGTCATAGGATGCCACCTTTCCAGCAAGTCAGTTCCTCAAATTTCTGCCCTGTTATTGTGAAGTGGAAACGTCTAGGAGCAACAACGGCTCCGCTGCAAAGTGGTAGGCCACACAAGCTCACAGAACGGGACCGCCAAGTGCTGAAGCGCATAGCGCGTAAAAATCGTCTGTCCTCGGTTGCAACACTCGCTACTTTCAAACTGCCTCTGGAAGCAACGTCAGCACAATAACTATTCGTCGGGAGCTTCATGAAATGGGTTTCCATGGCCGAGCAGCCACACACAAGCCTAAGATCACCAGATTCGGCTGGAGTGGTGTAAAGCTCACCGCCATTGGACTCTGGAGCAGTGGAAACGCTTTCTCTGAAGTGATGAATCACGCTTCACCCTCTGGCAGTCCGATGGAAGAATCCGGGTTTGGTGGATGCCAGGAGAACCTTACCTGCCCCAATGCATAGTGCCAACTGTAAAGTTTGGTGGAGGAGGAATAATGGTCTGGAGGAATAACGGTCTGGGGCTGTTTTCATTGGTTCGGGCTAGGCCCCTTAGTTTCCAGTGAAGGGAAATCTTAACGCTACAGCATACAATGACATTCTAGACGATTCTGTGTTTCCAACTTCTGTGTTTCCCTGTGCAAAAAGCGAGGTCCATACAGAAATTGTTTGTCGAGATCGGTGTGGAAGAACTTGACTGGCCTGCACAGAGCCCTGACCTCAACCCCATCGAACACCTTTGGGATGAATTGGAACGCCGACTGCGAGCCAGGCCTAATCGACCAACATCAGTGCCCGACCTCACTAATGCTCTTGTGGCTGAATGGAAGCAAGTCCCCGCAGCAATGTTCCAACATCTAGTGGAAAGCCTTCCCGGAAGAGTGGAGGCCGTTATAGCAGCAAAGGGGGGGACCAACTCCATATTAATGCCCATGATATTGGAATGAGATGTTGGACGAGCAGGTGTCCACATACTTTTGGCCACAAAGCGTATGTGTGTGATTTAGTTTCTTTGGACATAAGACTGTAAAATCACAGCAAATCAGCTAAGTCATTTTAATTTAGGAAATCTGTTCCCAAGTATTCCCATGCATAAATAGAGGCATACAGTGCCTTCAGAAAGTATTCATACCTCTAGACTTATTCCACATTTTGTTGTGTTACAGCCTGAATTCAAAATTGATTCATTTAAAAAAATATATCACCTACCAACACACAATACCCCATAATGACAAAGTGAAAACATGTATTGAAAATGAAATGCAGAAAATACCTAATACATGTTAGAATCACCTTTGGCAGTGATTACAGCTGTGAGTCTTTCTGGGTAAGTCTCTAAGAGCTTTGCACACCTGGATTGTACAATATTTACACTTTATTCTTTTTTAAATTCTTAAAGCTTTGTCAAGTTGGTTGTTGATCATTGCCAGACAGCAATTTTCAAGTCTTGCCATAGATTTCCAAGCCGATTGAAGTCAAAACTGTAACTAGGCCGCTCAGTAACATTCGATGTCGTCTTGGTAAGCAACGCCAGTGTATTTTAGGCCTTGTGTTTTAGGTTATTGTCCTGCTGAAAGTTGAATTTGTATCCCAGTGTCAAATGGAATTGTATTCGTCATGTGCGCCGAATACAACTGGTGTAGACTTGCTTACGAGCCCTTCCCAACGATGCAGTTTAAAAATAATCATACAATTTAATAAAATATAATACACAAGAATAGAGCTACAGTACAATCGATCAATGTTTAGAGGTACTATATATTTGAGGTAGATGTGTACATGAAGGCAGGGTAAAGTGACTAGGCATCAGGATAGATAATAATAAGGTATTTGAGGTAGATATGTACATGAAGGCAGGGTAAAGTGACTAGGCATCAGGATAGATAATATTAAGGTATTTGAGGTAGATATGTACAGTTGAAGTCGGAAGTTTACATACACCTTAGCCAAATACATTTAAACTCAGTTTTTCACAATTCCTGACATTTAATCCTAGTAAAAATTCCCTGTCTTAGGTCAGTTAGGATCACCACTTTATTTTAAGAATGTGAAATGTCAGAATAATAGTAGAGAGAATGATTTATTTCAGTTTTTATTTCTTTCATCACATTCCCAGTGGGTCAGAAGTTTACATACACTCAATTAGTATTTGGTAGCATTGCCTTTAAATTGTTTAACTTGGGTCAAACGTTTCGGGTAGCCTTCCACAAGCTTCCCACAATAAGTTGGGTGAATTTTGGCCCATTCCTCCTGACAGAGCTGGTGTAACTGAGTCAGGTTTGTAGGCCTCCTTGCTCGTACATGCTATTTCAGTTCTACCCACACATTTTCTATAGGATTGAGGTCAGGGCTTTGTGATGGCCACTCCAATACCTTGACTTTGTTGTCCTTAAGCCATTTTGCCACAACTTTGGAAGTATGTTTCGGGTCATTGTCCATTTGGAACAAGCTTTAACTTCCTGACTGATGTCTTGAGATGTTGCTTCAATATATCCACATAATTTTCCTTCCTCATGATGCCATCTATTTTGTGAAGCGCACCCCCACAGCATGATGCTGCCACCCCTGCGTGGTCCCATGGTGTTTATACTTGCGTACTATTGTTTGTACAGATGAACGTGGTACCTTCAGGCATTTGGAAATTGCTCCCAAGGATGAACCAGACTTGTGGAGGTCTACAATTGTTTTTCTGATGTCTTGGCTGATTTATTTTGATTTTCCCCATGATGTCAAGCAAAGAGGCACTGAGTTTGAAGGTAGGCCTTGAAATACATCCACAGGTGGTCCTCTGTAGCTCAGCTGGTAGAGCACGGCGCTTGTAACGCCAAGGTAGTGGGTTCGATCCCCGGGACCACCCATACACAAAAATGTATGCATGCATGACTGTAAGTCGCTTTGGATAAAAGCGTCTGCTAAATGGCATATTATTATTATTTTTACACCTCCAATAGACTCAAATGATGTCAATTAGCCTATCAGAAGCTTCTAAAGCCATGACATCCTTTTCTGGAATTTTCCAAGCTGTTTAAAGGCACCGTCAACTTAGTGTATGTAAACTTCTGACCCACTGGAATTGTGATACAGTGAATTATAAGTGAAATAATCTCTGTAAACAATTGTTGGAAAAATGACTTGTGTCATGCACAAAGTAGATGTCCTAACCGACTTGCCAAAACTATAGTTTGTTAACAAGAAATGTGTGGAGTGGTTGAAAAACTAGTCTTAATGACTCCAACCTAAGTGTATGTAAACTTCCGACTTCAACTGTACATGAAGGCAGGGTAAAGTGACTAGGCATCAGGATAGATAATAATAAGGTTCTTGAGGTAGATATGTACATGAAGGCAGGGTAAAGTGACTAGGCATCAGGATAGATAATAATAATAATAATAATAATAATAATAATAAGAGTAAAATAAAGAACAGAGTAGCAAATGTGGGGTGCATATGTAGTGAATTTGTGTGGGAGTGTCAAAGTAGGGTGTGTGTGTGTGAGTGAGTGAGGATCAATGCAAGATAGTCAGTGCAGATAGTTCGGGGACCATTAATTCAGTTGTCTGGCTATTTAGCGGTCTTATGGCTTCGGGGTAGAAGCTTTCTCAGAACCTGTTCGTCCGAGAGCTGATGCTCCGGTACCGTTTGTCGGACGGTAACAGAGTGAACAGTCTATGGCTTGGGTGGCTGGAGTCTTTGGCAATTTTTCGGGCCTTCCTCTGACACCGCCTGGTATAGAGGTCCTGGATGGCAGGGAACTCGGCCCCAGTGATGTATTGGGCTGTCCACACCACCCTCTGTAGCGCTTTGCGGTCAAGGGCGGTGCATTTGCCATACCAAGCGGTGATGCAGCCAGTCAAGATGCTCTCGATGGTGCAGCTGTAGAACTTTTTGAGGATCCGAGGGCCCATGCCAAATCTTTTCAGCCTCCTGAGGGGGAGGAGGAGGGGGAGGAGGCACTGCCGTGCTGTGTGGGCGGGTGTGTGTGGACCATGTTAAGTCCTTAGTGATGTGGACGCCAAGGAACATGAAGCTCTCGACCCGCTCCACAACAGGCTGGATGGGGAGGTGGACGTGGACAGGCCCTCCCCTTTTTTCTCCTATAGTACTGCTTGGTCTTACTGACATTGAGGGAGAGGTTTTTGCTCCGGCACCACACTGCTGTCTCTGACCTCCTCCCTGTAGGCTGTGTCGTCGCTGCCGTTGATCAGGCCTACCACCATCGTGTCGTCAGCAAACTTGATGATGGTGTGAGTCATGGGTGGCCATGCAGTCGTGGGTGAACAGGGAGTACAGGAGGGGACTAAGCACACACCCCTGAGGGGCCCCCGTGTTGAGGGTCAGCGTGGGGGTGGTGTTGTTGCCTACCCTCACCACCTTGGGGCGGCCCATCAGGAAGTCCAGGATCCAGTTTGCAGAGGGAGGGGTTCAGTCCAGGGGTCCCTAGCTTGGTGATGAGCTTGGAGGGCACTATGGTGTTAAACTATGAACAGCATTCTCACATTTATTTCCCCTCTTGTCCAGTTGGGAGAGGCCAGTGTGAAGTGCTATTGAGATCGATCTGTGGATCTGTTAGGAATTGTATGCGAATTGGAGTGGGTCTGGGATGATTGTGTTGATGTGTGTCATGGCCAGCCTTTCAAAGCACTTCATAATTACAGATGTGAGCGCTACCTGGGCGGTATTCATTTAGGCAGGTTACCTTGGTGCTCTTGGGAACAGAGACAATGGTGGTCAGCTTGAAACATGTTGGGATAACAGACTGGGCCAAGGAGAGATTGAAAGACACTTGCCAGTTGGTCTGCGCATGTTTTGAGAACGTGCCCTGGTATTCCGTCTGTCCCGGCGGCCTTGTTATTGTTAACCTGTTTTAAATGTTTTGCTCGCATCGGCCACGGAGAGACGAGGTCAGAGTCATTCAGAAAAACAGGGGCTTTCACACGCAAGGCACAGTGTTATATTCCTCAAAGCAAGCATAAAAGGCATTTAGCTCGTTTGGGAGTTCTACATCGCTGGGCAACTCACGTCTGGGTTTCCCTTTTTGTAATCAGTCATCGTCTACAAGCCCTGCCACATACGATTTGCGTCGGAGTCGGTGTAATAGGATTCCACCGTCCTCCTATATTGTCCTTTTGCATGTTTGATGTCTCGTCGGCTGTTGTAGCGGGCTTTCTCTTTTTGCGTACATGTCCGTGTCCTGTTCCTTGTAGGCGGTAGCTCGGCTGTTGTAGCGGGCTTTCTCTTTTTGCGTACATGTCCGTGTCCTGTTCCTTGTAAGCGGTAGCTCTAGCCTTTAGTCCAGCGTGGATATTGTCTGTTGGAGAGCAGACTGAACCAGGTTTTTCCTCTAGGATTTTGCTTGTTCTTAGCTTTATTCCATTTATTTGTATCCTAAAAACCTCCGTAGTCCTTGCCGATGACAAGCACACCCATAACATGATGCGGCCACCACCATGCTTGAAAATAAGAAGAGTGGTACTCAGTGATGTGTTGTATTTGCCCCAAACATAGCGCTTTTTGTATTCAGGACAGAAGGAAATTAGAGGTAGTTTCGCGAGCCAATGCTAACTAGCGTTAGCAGAATGAAATCTAGACTTTCAGTCATTGCGCTAGCTAGCAACTTCCTTCAAACTGCACGCAGAGACATAAAAATGGTATCCACAAGTTCATCTGACTCTGGGGAAGTAGATAAAGGGCCTCATTGCAAAAATTCCCAAGTATCCCTTTAAAGTCAACATTGGCCTCATGGTGAAATCCTGGAGCGGTTTCCTTCCTCTCCGGCAACTGAGTTAGGAAGTACGCCTGTATCTTTGTAGTGACTGGGTGTATTGATGCACCACCCAAAGTGTAATTAATAACTTCACCATGCTCAAAGGGATATTCAATATTCAAGGTCTGCTTTTTTTATTTTTACCAATCTACCAATAGGTGCCCTTCTTTGCGAGGCATTGGAAAACCTACCTGGTCTTTGTGGTTGAATGTTTGAAATTCACTGCTTGACTGAGGGACCTTACAATTATCTGTATGTGTGGGGTACAGAGATGAGGTAGTCATTCCAAAATAATGTCAAACACTATTATTGCAAACGGTGAGTCCATGCAACTTATTATGTGACTTGTTAAACACCTTTTTACTCCTGAACTTATTTAGGCTTGCCATAACAAAGGGGTTGAATACTTATTGACTCAAGACATTTCAGCTTTTCATTTTTTATTAATTAGTCAAATTTTCTAAAAAAAAAACATAATTCCACTTTTAAATTATGGGGTATTGTGTGTAGGCCAGTGACACAAAATCTCAGTTGAATCGATTTTTAATCAGGCAGTAAGTAACACAGCTAATTGTGGAAAAAGTCAAGGGTTCTGAATACTTTCTGAAGGCCCTGTATGTGATCGTATCCCAACGTAATCAAGGTTTGAAATTATTCTGTTTTTGTCATACTATATCTGTTTGGGATTCTTGCAGTCAATTTGCAGTTTACAAATTATTTATAACAATGTTCCGGCTCCGCGACCATCCGCTTAAGGAAAAATCTGCCCATGGCTGAATGTAATTGGGGAGCCCTGTTCTATGTGAAAGCACCCGTGTAACTACTCTTTTGGGTGAACAGAAAAGCGCAGTTTTAATCCGTTGACGAGATGTCTATATTAGAGTTTGCCTAATTTTGACATGGATCATAAATCGAAGGAAGATATGTTAAGTTATTGTAAGATCGTTAATTGAAAAGTTCATTTGGATGGATGTAGCAATTGCAGATTGCCACTTTTAATCTTTTTGTGGCATATTTTTTCAATCAGTTTTCTTTCTTCCTCTAGGTCTGCAGACTGAATATGCTTAACCCGTTTCTCGAAAACAAAGTCATGAAGAATACTCATTCTACCTGTCGACATTTAGGGAAGCCATAGTTGTTTATTCCATTTTTAGAATACAGAATAGCTTTCTCTTGCGTTCAATTATTTTATTACTGATCTTCATTTTGAATATGTTTTGTTTTTTGTTTTTCTTCATCCTTTCGATGGTAAATTCTTGCACCAGTTTATCTTGAGCGATGCTTCTCATTTTATACTGTAATGTCTACCTGTAATGTTAGCACTGTTGCTTATTTTATGAAATAAACTGAAGAAACAATAAAGGTTTCACACCAAAAACAACCAGGAGTGTCTCATGTGAGTGATCATGTGGGCCACGCCATGGAGATTCTTCTGTGATGTCTGTTTCATGTGGACCAGGTACAGTACAACCTCAAAAGATACAAACCAAATATTTTTTTGATGTTTTTTTTTTTAAGAAGTCTATTTCAAAGTTACGAACATTTCAGTATTTCAAACAACCTTCATTCCCGATGCGTTTGTGTCTGTGAGGTCCTACTGTGTTACAAGAGGTATGTAGCCAAGGTTAGAGTGGTAGAACAGTAGCCGGAAGGTTCTTGGTTCAAGCCCTGGGCCAGGCGACGAAGTGGGATCTGAACTGACAACCGTAGGGGTGCTGGCCTCTTCTCCACTGGCTGCCATTGTGCCCTTGAGCAAGGCACTTAGCTCTAGTCTATCGCAGGGCCTGAGCAAGATACTTGGCTTGGGGGGTGGGGGGGGGGGGTGTGTAAGACAAAATGAAATGAGTTTTCAGAGCTCAATCAAACCACAGCACATAGTATCAAGTTGTTATATTTAATTCCAAATCTTTCACATTGCATTTCTCAAACTCTCCTAAAGTTTTGGAGATATGAAAAAGTTAACATTCACTGTTTCTTCCAACAAATCAAATACTGAATTGACAGTGTATGTATATATATATATATTGGTGCTGATTTAATGATGACATGACAGTGACACAGCATCCCTTACAAGTAAAACAACAAAAATATCAAGATTATGGTCAAGGTCAATTCTACACTATCAACTTGCTAACTGAAGCAAATGCCATGTTCCTATGGTTTTGTTTTCTGTACAAAGATGCCCTATAAGTATGGCACGCAAGCCAAAACAACGGTCACCGGTCTTTTTTACAGTACGATCTCGTTAGCAATGGCAAACTTTTCCAGCCATTATTTGACGCTATTTAAAAACAAAAATGTGTCACGACTTTCACTCCTACTGCTAATTTGACTGGAATAAATTCTGACTACACAGCTATAATCCAGACTGTCTGTTTCTGAATTTGTCAATCTTGAGATTATGATGCAGTGGTTTTATGATCATCTAAGTGAATATGATCAATTATGACAATCTGAGAGAATATATCCTCTACTGTAGTTGTGAATGGTCATAAAATGGCATTCTGTAACAAATTTAAACAGCTGGTCTGTACCAAAGCCATATGGTTCTGGCAGGGACGGACTGGGACCTGAATCGGCCCAGGCATTTCTAACACACCGGACCATTCTTTTCTTTGAGGCCCTTATTATATTATTATTATTATTATTAACCTAATAATGATCATTCTGTGCAAAACATCCAATTTAGAAAGGCCCACTGGGCTAAAGATGGACCAGCCCATCTGGCATTTGCCAGAAATGCCCTATGACTGGTCCGGCTCTGGACTGTACTGTAGCTCATGGACTGGTTCTAGAGACAGGACCTGTCCAAGGCAGACAGGACCTGTCCAAGGCAGACAGGACCTGTCCAAGGCAGACAGGACCTGTCCAAGGCAGACAGGACCTGTCCAAGGCAGACAGGACCTGTCCAAGGCAGACAGGACCTGTCCAAGGCAGACAGGACCTGTCCAAGGCAGACAGTTGCTGGCTGTGGCCTACTATAACACATTTTCTTAGCTGGTGTGTACTGTAAGCAGCTGTAGAGAGAGTCATTACTGTAAGCAGCTGTAGAGAGAGTCATTACTTGTAGGCAGCTGTAGAGAGAGTCATTACTGTAGGCAGCTGTAGAGAGAGTCATTACTGTAGGCAGCTGTAGAGAGAGTCATTACTGTAGGCAGCTGTAGAGAGAGTCATTACTGTAGGCAGCTGTAGAGAGAGTCATTACTGTAGGCAGCACTAGAGTCATTACTGTAAGCAGCTGTAGAGAGAGTCATTACTGTAGGCAGCTGTAGAGAGTCATTACTGTAGGCAGCTGTAGAGAGAGTCATTACTGTAGGCAGCTGTAGAGAGAGTCATTACTGTAAGCAGCTGTAGAGAGAGTCATTACTGTAAGCAGCTGTAGAGAGAGTCATTACTGTAAGCAGCTGTAGAGAGAGTCATTACTGTAAGCAGCTGTAGAGAGAGTCATTACTGTAGGCAGCTGTAGAGAGAGTCATTACTGTAAGCAGCACTAGAGTCATTACTGTAAGCAGCTGTAGAGAGTCATTACTGTAAGCAGCTGTAGAGAGTCATTACTGTAGGCAGCTGTAGAGAGAGTCATTACTGTAGGCAGCTGTAGAGTCATTACTGTAAGCAGATCTAGAGAGAGTCATTACTGTAAGCAGCTCTAGAGTCATTACTGTAGGCAGATCTAGAGTCACTACTGTAGGCAGCTGTAGAGAGAGTCTTTACTGTAGGCAGCTGTAGAGAGAGTCATTACTGTAGGCAGATCTAGAGTCACTACTGTAGGCAGCTGTAGAGAGAGTCTTTACTGTAGGCAGCTGTAGAGAGAGTCATTACTGTAGGCAGATCTAAAGAGGCATTACTGTAGGCAGCTGTAGAGAGAGTCATTACTGTAGGCAGCTGTAGAGAGAGTCATTACTGTAGGCAGCTCTAGAGAGAGTCATTACTGTAGGCAGATCTAGAGAGTCATTGTAAGCAGCTATAGAGTCATTACTGTAGGCAGCTGTAGGGAGTCATTACTGTAGGCAGATCTAGAGAGTCATTACTGTAGGCAGATCTAGAGAGTCATTACTGTAGGCAGTTGTAGAGAGAGGCATTACTGTAGGCAGCTGTAGAGAGTCATTACTGTAGGCAGCTGTAGAGAGAGTCATTACTGTAGGCAGCTGTAGAGAGAGTCATTACTGTAAGCAGCTGTAGAGAGAGGCATTACTGTAGGCAGCTGTAGAGAGAGTCATTACTGTAGGCAGCACTAGAGTCATTACTGTAGGCAGCACTAGAGTCATTACTGTAAGCAGCTGTAGAGAGTCATTACTGTAGGCAGCTGTAGAGAGAGTCATTACTGTAGGCAGCTGTAGTCATTACTGTAAGCAGATCTAGAGAGAGTCATTACTGTAAGCAGCTCTAGAGTCATTACTGTAGGCAGCTGTAGAGAGTCATTACTGTAGGCAGATCTAGAGTCACTACTGTAGGCAGCTGTAGAGAGAGTCTTTACTGTAGGCAGCTGTAGAGAGAGTCATTACTGTAGGCAGATCTAAAGAGGCATTACTGTAGGCAGCTGTAGAGAGAGTCATTACTGTAGGCAGCTGTAGAGAGAGTCATTACTGTAGGCAGATCTAGAGAGTCATTGTAAGCAGCTAGAGTCATTACTGTAGGGAGTCATTACTGTAGGCAGCTGTAGAGAGTCATTACTGTAGGCAGATCTAGAGTCACTACTGTAGGCAGCTGTAGAGAGAGTCTTTACTGTAGGCAGCTGTAGAGAGTCATTACTGTAGGCAGATCTAAAGAGGCATTACTGTAGGCAGCTGTAGAGAGAGTCATTACTGTAGGCAGCTGTAGAGAGAGTCATTACTGTAGGCAGCTCTAGAGAGTCATTACTGTAGGCAGATCTAGAGAGTCATTGTAAGCAGCTATAGAGTCATTACTGTAGGCAGCTGTAGGGAGTCATTACTGTAGGCAGCTGTAGAGAGAGTCATTACTGTAGGCAGATCTAGAGAGTCATTACTGTAGGCAGTTGTAGAGAGAGGCATTACTGTAGGCAGCTGTAGAGAGTCATTACTGTAGGCAGCTGTAGAGAGAGTCATTACTGTAGGCAGCTGTAGACAGAGTCATTACTGTATGCAGCTGTAGAGAGAGTCATTACTGTAGGCAGCTGTAGAGAGAGTCATTACTGTAGGCAGCTGTAGAGAGTCATTACTGTAGGCAGATCTAGAGTCACTACTGTAGGCAGCTGTAGAGAGAGTCTTTACTGTAGGCAGCTGTAGAGAGAGTCATTACTGTAGGCAGCTGTAGAGAGAGTCATTACTGTAGGCAGCTGTAGAGAGAGTCATTACTGTAGGCAGCTGTAGAGTGAGTCATTACTGTAGGCAGCTGTAGAGAGAGTCATTACTGTAGGCAGATCTAGAGAGAGTCATTACTGTAGGCAGCTGTAGAGAGAGTCATTACTGTAGGCAGATCTAGAGAGAGTCATTACTGTAGGCAGCTGTAGAGAGTCATTACTGTAGGCAGCTGTAGAGAGTCATTACTGTAGGCAGCTGTAGAGAGAGTCATTACTTGTAGGCAGCTGTAGAGAGAGTCATTACTGTAGGCAGCTGTAGAGAGAGTCATTACTGTAGGCAGCTGTAGAGAGAGTCATTACTGTAGGCAGCTGTAGAGAGAGTCATTACTGTAGGCAGCTGTAGAGAGAGTCATTACTGAAGGCAGATCTAGAGAGTCATTACTGTAGGCAGCTGTAGAGAGAGTCATTACTGTAGGCAGCTGTAGAGAGAGTCATTACTGAAGGCAGATCTAGAGAGTCATTACTGTAGGCAGCTGTAGAGAGAGTCATTACTGTAGGCAGATCTAGAGAGTCATTACTGTAGGCAGATCTAGAGAGAGTCATTACTGTAGGCAGCTGTAGAGAGAGTCATTACTGTAGGCAGCTGTAGAGAGTCATTACTGTAGGCAGCTGTAGAGAGAGTCATTACTGTGGGCAGCTGTAGAGAGAGGCATTACTGTAGGCAGATCTAGAGAGTCATTACTGTAGGCAGCTGTAGAGAGAGGCATTACTGTAGGCAGATCTAGAGAGTCATTACTGTAGGCAGCTGTAGAGAGAGGCATTACTGTAGGCAGATCTAGAGAGTCATTACTGTAGGCAGCTGTAGAGAGAGGCATTACTGTAGGCAGCTGTAGAGAGTCATTACTGTAGGCAGCTGGAGAGAGGCGTTACACTACGGCTCTGTGATTTCCTGGCGATGCTCACAACAGATCACCACAGTATTACTGGAGGGGGGAATCAACTAGTATTGCTGGGATGTAGGAAGAGAAACCCACAAGTCATGTTTGAGATCATGTCTGATTGAAATATCCAATATGGAGCTTTTGACAGCTCCTTTTCCTGTGTTGATGGCTGGAACAGAGACATCAAGGTAAGTATATTGATGTGAAAGAAACTAGTCTGAAGTCCGCTGACTAAAGAATGTTGCTAACAGTCAAATGTCCTGGCAGTCTCTCCTTTAGCAGAGTCCGTGCAGCATGTACTGAATATTTAATTAAAGCGCTTCCTTTCACGTCTTTTGAAGAGAAATGGGATCGTTGTACAGACTGCACTGTACATTTTGGACTTGAAGACACATCACATTCTTAGTATACATGTAATATTAATTGGTATTTAGTTTTTAAAAAATTAAACAAAATGTGATACTGACTTTTCATTGTGGTTCCCTTGATGACCATAAAGTATCTCCTGTCCATTACAGTATCAGGATGATGTCAATGTTAATCCAGTTCAGGTTTGACACATTATACAGGTTTCATTGTTCTGATACACCATGCTAGTAGAATGAGAAACATGCTGACAGAAAGACTGCAGCCATTGTATATTAAAGGATTTTGTGTGGCTTGTGCTTTTTTGTTGTCTGTCCAGTTTCTTTACAACGGTTTGGAAACCATCAGTGCTCTCTGCAAACTGAAAAAGTAAAAAATGAAGGTCTCTTGTATTATTGCTACATTAATCTGATTTGATGTAGCAAAAATACACAACATTTCATTCACAACTGCGCCAACACGGTTTGATGATATACTCCTACAGCAACACATGCCTCTAAATGTCAATCAAAATGGTAGACATTGTTTTTTTGTTTTTTTTAAATTGAAATGGTATATTGCAGTTTGCTCTACAATGCTCCTACTCTGAATATAAAACCCCTGTTATGTCTACTGTATAGCCCGTACGTTTCACGTGACTGACCTCTGGCTGGGAAATGGAAAATGCTGCCGTTACAATGCTCATTTACCGGACACTTTTATCCAAAGCGACTTACAGAACCGTCAAACATCGACAGTGACCATATCTTAAAATACCAGGTACCCTGTCCTGCTGGTTGTAGTTTTAGCAAGGCTTAGATTCAGTACATGACCCCATACAGGAACGTACCGTTTGTTTTCAATACAGCACCAACCACTCTGGATGAAACTCCCTCTCCGTCTGGCTCTTTCTCTATGCTGTGAGGGGGGCTTTGAATTCGGCCGGTACGTCACTGTCCAGTTTACAGATGACCTTATAGAACCAACCACTCTGGATGAAACTCCCTCTCCGTCTGGCTCTTTCTCTATGCTGTGAGGGGGGCTTTGAATTCGGCCGGTACGTCACTGTCCAGTTTACAGATGACCTTATAGATGGCTTTCTTCCAGGATGGGTCCGAGTCTCTGGCCAGAGAGATGGCGACGTAAAACTCCTGCAGTGTGATCTCAGCCACTTCAAGGAACCTGTCAGGGACCTGTAGATTAAAAGGCACAACCTGTAAGATATGTAAATGGTCAATCTGCAATTCAAAACAAAGCCGCCACCATTTTGGTAAAAAGCTGATGGGTCTCGAGAAATGTAACCACTCAAATGTATAGACAGAGCTATGGATGCAAGGACTGACCATCCAGGATATCAACATTATAACTCTAACCTATACAGACCAAGGACTGACCATCCATGATATCAACACTATAACTCTAACCTATACAGACCAAGGACTGACCATCCATGATATCAACATTATAACTCTATCCTATACAGACCAAGGACTGTATGATGACATCATGATATGGAACATGGAAGGTTATTATAGTTGTGTTTTTATATTATTTATTATTTCTGTTAGTTCTTAGATTTGTATTTGAAATTCAGTTTAGTTTCAGTTTTCAGACCTGATTTATTTGTTTTTATTTACACAGAACAAAAATAAAACGCAACATGCAACAATAAAACATATTTTACTGAGTTACAGTTCATGTAAAGAAATCAGTCAATTGTAATAAATGTATCTGGCCCTAATCTATGGATTTCACATGACTGGGAATACAGATATGCATCTGTTGGCCACAGATACCTTAAAAAAAGGTACGAGCGTGGATCAGAAAACCAGTCAGTATCTGGTGTAACCACCATTTGCCTCATGCAGCGTGACACATCTCCTTCCAATAGAGTTGATCAGGCTGTTGATTCTGGCCTGTGGAATGTTTTCCCACTCATCTTCAATAGCTGTGTGAAGTTGCTGGATTTTGGCGGGAACTGGAACAAACACTTCTGTCGTACACGTCGATCCAGAGCATCCCAAACATGCTCAATGGGTGACATGTCTGGTGAGTATGCAGGTCATGGAATAATTGGGACATTTTCAGCTTCCAGGAATTGTGTACAGATCCTTCTGACATAGGGCCGTGCGTTATCATGCTGAAACATGAGGTGATGGCGGCAGATTAATGGCACGACAATGGGCCTCAGGAACTCGTCACGGTATCTCTGTACATTCAAATTGCAATTGTGTTCGTTGTCCGTAGCTTATGCCTGCCCATACCATAACCCCACCGCCCCCATGGGGCACTCTGTTCACAACGTTGACATCAGCAAACCGCGCGCCCACACGACGCCATATATGCTGTCTGCCATCTGCCCGGTACAGTTGAAACTGGGATTCATCTATGAATAGCACACTTTTCCAGCGTGCCAGTGGCCATCGAAGGTGAGCATTTGCCCACTGAAGTCGGTTACGACGCCAAACTGCAGTCAGGTCAAGACCCTGGTGAGGACGACGAGCACGCAGACAAGCTTCCCTGAGACGGTTTCTGACAGTTTGTGCAGAACTTCTTTGGTTGTGCAAACCCACTCTTTCATCAGCTGTCCGGGTGGCTGGTCTCAGACGATCCCACAGGTGAAGAAGCCAGATGTGGAGGTCCTTGGCTGGCGTGGTTTCACGTGGTCCGCGGTTGTGAGGCCGTTTGGACGTACTGCCAAATTCTCTAAAACAACATTGGAGGCGGCTTATGGTAGAGAAATTAACATTCAATTCTCTGGCAACAGCTCTAGTGGACATTTCTGCAGTCAGCATGCCAATTGCACGCTCCCTCAATACTTGAGACATCTGTGGCATTGTGTTGTGTGACAAAACTGCACATTTTAGAGTGGCCTTTTATTGTCCCCAGCACAAGGTGAACCTGTGTAATGATCATGCTGTTTAATCAGCTTCTTGATATGCCACACCTGTCAGGTGGATGGATTATCTTGGTAAAGGAGAAATGCTCACTAACAGGGATGTAAACACATTTGTGCACAAAATTTGAGCGAAATAAGCGTATGGAACATTTATGGGATCTTTTATTTCAGCTCACTAAACATGGGACCAACACTTTACATGTTGCGTTTATATTTGTGTTCAGTGTAGTTTGAGTTTTATAAAAACATTTCTATTTCGATGTTATATTATTTAGTTTTAGGGACGGAAAGTTGTGGATTTCTTCCCTGTTAGCTAGTGATAGATAATTATAGTGATGCACAAGCTAGATCTGTTTGAAACATCACAATCTCCTGGCAGCATTTACCCTCTGGATTCTCAAGCTTGAAAACTCCATTAGAAAAAAGCTTAAACTCAGTCGATTATCTTATTTCAGTTTACGAAATTGTTTTTTTAATGATTAGTTTTAGTTTACTATAGTAACCTTGGTTGGGAGCAGAGTAGAATAAACAGTTCATTCTGTTGATGGACTAATACAAATCATATTCTATTCTCCAACCAGCATTAGCAAACAAGACATCAGACACAGTAAGCAACATCAAATGTAATCAACCCCCTCCCCAACTCCACCCCTCTGAACTCACAGGTTTTATATCTGTCGGGCCTATTGACCTTTGGCCCATTTTAAAGTGTTTTGTTTGTGTGTGTGTGCTTTCAACTCACCGTACCGCATTGATCTTTGTAGACTTTGTACAGATATATAAAGCTCTAAAAAAGAATCTGTGCTTAAGACTTCCGCTAACATACCTGTTGTACACGCCGACCACCCATAAACAACGTGTTGTGCATACCATCTTACATTTCGATCAAATTGACTGTCTGTACAGGAATCCAGCTGAGCACAATGGAGGCGTAAAAGGGATGAAGACGTGTCTTAAAAAATACACGAGAGAGTTGGAAGTCCATGAGCAGCGCGATGGATTCAATCCGCTTAGCGAACCAGAATGTAGGCTCGCGGCATGAGAGGATGGTCGTACGATTTGAAATGGATAGAGATTTACAGTACCTGAAAGTCATTGGCCTTGTTGTAGTGCATGTTGAGGGCTCTGAAGAGCTCAGAGTCTCTTCCCACTGTTACATCCCCCACGCTGTTCACCCCCTCCACTCGGGCCTGACGGGCAAACTTCTCCATCTGAATATAGTAGAACTCTCTGAAGTTGCTGAACCATTTAATCAGCTGGGACATGATACAGCGAGTGAGCTGTATGGGAACACAAATAAACAAAAGAGTTTGGGTGAGTACGTTCTAAGTTATATTTTAAATGAGCGATTAGTTATTTCTGGGTTATTTTCACTTTGTCTGATGTAGGTTTAATTTAGTTGCTTTTAGTGTGTGTGTGATCATTTTGTTCATCCCACTGTTTCTGCTTTCATTGTAAATATGTCAATAAATCATGTATGAACTATTTAAATAAAGCAAATTGCCCACAGTTATGTGTTCAGTGATTGTTTTCAATGAGGGGATTCTATCTCAACATTTCAGGTATTCACTCTACACCATAGTAAAAGGTCATTCATTAAAATCTGTATAATTCTCTGGATATATAACACACCATTTATAAAAATGTAAAATCTGTAGACACTATCTATACAAAAGTATGTGGACACCCCTTCAAATTAGTGGATTTGGCTTTTCAGCCACACCCGTTGCTGACAGGTGTATAAAAATCGAGCACACAGCCATGCAATCTCCATAGACAAACATTGGCAGTAGAATGGCCTTACTGAAGAGCTCAGTGACTTTCAACGTGGCGCCGTCATAGGATGCCACCTTTCCGACAAGTCAGTTCGTCAAATTTCTGCCCTGATAGAGCTGCCAAGGTCAACTGTAAGTGCTGTTATTGTGAAGTGGAAAGCCACGAAATGGTAGGCTACACAACCTCACAGAACGGGACCGGCGAGTGCTGAAGCGTGTAGAGCTTTAAAATAATCCGTCCTCGGTTGCAACACTCACTACTGAGTTCCAAACTGCCTCTGGAAGCAACGTCAGCACAAGAACTGTTCGTCGGGAGCTTCATGAAATGGGTTTCCATGGCCGAGCAGCCTCACACACGCCTAAGATCACCATGCGCAATGCCAAGCGTCGGCTGGAGTGGTGTAAAGCTCGCCGCCATTGGACTCTGGAGCAGTGGAAAACGCGTTCTCTGGAGTGATGAATCACGCTTCACCATCTGGCATTCCGACGGACGAACCTGGGTTTGGCGGATGCCAGGAGAACGCTACCTGCCCTAATGCATAGTGCCAACTGTGAAGTTTGGTGGAGGAGGAATAATGGTCTGGGGCTGTTTTTCATGGTTCGGGCTAGGCCCATTAGTTCTAGTGAAGGGAAATCTTAACGCTACAGCATACCATTTTTCACATTTACATTTTAGTCATTTAGCAGACGCTCTTATCCAGAGCGACTTACAGTTAGTGAGTGCATACATTTTCATACTGGCCCACCGTGGGAAACGAACCCACAACCCTGGCGTTGCAAGCGCCATGCTCTACCAACTGAGCTACAATGACATTCTAGACGATTCTGTGCTTCCAACTTTGTGGCAACAGTTTGGGGAATGCCCTTTCCTGTTTCAGCATGGCAATGCCCCCGTGCACAAAGCGAGGATCCATACAGAAAGGGTTTGTCGACATCGGTGTGGAAGACCTTGACTGGCCTGCACAGAGCCCTGACCTCAACCCCTTCAAACACCTTTGGGATGAATTGGAACGCCGACTACAAGCCAGGCCTAATCGACCAACATCAGTGCCCGACCTCACTAATGCTCTTGTGGCTGAATGGAAGCAAGTCCCCCGCAGCAATGTTCCAACATCTAGTGGAAAGCCTTCCCCAGAAGAGCGGAGGCTGTTATAGCAGCAAAGGTGGGGACCAACTCCATATTAACGCCCATGATTTTGGAATATGAGATGTTCGATGAGCAGGTGTCCACATACTTTTGGTCATGTGGTGTATTTCATTACCTGGACATCGGAGAAAAAGGTTGTGAGCACGTTAGAGCTAGGGTAGCGAGAATAGAAGAACATCAACTTGGCTTTCTTCAGATGGTGTGTGGTCAGACCTTCCTACATATACTAAGGTTAAGGAGCTAATACGTACTGTACTCAAGTCATGCATACATCAGAATAATATGAATGGAAGAAAATATATATTGTATTCCTAAAGAAAATGATGTTGATGATACTCTGATTGTTTTCACTATTGCTACACTTCTACTTCAATATTACTACCGTTGAAATAGAAGCTCCTGGTCCTGAATCCTGACAATTATTATCAAAGACTGGTATTATTTTACGTCAGTGTTTTTCTCTGTCCTGCAATCATTAGACTACACTCAGATGGTAGAAGCAATTGCCTTAGGAGTAGAGATCACAAGATCAAAAGGGGAAATTATCCTTGAAGTGCATCCTACCACAGGTACTGCTAATGCTAGCCCAAGCCTCAGAGATATTGTACTCCTGGAAAGAGGATTGATTTTTGTTTACGGACTATCCATGTGGGCAGAGAATGGTTATTATGAGACACTTAGATAAACCTCAAAGAAAGGCAATCTTCCTTAGGCACAGTATTATTGATATGACTCATCGTACCTGAAGCCAATTGCCTCACTAAAGAAAGCCAACCAAAGAATCTATCATTTTGGTGGAAATGCCAGGCATTTGAAAAACCCAGATCATGCTTGACCACGACATGTAACACTCATATTACAGATTCACTGACTAACTGTAATATTACAGATTCCCTAAATCAATGTGAAGTATATAGTAGTATTCTATAGTAAAATCTCTGTGCAGAGCCGTGGTGTTGTAGTAAACACTCCCTGTCACATAATACTGTATGACTCCCTGACCGGAGACCAGGGTCCGAATCCCGTCCCGCTGTTTCTCCCACCCGCCTGTCTCCTCATCCCTTGTCCTTACTGTCTGAATAAAGTGGTAAAACACCTAAATGTTTAAAAATAATAATAACACTATTTTTGAAAGGATACATTCAGCACATATGAGGTCCTCTTCACCCTGCTCTGGAAGCTACCACACTCCATCTTGACGTGAGGGAGACCGATACTGTCCAGAAGCACATGATGCCCTGTGGCCATGGGGTGGTGAGCCTGAGGACTCCTGGGTGGCCTGGAGGTCACCTTGGACCTCACTTTGACCGGATCCCACAATAAGTCAACCATCTCTGGGGTAGGCAGACCCGTGGTAGTGGGTCTACACTGGAGCCCTTCGAAGGTATCTTGATGGTAGCTGTTGTGTTTGAGGTTATCCAGTACTTGGTGGTCTTCCTGTAGGGCAGTGGGGTGGTTGTATAGGAGGGAGGGCTGGTGGAAATGGAGAGGCCTTTTCACTGTTAAGTTTAGAGAACATGGGCGAGAAATTGAAGCAGGCTTTTGAACAACCAGAGATAGAGCCTCGGTTTGAATCTCTGGTAGTTGTTGGGCTATACCACTCTTGGAACATGGGGGGAGTCGTGACATGCTGTCTACATGGGTGGATGATGACGCTGGCTCGTGAGAGCTGAGGAACATGGTCTCATCGTCTGTTTCCACCATTCCCCCATCCTCGACGTGTAGCTGTGGTGACTTGAATAAAGTATGTGATGTGTTTTTGAAAATCGAGTCAACGCTAGAGTTTATGGCTCTGGAGAGCTCATCCTTGAGAATATCTGCTAGGAGTTTGTCTTCTTTGTCTGGGTTTGAGTGGATGTAGTCAGTTAGCTTGTGATTCTTACATCCCAGATGACCTTTATCTAAAGGCCTTCCATTGTTAAACTCACTGTAAGGGTCCATGAACACCTCTGTCTCCGGGTATCCTTTGAACCAAGTACGTTGGTGGTCATCCTCCATCACACCTGTTGAAATCGCCCCATCACTGACGTCCTCAGACTCAGTCTGGTACTCGTAGATTTGGATGAACCTGGCCTGGAGTTGACCCAGGAGCATCTGCATGGTCTGAAGCTGCTTCCTCAGGTTATGGCCCTCGTCCGTACTCTTCCCACTAGCGCCCCCTTTCCTCAGGAGGTCCTGGTGCTGCGGCACCCTCTGTTTCCTCTTATTCTCCTGCTTGTTTTCCATTGTCTCACTCTCAAGGTCACTGGTTGGAGTGGTCTCCCCCTCATCTGTACAATGAACACCGGGACTGGGAGGAGAGCCTGCCATGCCTCTGATGATGTTCTCCACTCTGGCACGCTTCGCCCGGCGTCTGTCCCCCAGCTCCAGGGTCCAGTCCTGGGTCGACCCGGCCCCATTGGGGCTGACTCTAGTGGGGCTGGCCCCGGTGGATGCCTGGCTGGCTGGAGACAGAGGCTCCATGGTGGCGCTGCTGCTCTTGGAACAAGTGCTGCTGTGATGATCCGCCAGGCTAGCGCTCGTCAAGGCAGAGAAGGTAATATGAGCGTCAGGGTGGTAATATGCAGCGGTGCTCTCCTGGAGGGTCCGTTTACTCTCAATGGTTTTCTGTAGGAGCATAGAGATGAGGGATCCTGCGCTTGAGTGAGAGGAGGATGGAGGAGTGGACGAGTTGTATGTGTTGTCGTGTAGAAAGGAGGAAGGGTGCTCTGCTCTGTCCTCTGGGTAGGTACTGCTGGGGAAATGATGCATGCTGTGGTCCAGAAGACTTGGGTTCATGCTTCATGTAAAATAAAGACAAATGTCGTTTATCTGAACAAACGGTTTTAGAAATTAGGCACATTTGTACTAAAATCTGTAAAGGAAAACAATATTGTTCATGGAAAACCATCAATACTGCCAAATGTGAAGTTATTTCCCCCAGAAAACAACATATAATTGTAATGATAAAACTATATTTAGCAGATCTGCTATAGTATTTATTAATAATCTATAATTTGGCCATTGGTAATAACTATTAAATTTTGTACGTTTTTAACAGCAGTTTGAAAGTTATACGTTTTGTGAAGTCAAATCTACCAGACAACAATATCTGTATTCACAGTGTGCAACAATGATGTAGACTCATAGAATATTACATTTTACATTTTATATTTTAGTCATTTTAGCAGACGCTCTTATCCAGAGCGACTTACAGTTAGTGATAGTTAAATCACACTGTTTCTTTTAATAAAAAATATAAACATATTTGACCTATTACTTTCAAAAATCATTATTGTTGTTGAGAACATTATGTTATAGCCTATTGCCTACATTTCACCTGTATTTCCTAAGATCCCACAGACACAAACAAGAAAAGAATGTCTGCCTACCTGTCGCTCAGAGTGAAGATAGCTGTCCAGAGAAGAGAGCAGAATTTAAGCTTGCCACAGGAGAGGAGGGTTATTATAAACAGGGCAATGCTGTATTTCATAGAACCCCATAAATCCACACAAGGAGGGGGCGTGGCACCCTATAATTAAAGCAAACTCATTATCAATTAGCTCGTACCATCAGCCTCTGTGGGAACGAAATGAGACACAAAAACATTTCCTAATTTTGGTTTGCACAATATCACATCGCATGTTTTTGAATGGCGCATGTTTATTATTTAGCCTTTTATTTCCATACATTGATGACAAAATACGATTGAATTAATTAGCTCCTTCAATAATTATAACATGATTTATCATGTTTAATATTTTAGACAACAAAATGCATCCTAAAGTTCAGACTGTAGTAGTGTAGGCAGGCCAACTAGGAATGAGCTACCTCCCCTATCATTAAAACGACATTGGTTTGTCCCTAATCGCTTCCGGTCGGCGCAGACCATTCGTGACCGGCTCTCCTGTCACCCCGGAGACCTTCGTAACAACTCCCTTGGTCGGTTTGCCACCGCTGTCGAAGCTATGTTATCGCATTCCCGATGTCTTTCCCGGACACTTGGGCGTTCTCTGTCTGCGCTAAGTCAGGTAGGAGAGGAATACCAATTCAATTTCCCATGTACCGAATCTTTGGGTTCGGCAAGGCTTTTTTTGAAGGCCATAGCTAGCAGGAAATAGGCCTCACCCGAACCCAAGGACATAATGACACCCCTCCTACTCCTATGTCTAACTAATTCAATGGCTTGTTTTCCCCCCCTCAATACATTATGAAATATAAGTCTTTGGATATGCTTAGTTAGTAGGAATGTCACCAAAACCGTTAACTTAGCTAGCTAAATTATTTAAAGACCCATCGGACTGTCACGTGTAGCTAAATCGGTTAAACTAACTAGATAGCTATAGTTAGCTATCTGAGCTCATTAGCTAGTTAGCATTATGGTATTATTATTTTTTTTTTTTTACTGGGATTTGCTGGTTGGCGTTACAAGAATAGCTAGCTAAGTAGCTAGCTAGCTAGTAAGGTAGCTAGCCTAACTATCCATAAGATTACTAGCTAACTAGTCAACTAGCTAGCTATAGATGTCCTCTAGAATCCATGGTGGGTTTCCAAATTAACAGGCGTGAGCTGGCACAGTTCACACAGTGACATGTCAGGTATATGCAACACTCATTTAATACCGCAGATGGCTAGGTAGTAACTAGTTGTACACATTCAGGATTGTCAAGACATACACTTGAGCCACAACAATCATTGCATAGGCTGCAGTGATATTCCCCAGCTAGCAGTTCGTTTGTCTGTTTCTGGTGTATTTTACAGCTGACCTCTGTTTGAAACTTGCGCCAGAAATAGCCCGTGTCATGCCAGGCATGAAGGTGTCATGTGTGGAGTTCATCTGTTCTTAGCTGAGGAACGCTAAACTCCGGTCTCTTATATCGAGGAAAGACGTCGGTGGTTGTATTCGATAAAAGTTTTTATTACGTTTTTATATATTTATTAAGTGTGAATTTCAGCACCACGCGGAAGAAGAGCATTTGTAAATGACAAACATAGGTGCAGGTAAGCTTTTTCAGAATTGATATTTTTTTACGAGTATCGACTGACTAAGAAGTCACAGTTATCAATACACAACTCGATATAAGATAACGGAGTTGAGCGTTCCTCAGCTACAGCTGTCTCTGCTTCCCCACTTTCACTACACCAAGTTACACCACCACCGATCTGCTGGAACAAAGACTGTTACCATGATAGTCTGAAAGAAGTCCCTGTAAAAAAAAAAAAGACGCAATACATAGTCTCTACAAGACAGAATGTTGAATAAAATGATATTTAGAAAGACTTTACTGGTTTACATGCTGTTGGTTCTTTTGGCGGTAGGAGGTGGTATCCACGGGAACGTGATGTTTACCCGACTTTTTGCTGTGCTGGTAGTTTCTGTCAGTTGTATATTTTAAATCTGTTGAGGAATTCCACTTCATGCACAATATGTAAACAGTAGCCGAATGTAACCGAATGTAGTGGACAGAAGCAGGTTTCCTTGCAATCAGCTGGTAGTGTTTTCCATTCATTCGGCTCGGCCATATTGTGTAAGTGTTTGTCACGTGCGAATTGCATCAGTATTGAAAAAATAAATAAAACAGAAATATAAACAATATCCAGACCAGCATACTGAAGGTCGGGTTGGTAACACTACTCTGTGGATATTTTGTCTCACATTCCTACCTCCCAAAAGGCAAAAGGACCAACCACACGGACAACCGGTAAAGTATCATTTTATTCAGCATTCGGGCTTGTAGAGGTCATGAGAGGAAAAGTTCCTGATCCAAACGCGCATTTCTGCCCGACATAGAATTCTATGCAATTCAACGAACAAAGTAACTAGCTAACCTATGCCATGGCCAGTGTTGCCCGAGTATCTGGGCGTTAGGCATCTCTAACGCCCAGGAAGCTCAGATTCAAACTCCCATTAGACATCTCTGCAAGCGTTATGTCAATATGTTTTTTTATGCACCAAATAAGCAGTTTCGCTGAGTAACTATCTTCATTTAGTCCCGTTACGGCCAGTATGTACTTCCAAAAAGGAACAAATAAAACATTTACAAGCAACTGAAGAAATGCCTATTCAGCACCTCTCAAGGATTGCCACTCACAAGAGAAAAGAGGGGGATAACATGTATATCAAAGGTTCAGGAAAGGGGAGGATAAAATGTTTATCAAAGGTGCAGGAAAGAGGGGGATAACATGTGCGTCGAAGGTGACTCATTCACTGTGTCAGTTCTGTGGCATTGAACTCCAGCTATGTTATTAGTTCATGTCTGAATTCAGGAACACGTGGTGGCAAGCAGTAGACCCAGATGTTTTGTCTCGTTATACTGAGATGCAGGGGTGTTCTCAGTACGACAGAACGGTGCGCGCCGTTACATTCAATGGAAATGGTACTGAACATCCTGTTGAAAAACGTTGTGATTATGGTGGCCCAGAGGGGCTATTGTGTACGGTGTGCTGCACGAGTTATCCGATTTCAGTCACACCCATATAGATCAGCCCACACCTCGCCACACCCACCAAACAGGAGCAAACGTCCCTAAAGGGCTGTTGAAGAACGGTGCGCACCGTTTTGGGGGGAAACGTGTTGTTCGGTACAAACCATCAAGCAACGTAGCAAATGTTGAACTGAACTGAACGCACCCCCAGTTCTTCGTTTGTGTTTTTGAACAAAGCTGTTTGTTTGAATCATGGAGATCTTTAATCTAAGCACACCTGCACAGTCTTTGCCTCAACTGCTACAAATTCAAAACTCCCATTATGCAACCAAACATATTGAATGAAGATGCAGGCCGATTGATTCTGAAACAGCCCAGCGAAGAATTCAATTGAAAGGATATTTATCTTCCTCCCTTTCGCATTTCTTTTCAGGGGAATAATGTGCTGGCTGGAAGGACTGCTTCGGGTGAGTGGGCCGTTCTCTTTCTGTGTCTGCAGGGTTAAGCAGTACAGGGTCCTGTTCATTAGGGCACACCGTAAAACAAAACGTTTTGCAACGGAAAACAAAAACAAGCTTTCCTCATTGGACAAGTCCATGTAAGCCCTTCCCCGTTTCAGTCCGTTTTTGTTCCGTTGTGTGCCTGATGAACACGGCCCACACAGGACTAATGTAAGATCAGAGGCCTTTGTTCCTCGTTATAAATCTGAATAAACATGTTCTGTATGGATGGTGATTCATGGCTCAGAAGACTGTAATGTTCATTAAGTATCAAAGAGCACTGAAGGGCCAGTGAGTGGTTAAATATGCCCCCATCATCAAGGAGCTGTTAATGCATTCGCCCGGGCCAGGGTTCTCAAGAAGACTGACTCAACAGTGGCAGCCATGGTTATCATCCTGTTAATAATTATTATAATAATATATCTCTGTCTCTCTCCCTCTCTCTCTGTCTCTCTCCCTCTCTCTCTGTCTCTCTTTCTCGGTCTCTGTCTCTGTCTCTCTCCCTCTCTCTCTGTCTCTCTCCCCCTCTCTCTGTCTCTCTCCCTCTCTCTCTGTCTCTCTCCCTCTCTCTCTGTCTCTCTCCCTCTCTCTCTGTCTCTCTCCCTCTCTCTCTGTCTCTCCTTCTCGGTCTCTGTCTCTCTCTCCCTCTCTCTCTGTCTCTCTTTCTCTGTCTCTCTCTGTCTCTCTCCCTCTCTCTCTCTCTCTCTCTCCCTCTCTCTCTGTCTCTCTCCCTCTCTCTCTGTCTCTCTCCCTCTCTCTCTGTCTGTCTCTCTCTGTCTCTGTCTCTCTCTGTCTCTCTTTCTCTGTCTCTCTTTCTCTGTCTCTCTCTTCTATCTCCTTGAAGGCCTCTCTGCTGGCAACAGGGTTGTCTACAGGAACAGTCAGTTGTAAGTGTCCTCCCTGTCCTGGGTTTATCTCAGTATGTTTTGCCTCAGGCTGACAAACACAAATCTGAAGACGTCCCATGCATTTCTGTCTGCTGCAGAATACGTTTCAGTCTTTGTAATGTGTGTTGCACTTAGTTTTAAGCCACTTGTTTTTAAAACGGGCTACTCCATAGGCTGCTACATAATAACGTGTTTTCTTCTTCTGTGTTTTAGATGTGAATCTCTGTCATCCGTTGGCGTCTTCCGCATCAGATACTTCAAGACGTCCGCAGCACACAGTAAGTTTTCAAACCCCAGTCTCGTCTGCCTTCTGGGACCTGTGTATTAAAACAAGTCGCTGTATTAAATAAAATCTCACTCTGACGTTTTTGTTTTCCATCAGGGGATGAAGTTGTCATCGTCAACACCCCTCCGTTCTCTGAGTCGATCACAGAAGGGGACGTGAGGTGGGAGAAAGGTAGGTGTCCTGGCTTTTTTATGTGGAGCCAGCTCATGTTTAGTATCTTGTTCCCTAACACCTACCTAGTAACACCTACCTAGTAACACCTACCTAGTAACAGCTACCTAGTAACACCTACCTAGTAACACCTACCTAGTAACAGCTACCTAGTAACACCTACCTAGTAATACCTACCTAGTAACACCTACCTAGTAATACCTACCTTTGGTATTTTCCAGCTGTTGGAGATTCAGTAAAAGAGGATGAGGTGGTGTGTGAGATCGAGACTGATAAGGTACTGTATACACCAAGAAGTCACAAATTATAATGGAATACAAAATAGAGCCATGACTGTTTTTAAAAAGCAATTTGTGTAATAAAGAAATGGCATTGATGATCAGATATTTAGAGGAGGCGAGCTATCAAATGCTGAAATGTAGTGAGTTTGTAATTTCACCAACTGTTTGATAAGAAGAATACATTTTCTCTCAGACCTCGTTGCAGGTGCCATCTCCGTCGGCCGGTGTGATCACGGAGCTGCTTGTGCCAGATGGGGGGAGGGTAGAGGCCGGGAATCCCCTCTTCAAACTCAAAAAAGGAGGTAGGCTCTCTCCCCCTTTCGTCTCTCTCATCCAACTGATCCTGTCATCGTCATACACATAGTACCAACTTGTCATTCGTATCAGGAGATGATCTGAAAATCACACAATCAGGATTTTTAATGTCTCTTCTTCTCTGGTCAGCTGCAGCAGCAGCCTCTGTCCCAGCAGCCTCTGTCCCAGCAGCGGAGGTCCCAGCAGCAGCCGCCTCTGTCCCAGCCCCGGCCGCCGTCCCTGTCGCCATGCCCACACAAGCAGCCCACGCCAAACCTGGTACGACAGCTGCTCAACTGTTACAAACGTACATCAGATTCATGTTAACTTGAGTGAAATTATAAAAAAATATATATTTAAGCAGGGGGTCTAACTAACACTTTGATCATTATAAGCTTTTTTGCATAATAAAGTCTGTCTTTTGCTCTCTCTCTCTTTCTAGTTTCTGCGGTCAAGCCCACTGCACCAGTACCAGTACCAGCAGCAGCTCATGGGACCAGGACAGAGAGCAGGGTAAGTCCTCTGCTTTAGGTCAACACTTCCATACTAACAGAACTAGATGAAATAGCAGGGTAAGTCCTCTCCACACCAGGTCAGCCTTAGGTCAACACTCCCAAACTAACAGAACTAGATGAAATAGCAGGGTAAGTCCTCTCCACACCAGGTCAGCCTTAGGTCAACACTTCCATACTAACAGAACTAGATGAAATAGCAGGGTGAGACCTCTCCACACCAGGTCAGCCTTAGGTCAACACTTCCATACTAACAGAACTAGATGAAATAGCAGGGTGAGACCTCTCCACACCAGGTCAGCCTTAGGTCAACACTCCCATACTAACAGAACTAGATGAAATAGCAGGGTGAGACCTCTCCACACCAGGTCAGCTTTAGGTCAACACTCCCATACTAACAGAACTAGATGAAATAGCAGGGTGAGACCTCTCCACACCAGGTCAGCCTTAGGTCAACACTCCCATACTAACAGAACTAGATGAAATAGCAGGGTGAGACCTCTCCACACCAGGTCAGCCTTAGGTCAACACTTCCATACTAACAGAACTAGATGAAATAGCAGGGTGAGACCTCTCCACACCAGGTCAGCCTTAGGTCAACACTTCCATACTAACAGAACTAGATGAAATAGCAGGGTGAGACCTCTCCACACCAGGTCAGCTTTAGGTCAACACTTCCATGCTAACAGAACTAGATGAAATAGCAGGGTGAGACCTCTCCACACCAGGTCAGCTTTAGGTCAACACTTCCATGCTAACAGAACTAGATGAAATAGCAGGGAAAGGCCTTGGGCTGGTTTCAAACCAAGAGAAGTGTCTTGCTGTTTGTTTATTGAGAAACCAAACAGGTGCTCCCAACCAATTGTCTTATTATTCCTCCAGGTGAAGATGAATCGCATGAGGCTGAGGATCGCCCAGAGGCTGAAGGAAGCTCAGGAGACCTGTGCCATGCTCACCACCTTCAACGAGATAGACATGAGGTACTGTTCAATCCCACTTCGTTCATCCCCTACGGTCAAGTGGTTCCAGGCCAACAGCGGTTGCAAACATACAGATATAGACGCTTAACAAATGGCGTCTTTTTTTACTCTTGTAAATGTTGTTGTTGTCCACCAAATGACCACCCAGTAGGAAGCTCCCTTTAATGGTGGTTCTCTCCCATCCCTCACACCCTCCTTTAATGGTGGTTCTCTCCCATCCCTCACACCCTCCTTTAATGGTGGTTCTCTCCCATCCCTCACACCCTCCTTTAATGGTGGTTCTCTCCCATCCCTCACACCCTCCTTTAATGGTGGTTCTCTCCCATCCCTCACACCCTCCTTTAATGGTGGTTCTCTCCCATCCCTCACACCCTCCTTTAATGGTGGTTCTCTCCCATCCCTCACACCCTCCTTTAATGGTTGTTCTCTCCCATCCCTCACACCCTCCTTTAATGGTTGTTCTCTCCCATCCCTCACACCCTCCTTTAATGGTGGTTCTCTCCCATCCCTCACACCCTCCTTTAATGGTGGTTCTCTCCCATCCCTCACACCCTCCTTTAATGGTTGTTCTCTCCCATCCCTCACACCCTCCTTTAATGGTTGTTCTCTCCCATCCCTCACACCCTCCTTTAATGGTGGTTCTCTCCCATCCCTCACACCCTCCTGTAATGGTGGTTCTCTCCCATCCCTCCGTAGCAACATCCAGGAGATGAGGAAGCTCCATAAAGATGCTTTCCTGAAGCGACACAACATCAAGCTGGGCTTCATGTCAGCCTTCGTTAAGGCTTCAGCACACGCTCTCATGGACCAGCCTTCTGTCAATGGAGGTAAGACCCTCTACCCACAGACCGCATCTCTACCCACAGACTGCCCACAGACTGCCCCTCTACCCACAGACTGCCCCTCTACCCACAGACTGCCCCTCTACCCAACCCACAGACTGCCCCTCTACCCACAGACTGCCCTCTACCCACAGACTGCCCCTCTACCCACAGACTGCCCCTCTACCCACAGACTACCCCTCTACCCACAGACTACCCCTCTAGCCAAAGACTACCCCTCTACCCACAGACTACCCCTCTAGCCCAAAGACTACCCCTCTACCCACAGACTACCCCTCTACCCACAGACTACCCCTCTAGCCAAAGACTACCCCTCTACCCACAGACTACCCCTCTACCCACAGACTGCCCCTCTACCCACAGACTGCCCCTCTACCCACAGACTGCCCCTCTACCCACAGACTGCCCCTCTACCCACAGACTGCCCCTCTACCCACAGACTGCCCCTCTACCCACAGACTGCCCCTCTACCCACAGACTGGCCCCTCTACCCACAGACTGTGCCCCTCTACCCACAGACTGTGCCCCTCTACCCACAGACTGTGCCCCTCTACCCACAGACTGTGCCCCTCTACCCACAGACTGTGCCCCTCTACCCACAGACTGTGCCCCTCTACCCACAGACTGTGCCCCTCTACCCACAGACTGTGCCCCTCTACCCACAGACTGTGCCCCTCTACCCACAGACTGTGCCCCTCTACCCACAGACTGTGCCCCTCTACCCACAGACTGCCTCTCTACCCACAGACTACCCCTCTACCCACAGACTACCCCTCTACCCACAGACTACCTCTATCTCTGTTGGAGGTAAGACTCTTTACAGGCAAAATTCCAGTAACTTCCGGAAGATTCCCGGAATCAGGATAGAATAAGCAGGAAATCCAGAATCCTCCAACCAGGGAGTTTTCAGATAGTTACCAGAATTTTGCAACCCTACTTCCAACACCACAGAGACTTATTTCAATCGTTACATGTTAAAGTCAATGGGCTTTGATGAAGTTATATGGGATTCTGTTGCTGTGACAGCTCATAATTACTTACAAGTCTCAAACTGAATTTCTTTACCAGAGACCCCAGAATGGATGAAATGAAACAGACACAGCATTGAAGTCAAAATGTGAGAATGATGTTCATGTTTGTCTTTTTCCCCTCCCCAGTGATTGATGATACAACCAAAGAGATCGTGTACAGGGATTATGTTGACATCAGTGTGGCTGTGGCCACTCCCAAGGTAAGGCACCGAGGACATGTGACCTTTACATTCTATTCTCTTAACTTAATGGGTTTTGTAACTGCCCCTAATTGTCATGTCTGGGTCCAGGGCTAATGGGTGGGAGGCTTGACCAAATCTAAACATGAAATAGTTGTATTCTTTATTTTCTTTTTGATTGATCATGGGCTAGTGCTCCTTGTATCGTAGAGCATAGTGTGTTGTTTTCTCTGTGTTGGTGTTGTTTTCTCTGTGTTGGTGTTCTTTTCTCTGTGCTGGTGTTCTTTTCTCTGTGCTGGTGTTCTTTTCTCTGTGCTGGTGTTCTTTTCTCTGTGCTGGTGTTGTTTTCTCTGTGCTGGTGTTGTTTTCTCTGTGCTGGTGTTCTTTTCTCTGTGCTGGTGTTCTTTTCTCTGTGCTGGTGTTCTTTTCTCTGTGTTGGTGTTCTTTTCTCTGTGCTGGTGTTCTTTTCTCTGTGCTGGTGTTCTTTTCTCTGTGTTGGTGTTCTTTTCTCTGTGCTGGTGTTCTTTTCTCTGTGCTGGTGTTCTTTTCTCTGTGCTGGTGTTCTTTTCTCTGTGCTGGTGTTCTTTTCTCTGTGCTGGTGTTCTTTTCTCTGTGCTGGTGTTCTTTTCTCTGTGCTGGTGTTGTTTTCTCTGTGCTGGTGTTCTTTTCGCTGTGCTGGTGTTCTTTTCGCTGTGCTGGTGTTCTTTTCTCTGTGCTGGTGTTCTTTTCGCTGTGCTGGTGTTCTTTTCTCTGTGCTGGTGTTGTTTTCTCTGTGCTGGTGTTCTTTTCGCTGTGCTGGTGTTCTTTTCGCTGTGCTGGTGTTCTTTTCTCTGTGCTGGTGTTCTTTTCTCTGTGCTGGTGTTCTTTTCTCTGCGCTGGTGTTGTTTTCTCTGTGCTGGTGTTCTTTTCGCTGTGTTGGTGTTATTTTCGCTGTGTTGGTGTTATTTTCTCTGTGCTGGTGGTGTTTTCTCTGTGCTGGTGTTGTTTTCTCTGTGCTGGTGTTGTTTTCTCTGTGCTGGTGTTGTTTTCTCTGTGCTGGTGTTGTTTTCTCTGCTGGTGTTGTTTTCTCTGTGCTGGTGTTCTTTTCTCTGTGTTGGGTGAAAATTCTATACAAATGTAACCAGAAAAGTCAGGGTTTCTTGCTTGTAAATGTGGTCTCATCTGCTCCCCTTCACCAGGGACTGGTTGTACCGGTTATTCGCAACGTAGAGACCATGAACTTTGCTGACATTGAGAAAACCATCAACGGTCTGGGAGAGAAGGTACAACGCTTTGTTTGAATGGGATGAATGAGTCACTGTTGTAGACATTTTTATTTTATTTCACCTTTATTTAACCAGGTAAGCCAGTTGAGAACAAGTTCTCATTTACAACTGCGACCTGGCCAAGATAAAGCAAAGCAGTGCGATTAAAAACAACAACTACACAGAGTTACACATGGGGTAAACAAAAACATACAGTCAATAACACAATAAGATCTAACAGTTACGGTTTAAGGTTGTGCCTTTAGTCACAACATCAATAGGATGACACCACCCTGTGATAAACGGCGCCAAGAAGTTCTTCAAACGGGAGATCGATGAAAACAAATGGCATTGAGTAAAGGCAGAACTGACTCCTGTGTTGTGTCCAGGCTCGTAACAATACGCTGGCTGTGGAGGACATGGATGGGGGGACCTTCACCATCAGTAACGGAGGAGTGTTCGGTTCCATGTTCGGCACGCCCATCATCAACCCACCCCAGTCTGCCATCCTGGGCATGCACGGCATCTTCGACAGGCCTGTGGCCATCGGCGGCAAGGTGGGTCACACCCGCAGTGCATGAGCTTCTGTATGTCAACAAATGAAATTCATCTCAATCCAGAAGTTGAATTGGACATTATTTGCCGCAAATGTATGCATGTTGTCATGTCAACAGTTATCATTTCTAAAATCTAGCTACTATATATTACGTTTCAATTTCAACCTCAGTCAGCTACTATATGTACCTTTCAATTTCAACCTCAGTCAGTTATATTATCATGATTTATTATGACTAAATGACAGTGGTACAGCCAGTTATATTATTATGACTAAATGACAGTGGTACAGCCAGTTATATTAATATGACTAAATGACAGTGGTACAGCCAGTTATATTATTATGACTAAATGACAGTGGTACAGCCAGTTATATTATTATGACTAAATGACAGTGGTACAGCCAGTTATATTATTATGACTAAATGACAGTGGTACAGCCAGTTATATTATTATGACTAAATGACAGTGGTACAGCCAGTTATATTATTATGACTAAATGACAGTGGTACAGCCAGTTATATTATTATGACTAAATGACAGTGGTACAGCCAGTTATATTATTATGACTAAATGACAGTGGTACAGCCAGTTATATTATTATGACTAAATGACAGTGGTACAGCCAGTTATATTATTATGACTAAATGACAGTGGTACAGCCAGTTATATTATTATGACTAAATGACAGTGGTACAGCCAGTTATATTAATATGACTAAATGACAGTGGTACAGCCAGTTATATTATTATGACTAAATGACAGTGGTACAGCCAGTTATATTATTATGACTAAATGACAGTGGTACAGCCAGTTATATTAATATGACTAAATGACAGTGGTACAGCCAGTTATATTAATATGACTAAATGACAGTGGTACAGCCAGTTATATTAATATGACTAAATGACAGTGGTACAGCCAGTTATATTAATATGACTAAATGACAGTGGTACAGCCAGTTATATTATTATGACTAAATGACAGTGGTACAGCCAGTTATATTAATGACAGTGGTACAGCCAGTCAGTTGAATGGAGTAGCTACTAGTTCTTGTTATCATCTGATATTTGATCTCCCTCTCTCCATCAGGTGGAGATCCGGCCCATGATGTACGTGGCTCTGACGTACGACCATCGGCTGGTCGACGGCAGAGAGGCCGTCACCTTCCTGCGGAAGATCAAGTCAGTGGTGGAGGACCCCCGTGTTCTACTGCTGGACATGTGATTCCAGCCTCCCATCGCTGCAACAGGGCCACATTCAGGACGCAGTAATGCTGCCTAACATTAGAGAGGGCTACGCTACAACGCAGAATCAATGAGTTAGCCAGCTAACTTTTGATCGACAACCAAGAAATAACTAGTGATATTCTGGTTCATTTAAGCTCAACTTAGATATGCGTTTTTATGGTTGTTGGATCAATTTAGGCCATGCTCATTTCAAGGTTATCTTTCCCCCCCCAAAATAAAAAGTTATTTCAGAACATTTAGGTAAGTTAGCTGGCTCTTGTTGATCTTGCTTTGTAGTATGCTCCTCAGATAGCAGTATCGTGAAGAGAGCTGACTTGATTCCTTCTTGTACCCCAGAGAGGTATGTTGGTTCTACATAATGCTCCACAACGTTGTGCCCTGCTGAACGCACCCCCCCGGCTATTTAAACATCACTCAGCATCCGTATAAAACCAACCCATCCCCAAAAACACAAGCAACAGCTATATCTTATGTGCTGCTTTTGGTTAAAGAGAGAGAGCCTGAGGCCCTGATCCGTTTGTGCTGTTTTGTCTCTTTCGTGACAATGACAGGAGTTGACAAGAAAGGACAAATGGATATGGGACTCAGGCTAAGGGAGATAATTTTTATGTTGCGATTATTCACTTATTATTGGGTGGTTTCATTCTGCAGCTTAACTCAGACTGACATGTCATATTGATTCAACAGTTGGTCAACATCATACAGTGTACCACTGACTCTGTTGAACCTACCAGGTCTGTTCTGTGTCAATATTAGACTGAACCTACCAGGTCTGTTCTGTGTCAATATTAGACTGACTCTGATGAACCTACCAGGTCTGTTCTGTGTCGATATTAGACTGACCCTCTGAACCTACCAGGTCTGTTCTGTGTCAATATTAGACTGAACCTACCAGGTCTGTTCTGTGTCAATATTAGACTGACTCTGATGAACCTACCAGGTCTGTTCTGTGTCGATATTAGACTGACCCTCTGAACCTACCAGGTCTGTTCTGTGTCAATATTAGACTGAACCTACCAGGTCTGTTCTGTGTCAATATTAGACTGAACCTACCAGGTCTGTTCTGTGTCAATATTAGACCTGTATGTTCAAAGCACTTACATCACTGTCTAAAGGGAACCTGGAAGTCAGCATTTCATTGGACAGTGTGCTATACCTTGTGTATCCAGTACATATGACTAATAGAAGTGAACTTGAAACTGAAAAAGAAACGGACACATTCTTCTTCAAAACATCATGAATTTAGTGTACCTTTTTTTTTTTTTTACACCAAGGTTTTCATTGAGCTGTACATGTAGTCTATCCATGCTAGTGATTTTAAAGCCAAAATGTGTTTTTATAATGCTGCCCTAAAGGAGGGCTCGGTCGGACAAGATGAAGCCCATTCTAAAGGTCCTGCTGTACTGTACGACTGTCCCATGTCATGGGTCTGTGTTTTGACAGAGCTATTCCCTGGGGATAGAGAAGCCCCTTGGTAAACTGTCACCCCTGTATGTTTACTCTCTAGGCTTCCCCTTGTCGCGGTAACGTCTGTTTCTTTTGGGGGTGACTGTCCACTGAGCGGCATTGGAAATGATTGTAATCTCATCGAAACTACCACACACGTTGGGTTGCGTCCATAATGGCATCCTATTCGTTTATATAGTGCATGGCCGGGTCGCAGTCGTAAATGAGAACTTGTTCTCAACTGGCTTACCTGGTTAAATAAAGGTGAAATAAATAAAAATTACAACGGTATGTTGCCATATAGGAGTAGGATGCCATTTCAGATGCAGACAATCGTCTTTGAGCTTTTGGTAGAAAAGATAAACCACTTTCCTTCATCTCTAGATGTGCTTCTGTCCGTCCATGAGAAGGCACCATGCTATAGAACACCCAGACGCTAGTTTTGTTCAGGACTTATATATATATATATATATATATATATATATATATATATATACAACTGTACAACATTCACAACAAAGTTTGGGAGTAGTTTTCAAGAAGCACAAGTTAGCAGCGTGCACAATGTATTTCTCATGATAAACTCTTCTTCATTAAACCCACCCAGGAAAGAGATTCTTTCTGTGCTGTATACAATGCTTGTATGTAACTATTTAAAGAAAATGATTATAGGTAGTAGCACGTTATAACCTCGCATAGTAAAGCATTTATAATGGATTAGTAAGTAGTTTATTCATTTATTAATCGTTACTCCATAAGATGTTTAATATAGGTCATTATAAACCATGTACTAATGATTTGTTAAGTCTTTTTGCGTGACCTCACCTAAAGTAGGTTATTTTTACTTTATACATTTACATTATTTTGTGAGGGCGGAGACTTCGCAAACCGGAACTCACAATTTCTAACGTGTATGGACCCAGAACTAAATCACCCAACTGACAAAATGACGCAAGCATTTCGCTACATCCGCAATAACATCTGCTAAACACGTGTATGTGACAAATAACATTTGATTTGATTTGAAGATTTTAGTTCTGCGTTCATTGAGATTTGAGTGCTTTAAGGCATGACCGCAAACCACACTTTGCTTTTGGTATAAAGGTCACTGCCAAGAAAGGCTAATGTTCAAATCATGCTCTGTGTTGCAGGCTTATTTTCTAACCATTGATATGTTCTAGGGGCCATTCTGAGACCTTAAGGATCATCAGGTACTGCTGGAATGTTTACCAATGGCATGTCCATCTTTTGGTGAGAAATTACACTGGTCACTCAAAACATTTATAAATTATTTATAAAGTATAAATAGCCCACACTTTAGATTAGGTCATGCAAAAATGCTTTACTAGTGATTAGTAGATTATTTAGAAGTACTTATATTAAACATCTTATGAATGATTATTAAATACTTTAAAAGTTGTTTATAAATGTGTGAATAACTAAGTTACTAACATTTAGAAATGCGAGTAATGATGAATAAATTATTTACTAATCCATTATAAATGCGTTACTACGTGGAGTTATTATATAGTGCTACCAATAACATTAAAACATCTTGAAGAGTTTTAATTTACAGATGCTTGTCTTGGGTTTTTCTTCCTCTCTTGAGAATATCTCATATATTTATATAGCCCTTCCTGCAGCAACATGGATCACCTTAGAGCAAGCAGAAGCACCGGGGCAAGGAAAAGGAAGATTAGTTTTAAATGTAGTGTTCAGCACATCGCACATCCAGTAACATGGAGGTGCTGAGTACAAAAAATGTAAGCATATTATATAAAGGATAGATGCACCATGGGAAATGTTAGACAAAACGGTGGGAACATTTATCAGTGTCTATTCTTCATTTCATAAGGAAAATGAATAAGTGAGGAACCAGTCAACCAGACCATGTACCCCTCCTGCTCTTGATGTATTGGTAACAGGGTATATAATTGAACGGACAATCTGCAGTTCAAACAATATCAAAGGGAGCACCCCGCCACTTTCGTTTAACAGTTGAGGGATTGGGCTGGAGATGAACAAATCTCAAATTCATAGACCGAGCTATAGATGCATGGTCTGGCCATCCATGATATCAACATGATAGTTTTAACCATGTATTAAGGCTAAACAGTATTTGTGTACAATTGCATTGTTTACAAACAATGGAGTAAAACATGCTTATTTTGGGTGTGACAGTTGAACTAAACTCATGAGGCATAATTTATATTGTTCAAGAATCCAAAATTGGATGTAGCAATCGCAGATTGTCCCTTTAAAGAGGAAGCGGGAACAGAACATTGTGTTCCTTAGCTTCTCTGTCATTACACTTCTGGACTGCACCCAAATGAATCCTAACCCAGAGCTGGATCTGGGCCCTGTTCATTAAGGCACACTGTAGCAAAACCTGTTTCAATGGAAAGGGGAAACAAGCAGTTCTTAATGAGTCCAGATAGTCCCTCCCTGTTTGTCTGTCTGTTTTCTTCCCTTTGGTGCCTAATGAAGACGACCCTGATCTTCAAAGCTAATTATCGTAGCGCTCTGCTGTTCTCTAGAAGCCTCAGAATAATGGGCTCACCTGACTAACAGAGAGTCTTGAGGGTTGCTTGGCCCGGCCCTTCCTCCCCTCTCTTCACGGACGTTCCCCTCAAGTGCCTGCAGCTGCCTCCGTAAGGTGAGCACCCTCCACTCTGTTTACTTTAATAATCACGGAGGACAATGGCTACTAATGCTGCGTCTTTGTTTCTGTGCCAGAACCTGCACAAACGTCTGAACAACGCCATTTGGAAGGAGAAAAAAAACACGGGTTCGTTCATTATGTCGGACACAAAAATAAATAAAACAAATATCCTGATGTTAGATTAGCATGAGAATACAGGAGGCCTTGATGATTCATGAATACAGGAAACAATAACACCATAGGGGTCTTTAATTTAATTATTTACTTCTATTGGCCACTCAAGATTCCATTAGCGCTATCGAGATGATTTTTAATGCGCTGAATCCGCTCTATTAGGCCAAGCCAGTGCTGCGATGTGCATAGATATCCTAGGGGGTTCGTTCTGTTGTTTTGTCTCGTCTTGAACATTTGGCCCAACATGTGAATATCCAATGGAGCCTGTTCAATATGACGAGGCATTCAAGGCTTTGTGTTGATTCAGATGAAAGATGGACCATTAGGAACGGGAGAGCTAGATATTTGTTTTCATTAAGCCAACATCAGAGAGGTAATTTACCTAAATTATTCTGTTATTTTTTTTTCCATCTTTCGAACAGGCCTGTTGGCATAAACAGTGCCTTCAGAAAGTATTCACATGCCTCGACTTTTTCCACATTTTGTTGTGTTCCAGCCTGAATTTAAAATTGATTAAATTGAGATGGTTTGTCACTGGCCTACACACTATACCCCATAATGTAAAAGTGGAATTATGTTTTTAGAAATGTTTACAAATTAATAAAAACTGAAAAGCTGAAATGTCTTGAGTCAATAGTATTCAACCCCTTTTGTTATGGCGAGCCTAAATAAGTTCAGGATTTGTTTTTGCTTACCAAGTCACATAAGTTGCATGGACTGTGCAATAATAGTGTTTAACATGATTTTTGAATGACTACCTCATCTCTGTACCCAATACATACTGTACAATTATCTGTAAGGTCCCTCAGTCGAGCAGTGAATTTCAAACACAGATTCAACCACAAAGACCAGGGATGTTTTCCAATGCCTCGCAAAGAAGGGCACCTATTGGTAGATGGGTAGAAATAAAACTAGCAGACATTGAAAATGGCAAAGAAATTAACTTTATGTCCTGAATACAAAGCATTATGTTTGGGGCAAATCCAACACAACACTGAGAACCACTGTTCATATTTTCAAGCATGGTGGTGGCTGCATCATGTTATGGGTATGCTTGTCATCGGCAAGGACTAGGGAGTTTTTAAGGATAAAAAGAAACAGAATAGAGCTAAGCACAGGCAAAATCCTAGAGGAAAACCTGGTTCAGTCTGCTTTCCAACAGACACTGGAAGACACATTCACCTTTCAGCAGGACAATAACCCAAAACACAAGGTGCTATATACATTGGAGTTGCTTACCAAGAAGAAAGTGAATGTTCCCGAGTGGCCAAGTTACCGTTTTGACTTAAATCTGCTTGAAAATCTATGGCAAGACTTGAAAATGGTTGTCTAGCGATGATCAACAACCAACTTCACAGAGCTTGAATACTTTTTAAAAGAATAATGTGCAAATATTGTACAATCCATGTGTGCAAAGTTCTTAAGAGTTCTCAGAGCTGTAATCGCTGCCAAAGGTGATTCTAACATGTATTGACTCAGGGGGTTGAATACTTATGTAATTAAGATATATTAGTGTTTTATTTGGTAACACTTTACTTGGCACCCAGCGTCATAACACGTTATGACACGATCATAACCATGTCAAAATATGTCTATGTCTTAACAGATGATATAACTTGTCATAACCTGTCATAATGTTCATAACACTGTCATGACACATATATTTAGACCTGTTTTGATATATATTGCGTTAAAACCCACAAAACCTAACCACACGAGGCAAAACATTCCATTACACCATAGTCTACCTGTCAACAGTATGTTTATGTTATACAACATTTTCAGAAATTGACCATATTAAGTTATAATTGTAATTGAGCACACATTGATGCACTTACCATAATGTTCTGTTGCTGATGACTGGTATGAATGTAGGAGCAGATTTCAGGAGCACCCTCATGTTGACTGATGACTGACATAAGGGCATGCACGTGATAGGCCTCTCTGGCTTATATGATAATGATGGTCACAATGCTTCTTGACAGTGTCATGAAGGTTATTTTCTTAGTCCAAGTAAAGTGACACGCGATTGGTCATAAGGAATGTCATAGTTCATTACAACAACAAAGGACTTAAGAAACAAACTTTCAAATGAAAGGAAACTTCTTGGTAGGGGAAAAAACGAATTTGAATAAATGTGGGTTTTGACACTCATATGTAGGTGTCATAACCAGCCATAAAATAATGCAATGTGTCACAGGTGTAAATATATGGGTCATGACAGTGTTATGACCATATTATGACAGGTTATGACAATAGATGTCAGCTGTTATGACATGGTAATGACCGTGCCATAACGTATTATGACGCTGGGTGTCAAGTAAAGCGTTACCTTTTATTTTTCAGGATTTTAAAAAAAATAAACGTTTGAATTTTTCTTCCACTTTGTCATGACATAGTATTTTGTGTAGATCATCGTTGACAAAATATGACAATTAAATCCATTTTAATCCCAAGTACTCACGGGTGTGAATACTTTCTAAAGGCACTGTGGTCTTGCTACTCTCTGTAGCGAGTTCATCTCGGTGGGTTAGTGGACCTACACCCCAACCCGAGACGCATTAGCGATGGGTAGGCCGTTTACCAATACAATGGGTATCTTCCCATTGAGAAACGTAGCGCCAAATTTTAAAGAACAAAAGCCTTTGAACCAGATATTCCTCACATGACAGTCCAACAGCAAATGAAACCAATCCGTGGGCTAAAAGCACTTTAGGAAACAAGTGGTTGTAGATATGTTCCATCCATTATCTGAGCTGAACACACAGCTGTCGCATCAAACATCATCATCATCATCTGAGGAGTTGTGCTTTTATGACTCATACCAGAGCAACAGAGACAGTCAGGGTGGGGTCATTTCCAGTTGAATTCCAATCAATGGCGAACGTGCATAAAGATGGCAGAATTCCGATGTGACGCCATTGTTCTAGCACTATCCATATAGTTCAATGTGCCTATAAATCAGCATTATCTTATTTTTTTCTCAATTTGCCTGGTGTCTCTGAGCTAAAATTGGAATCATGTATACTGTGCTAATGACCATACTCTAAAAGGGGAACAGAGAGCGATGAGAACTTAGCGAACGAAGGAAATTGTGGTAAGTACAGCCTTTATACACTGCCGCTACTCAGACAGTACACTGAGATTCCCTGTTCAATTTGGAATTAGAATTAGGTTAACGTTCTGAATTGAAATGGGACTGAGCCCTGCTACAGTACGTGCAGTACGTTATGCAAACCATGCCGTTTGACCTCCTCCTCACAGAGACCGACCCACCCAGGTCATGGCAACGATGTGAGCGACCGGGATTGGAACCCTGTTGTCCTGTGCCACATACAAGACTTGCCGCTGAGCTAGGCAGGCACAGTTACCCATCAGCTGAGCGTAGCTCACCAAACCACAGACACGGTTACTCACCAGGTAGCTCGCCAAACCACAGACACGGTTACTCACCAGGTAGCTCGCCAAACCACAGACACGGTTACTTACCAGGTAGCTCACCAAACTACAGACACGGTTACTCACCAGGTAGCTCACCAAACCACAGACACGGTTACTCACCAGGTAGCTCACCAAACCACAGACAAGGTTACTCACCAGGTAGCTCGCCAAACCACAGACACGGTTACTCACCAGGTAGCTCACCAAACCACAGACACGGTTACGCACCAGGTAGCTCACCAAACCACATACACGATTACTCACCAGGTAGCTCACCAAACCACAGACACGGTTACTCACCAGGTAGCTCACCAAACCACAGACAAGGTTACTCACCAGGTAGCTCACCAAACCACAGACACGGTTACTCACCAGGTAGCTCACCAAACCACAGACACGGTTACTCACCAGGTAGCTCACCAAACCCCAGACACGGTTACTTACCAGGTAGCTCACCAAACCACAGACACGGTTACTCACCAGGTAGCTCACCAAACCACAGACACGGTTACTCACCAGGTAGCTCACCAAACCACATACATGATTACTCACCAGGTAGCTCACCAAACCACAGACACGGTTACTTACCAGGTAGCTCACCAAACCACAGACACGGTTACTTACCAGGTAGCTCACCAAACCACCTCTGATTTAGGCGAAGCCTTCTCAGCTACCTAAAGTGTCTCTCCATAATCTCTCCATAAAGAAATACACCTTGAGACACAATCAGCCTTATTTCCACCCAACGCGGTGCCTGCATAAGTAATGATCTGCCTGCATATTCATCAGGAGTATCTGTTCATCCATCTCCTTTACAGGCCATGCATACATTCACAAAGCAGACACACCATCGGTTGCATCTGGCCCTATTCTTCCTGCCTCCCTCTGCATGTCTTTTAGAATGCCTGGACCAACGTCTCCTATTCTTCCTCCTCCTGCCTCTGTCTGTGTATCTCTCTCTGGATGTATTGTTGTCATAGCAGAAGATTAATGCTGGCTGTAGAACGGGCCGGAGTGATGAGATTAATGCTGGCTGTAGAACGGGCCGGAGTGATGAGATTAATGCTGGCTGTAGAATGGGCCGGAGTGATGAGATTAATGCTGGCTGTAGAATGGGCCGGAGTGATGAGATTAATGCTGGCTGTAGAACGGGCCGGAGTTATGAGATTAATGCTGGCTGTAGAACGGGCCGGAGTGATGAGATTAATGATGGCTGTAGAACGGGCCGGAGTGATGAGATTAATGCTGGCTGTAGAACGGGCCGGAGTGATGAGATTAATGCTGGCTGTAGAACGGGCCAGAGTGATGAGATTAATGCTGGCTGTAGAATGGGCCGGAGTGATGAGATTAATGCTGGCTATAGAATGGGCCGGAGTGATGAGATTAATGCTGGCTGTAGAATGGGCCGGAGTGATGAGATTAATGCTGGCTGTAGAATGGGCCGGAGTGATGAGATTAATGCTGGCTGTAGAATGGGCCGGAGTGATGAGATTAATGCTGGCTGTAGAACGGGCCGGAGTTATGAGATTAATGCTGGCTGTAGAACGGGCCGGAGTGATGAGATTAATGCTGGCTGTAGAACGGGCCGGAGTGATGAGATTAATGCTGGCTGTAGAACGGGCCGGAGTGATGAGATTAATGCTGGCTGTAGAATGGGCCGGAGTGATGAGATTAATGCTGGCTGTAGAACGGGCTGGAGTGATGAGATTAATGCTGGCTGTAGAATGGGCCGGAGTGATGAGATTAATGCTGGCTGTAGAACGGGCCGGAGTGATGAGATTAATGCTGGCTGTAGAACGGGCCGGAGTGATGAAGAGAGACAGGAAGAGAGAGAGACGGGGCTCGAGAACACCTGGCTGAACTGACGTGCCCTCCCTGTGTGCAGCTGGCTGGGGTTAAAGGTTTGAGTGGGGAAGATGAGTGTAGATCCCTACAATACAACCTTGAATATTCAGTTTTGTTTGTTTGTTCGTTGGTGCATCTGTGTGTTTCCGTGCATGCAAACACAACACCATTCTACAAGGACACAATCCTATTCAGACTGGCGTTTATTACAGCATCTCTTTCTTGTCGTCCTCCATCTTGTTCCCTTCTTAGGCCCAGTGACCGCTGTCTGTCCTTTTCACTACCGATGGCTGCCTATGACTGCTCAGCAAACTGACTGCTGCAAGACATGGAGCACACAGGGAGAGCAATGACAAGACGGTCCATTAAATAGTGCTGTGGACACAAAACACATTTGACTCTGTGTACAAACTAAGACCTTATAATCAACTTAAAGGGACAACCTGTAGTTGAAACAATAATAAAGCGGCGTCCCCACCTCTGTTTTGATAAACAGCTGAGGGATTGGGCTTGAGAAATATAACCACTCTCAAATTAGTAGACAGAGCAATGGATGCAAGGACTGACCATCCATGAGATACAATTATAGATTAAACATGTAATAAAGCTATACAAAGTTTGTTTACATTGACTTTGTTAACAAACACTGGACTAAAACAAAAATATACAGTTGAAGTCGGAAGTTTACATACACTTAGGTTGGAGTCATTAAAACTCGTTTTTTCAACCACTCCACAAATTTCTTGTTAACAAACTATAGTTTTGGCAAGTCTTTTAGGACATCTACTTTGTGCATGACACATGTCATTTTACAGACAGATTATTTCACTTATAATTCTCTGTATCACAATACCAGTGGGTCAGAAGTTTACATACACTAAGTTGACTGTGCCTTTAAACAGCTTGGAAAATTCCAGAAAATGATGTCATGGCTTTAGAAGCTTCTGATAGGCTAATTGACATAATTTGAGTCAATTGGTGGTGTATCTGTGGATGTATTTCAAGGCCTAACTTCAAACTCAGGGCCTCTTTGCTTGACATCATGGGAAAATCAAAAGAAATCAGCCAAGACCTCAGAAAAAACATTGTAGACCTCCACATGTCTGGTTCATCCTTGGGAGCAATTTCCAAACGCCTGAAGGTACCACGTTCATCTGTACAAACAATAGTACGCAAGTATAAACACAGTGGGACCACGCAGCTGCCATACCGCTCAGGAAGGAGATGCGTTCTGTCTCCTAGAGATGAACATACTTTGGTGCGAAAAGTGCAAATCAATCCCAGAACAACAGCAAAGGACCTTGTGAAGATGCTGGAGGGAACAGGTACAAAAGTATCTATATCCACAGTAAAACGAGTCCTATATCGACATAACCTGAAAGGCCACTCAGCAAGGAAGAAGCCACTGCTCCAAAACCGCCATAAAAAAGCAAGACTACGGTTTGCAACTGCACATGGGGACAAAGATTGTACTTTTTGGAGAAATGTCCTCTGTTCTGATGAAACAAAAATAGAACTGTTTGGCCATAATGACCATCGTTATGTTTGGTGGAGAAAGGGGGCGGCTTGCAAGCCGAAGAACACCATCCCAACCGTGAAACACGGGGGTGGCAGCATCATGCTGTGGGGGTGCTTTGCTGCAGGAGGGCTTGGTGCACTTCACAAAATAGATGGCATCATGAGGAAGGAAAATTATGTGGATATATTGAAGCAACATCAAGACATCAGTCAGGAAGTTCAAGCTTGGTCGCAAATGGGTCTTCCAAATGGACAATGACCCCAAGCAAAGTTGTGGCAAAATGGCTTAAGGACAACAAAGTCAAGGTATTGGAGTGGCCATCACAAAGTCCTGACCTCAATCATATAGAAAATGTGTGGGCAGAACTGAAAAAGCGTGTGCGAACAAGGAGGCCTACAAACCTGACTCAGTTACACCAGCTCTGTCAGGAGGAATGGACCAAAATTCACCCAATTTATTGTGGGAAGCTTGTGGAAGGCATCCCGAAACGTTTGACCCAAGTTAAACAATTTAAAGGCAATGCTACCAAATACTAATTGAGTGTATGTAAACTTCTGACCCACTGGGAATGTGATGGAAGAAATAAAAGCTGAAATAAATAATTCTCTCTACTATTATTCTGACATTTCACATTCTTAAAATAAAGTGGTGATCCTAATTGACCTAAGACAGGGAATTTTTTACTAGGATTAAATGTCAGGAATTGTGAGAGCACGGCGCTTGTAACGCCAAGGTAGTGGGTTTGATCCCCGGGACCACCCATACACAAAAATGTATGCACGCATGACTGTAAGTCGCTTTGGATAAAAGCGTCTGCTAAATGGCATATTATTATTATATTATTATATTATAACTTCCGACTTCAACATTATTTTGGGTTCTGATGGGGTACAACAGTTGAACTAAGTTCATGAGGCATTTATAAGTTATACTCTTCACGAATCAATTGGTATATCATTAATTTATAAATCAAAGAATGGATGTAGCAACTACGAATTGCCCTTTAAGCTTTTTCTCTGGGGAGATTCTGGACGAGGGAAACTGATCTTAGTGAGATTTGACTATGCTCTTAACCCATGCATGGCGTCCACTACAGTGGATAGATATTCCAGTACATGTATTTAGACCCACCTGTAGTTTATCCTGCCTGTACAGTCCTTGTCAAAGTTCTGTATCAGCCACTCCAGCTGGTGTTGATCCAGGGGTATGTTAGCATGCTGCAATACACAAACACAATGGTTAGCTTTACCACCATATTCAAAAGAATCTTGATCATCATTGATTTGGTTGATTGATCTTGTTGATTGATTGATCTAGTCATGTTCAATCAATTGTGAGTGTGAAACAGTGAAACAGTATTCTGTCAGTATTATACTGCTCATGGCGTCCGACCTGCACAGCCTTCCTGAACTCCTTGTTGTCCACAGACATGTTTCCCTCTTTATCCAAACTCTGGAACAACTCCAACAGACCCTCCTTTTCCTCTGTAAGGAAGTCCTACAGGAAATACATTGAAGCCATGTGTTATTCACAAAGATAAATACCGCTATTTTGTTATAGATACAGTTTAATAAAATGTCAGTCTAACTAACAGTGTTCTCAGTCGAAGTCTAACGAACAGTGTTCTCAGTCTAAGTCTAACTAACAGTGTTCTCAGTCTAAGTCTAACTAACAGTGTTCTCAGTCGAAGTCTAACGAACAGTGTTCTCAGTCTAAGTCTAACTAACAGTGTTCTCAGTCTAACTAACAGTGTTCTCAGTCTAAGTCTAACTAACAGTGTTCTCAGTCTCAGTCTAACTAACAGTGTTCTCAGTCTAACTAACAGTGTTCTAAGTCTAACTAACAGTGTTCTAGTCTCAGTCTAACTAACAGTGTTCTCAGTCTAAGTCTAACTAACAGTGTTTCTCAGTCTAACTAACAGTGTTCTCAGTCTAAGTCTAACTAACAGTGTTCTCAGTCTAACTAACAGTGTTCTAAGTCTAACTAACAGTGTCGTCTATCTATACAGTCTATCTAACTAAAGTGTTCTCAGTCTTAGTCTAACTAACAGTGTTCTCAGTCTAACTAACAGTGTTCTCAGTCTTAGTCTAACTAACAGTGTTCTCAGTCTAACTAACAGTGTTCTCAGTCTTAGTCTAACTAACAGTGTTCTCAGTCTCAGTCTAACTAACAGTGTTCTCAGTCTCAGTCTAACTAACAGTGTTCTCAGTCTAACTAACAGTGTTCTCTCAGTCTAACTAACAGTGTTCTAAGTCCATAACTAACAGTGTTTCTCAGTCTAACTAACAGTGTTCTAAGTCTAACTACAGTGTCTAGTCTAGTCTAACTACAGTGTTCATCTATAGTCTCAGTCCAGTCTAACTAACAGTGTTTTCAGTCTAACTAACAGTGTTCTCAGTCTCAGTCTAACTAACAGTGTTTGTCTCTAACTGTCTACAGTCTAACTAACAGTGTTCTCAGTCTCAGTCTAACTAACAGTGTTCTCAGTCTAAGTCTAACTAACAGTGTTCAGTCTAACTAACAGTGTTCTCAGTCTCAGTCTAACTAACAGTGTTCTCAGTCTAAGTCTAACTAACAGTGTTCTCAGTCTAAACTAACAGTGTTCTCAGTCTCAGTCTAACTAACAGGTTCAGTCTAACTAACGTGTTCTCAGTCTCAGTCTAACTAACAGTGTTTCAGTCTAAGTCTAACTAACAGTGTTCTAGTCAGTCTAACTAACAGTGTTCATCTAGTCTAACTAACAGTGTTCTCAGTCTAGTCTAACTAACAGTGTTCTCAGTTCTCGTGTCTACTTTAAACAGTGTTCTCAGTCTACTAACTACAGTGTCTCAGTCTTAGTCTAACTAACAGTGTTTTCAGTCTAACTAACAGTGTTCTCAGTCTCAGTCTAACTAACAGTGTTTCTCAGTCTAACTAACAGTGTTCTCAGTCTCAGTCTAACTAACAGTGTTCTCAGTCTTAGTCTAACTAACAGTGTTCTCAGTCAACTAAGTGTCTCATCTAACTAACAGTGTTCTCAGTCTAACTAACAGTGTTCTCAGTCTCAGTCTACAACTAAGTGTTCTCATCTAGTCTAACTAACAGTGTTCTCAGTCTATCTACAGTGTTCTCAGTCTAACTAACAGTGTTTCAATTCCAGTCTTAGTCTAACTAACAGTGTTCTCAGTCTAACTAACAGTGTTCTAAGTCTCAGTCTAACTAACAGTGTTCTCAGTCTTAGTCTAACTAACAGTGTTCTCAGTCTAACTAACAGTGTTCTCAGTCTAACTAACAGTGTTCTCAGTCTCAGTCTAACTAACAGTGTTCTCAGTCTAACTAACAGTGTTCTTCTAACAGTGTTCTCAGTCTAGTCTAACTAACAGTGTTCTCAGTCTCAGTTCAGTTTTCTGTCTAACTAACAGTGTTCTCTCAGTCTCAGTCTAACGAACAGTGTTCTCAGTCTAAGTCTAACTAACAGTGTTCTCAGTCTAAGTCTACCTAACAGTGTTCTAAGTCTAACAGTGTTCTAAGTCTAACTAACAGTGTTCTCAGTCTCAGTCTAACGAACAGTGTTCTCAGTCTAAGTCTAACTAACAGTGTTCTCAGTCTAAGTCTAACTAACAGTGTTCTCAGTCTAACTAACAGTGTTCTCAGTCTAAATCTAACAGTGTTCTAAGTCTAACTAACAGTGTTCTCAGTCTAAATCTAACAGTGTTCTAAGTCTAACTAACAGTGTTCTCAGTCTAAGTCTAACAGTGTTCTAAGTCTAACTAACAGTGTTCTCAGTCTAAGTCTAACTAACAGTGTTCTCAGTCTAACTAACAGTGTTCTCAGTCTAACTAACAGTGTTCTCAGTCTAAGTCTAACTAACAGTGTTCTCAGTCTAACTAACAGTGTTCTCAGTCTAAATCTAACAGTGTTCTAAGTCTAACTAACAGTGTTCTCAGTCTAAATCTAACAGTGTTCTAAGTCTAACTAACAGTGTTCTCAGTCTAAGTCTAACTAACAGTGTTCTAAGTCTAACTAACAGTGTTCTCAGTCTAACAGTGTTCTTGCTTTATGATATTCCCAAGTCTCGTTCATCACTAAATTGACACTGACCTGGATGATGTTGAGTGCGATGGAGGGTTTCTTGGTCCTGGTGACAGAGCCTGTAACACCCTTGAACTGGACCTCCAGACCTGAATGGTTCTGACACACTGCCTCCAGCAGCACCACAAAGGCCTCGTTTACCAGCACCGTCTACACACACAGGTACGGACAGACGGATACACACACACACACACACAGACACACAGACACACACACACACACACACACACACACATACACACACACACACACACACACACACATACACACACACACACACACACACACACAGGGACAGACTCACGGATAGACACACAGGGACAGGCGGATGGACACACACACATAGCAACACACATGCGGTAAAAGCACGCACACAACTCAAACAAAAAAAGTTGATAAACAGTTGATGGTTGTAGGTTGAAGTATCTCACTGAGATGTTGATCTCTTCCAGAGCTGACTTGGGGTTGTTCCTGATGGTGTTGAGTAGATTCAGAGCTCCCAGCTGGGTTAAAGGGTTATGGGCCAGCTGCACAAGGCGATGCACATCAAACTACGTTGAATATCACAGACATTTTGCACAAAAATGTGTCTGGCTTTTAGTCTACACTTGGCTGAACAGTGGATGTACGGGGAGTATGTCGTTTATGGCATGCTTATGTACCGCTTATGGATAATGTATATATGAGTTATGAATGTGTTATGAAGCAGCCACCCACCCTGAGCACCCTGAGGCTGTCGATGGCTGCCAGGCCGTTACAGAGCAGTGTGGTGCCCTCGTCTGAGACTTCATAACATTTACATTGACATTTAAGTCATTTAGCAGACGCTCTTATCCGGAGCGACTTACAGTTAGTGAGCGCATACATTTCTCATACTGGCCCACCGTGGGAAACGAACCCACAACCCTGGCGTTGCAAGCGCCACGCTCTACCAACTGGGCTACAGGAGGGCTATAACACATTTATAACCCATACTCCTACTCTACTAAACTAAACCCACCCGTAGGATCCTGAGGCTTTCGTTAGCGACCAGGCCGTTACAGAGCAGTGCGGTGCCCTCGTCTGAGACCCGGTTGTTGCTGAGGTCCAGATGCACCAGTGTGTTGTTGTGACGTAGGGCCTCCCCCAGAGCCTGCGCCCCAGCACTGCCGAACCCATTCCAGGACAGGTCCAACTGCTTCAGTGTTACATTCACCTGGAGGAAAGGAGGGAGGGATTGTGGACTACAGGATAAAGAAGAGGACCGAGCACGCCCCCATTCTCATCGATGGGGCTGTAGTGGAGCAGGTAGAGAGCTCAAGTTCCTTGGTGTCCACATAACCAACAAACTAACATGGTCCAAACATACCAAGACAGTCATGACAAAACCTATTCCCCTAAGGAGACTGAAAAGATTTGGCAAGGGTCCTCAGATCCTCAAAAGGTTCTACAGCTGCACCATCGAGAGCATCCTGACTGGTTGCATCACTGCCTGGTATGGCAACTGCTCGGCCTCCGACCGCAAGACACTACAGAGGGTAGTGTGTACGGCCCAGTACATCACTGGGGCCAAGCTTCCTGCCATCCAGGACCTCTATACCAGGCGGTGTCAGAGGAAGGCCCTAAAAATTGTCAAAGACTGTTCTCTCTACTACCGCATTGCAAGCAGTACCGGAGCACCAAGTCTAGGTCCAAGAGTCTTCTAAACAGCTTCTACCCCCAAGCCATAAGACTCCTGAACATCTAATCAAATGGCTACCCAGACTATTTGCATTGCCTGCCTTCGCCGCGCTGACTAATACTATATATTTGATTGATTCAGTGATTTTTGTCGCATTGTGCCTTGAGAATATAAGTTTATCTAATTAGAATGTGTTATCCATGTAGAGTTGCTCGGTTAGTTGTCCTTTAATGGAGATATTCGTAAGATTTTTTATTGCTGGAATTAAGCGACTGGAAAAAAATTACATCTGAAAGTTACTATCATGTACAATACACTTTTTAACTTGGTGCTCTGTAGGTCCCTTATCTGCAATCCTAATCATTCTAACTGGGTGTCAATCAGAATATATAGTATGTAAGGTAGTTGTTTAGGATTGTGAGTCTTCAAACAGCAGACACAAACATCAAAACACGTTTCGGATGGACAAACAATTTGATTGATTCACAGTGATTCTGTGACATTTCGATGAACCTTGACTATAAGTCTATCTGACATTTGGTTCATTATGTGTATTCATGTAGGTTGTCTTAGGTTGCCTTACATTGAGATACTTCAGTATTTTTGTCGACTTTGTTTGAATATAGGTTTATCAATAATGTATCATGTAGAGTTGCTCTTTAGTTGGTCCTTAGATTGATATCCAAGTCATTATCATTTTATTGGTTTGTCATATCGAAAAAATAAAATTGAAAGTTCTATGCTCAAACAACCAACATTGTCTAAAGTTTGGATTGGATGCAACAATACACAATCTGGGTTATCAATCAGAAATAATAGTAATGTAATCCCACGTCCGGATTATATCATAAAGGTCACCATTTCAATTCTTAGATTTTGACACTTTGAATTACTCAAGATGCCAAACGTAACTCTTTTGAGAAAACTTATAATGCCTAAGCATGTTAGCCTTAGTCTTGGTTTTTGTCTTTTATTCTTAACAATGAAATCTTTGCGAAGCTTTTTTTCAAAATTGCAAACGTAAGCTTTATTGATAACTAAAAGTAGTTTACTGACTTTGGGTGTCAGAGATCAGAAAATATATCAGTTTACTCATCCAGAGCTAAGCTTTAGCAATGTTGCTAGTTATCCATAGGATATAATGTATTTGTCATTTTAGGGAACTATCACTTTAACAAGTGTGTGATGAACATTAATTAATTTATTTGATGACGTGAATAGAAAGAAGGAAGGGTATTATCTTTATTTAATCATTAAATGTCTGTACTTTCTATTGAAATTGAAATTATTTTAACATTCTGTGCCAGCTAGACCTTATGGCAGAACCAAGATTGACATTTCAGAGCCATAAGGTTCTATCTGCGATTGCACCCCCTAAAAAAAACGGATTTATAAACGTTAGGATTTTGATACTCTGCACTTTAGGTACATGTAAGGTGGACCTTAAAGGGATAATGAAAGAATAATTCACTACAAAACAGTTCTGAGATCTGGGATGTGAAAACTTTGATGCGACAATTGCCTTCTACGGTTAGTTTCCATTTAACTATCTCGTGTCGATAAAAAACGATGGACGTAACGATGTCACACCTTTGCAAAAACCTACAGTGTCGAATAAAAATGAAGTGGTTGAAGTGTTTCCATTGTCCATTTATAAATTGGCGACAGCCTGTTTGCCCTCCAACCTATCTGTTTCATGTCTCAGGTAGGCCACGAAAACCAGCATGGATAGAATGCAATAAATAATTGACAAATATTTGCCATGTTCTAATAATTATCATGTGGCATCGCCGCGGTCCGTGCCATAGTGAAACTAGCACTTCTGTAGCATAGCTGCAACCTGGTCTCAGAGCATTTTGTATTATTATGTATGTAAATCCGGTGACAATTAATTTAGTATGATATGTTTACGTTTCGTATGGTATGTATTAATTTGTGGATGTCCATTTTGTATTATATGTTACGAATTTACAAAACGTGCAATATGTTACGGATTTGCAAAACGTATGATATGTTATGAATTTTAGCTAGGTGGCTGACATTAGCTAGCTGGCTAAAGTTAGCCAGGCTAGAGGTTAGGGTTAGGGGTTACGGTTAAACTTAGGGTTAAGTTTAGGAGTTATGTTAAAGGCTTAAGGTTAAGGTTAGGGGAAGGGTTAGCTAAAATGGTTAAGAGTAGGGGAAGGGTTAGCTAACATGTCAAGTAGTTGCAAACTAGCTAAAAAGTTGTAAGTAGTTGAAAAGTTGGTTATTAGCTAAAATGCTAAAGTTGTCCGTAATGAGATTCGAACTTGCAACCTTTGGGTTGCTAGACATTCGTGTTATACGACCGACCACCCTACTTTTGTTTTTGCTTTAAGTAGCCATCTGTCTTATGTAACCATACCAAACGTAACATGTCATACTATTTGAGCTTCTCAGACTTATGTATACTATGTTACGTCTAGTCTATGAGACCAGGCTGCTAGATCTGACATAATTTGGATGGTGAAACTTGCATCCAGCCAACCAGAAAGGCAACGCGAAGCGATTCAGGCATTCTTGAAAGTCAGGACAATTCTTGTCCTGCAAATAAACCTTAGCATGCAGTTGCTTATCAACAGATAGTTTGTTGATAGTATGATCATCTGTATAGCATCTACAGATGGAAAATCCGGACTATCCATATAAAGTGTGAACAAAAAAGACACCCTTGTCGAACGAATACAAATGCTGTTGATCTTTAGAAAATGTCTCCTATATCTGCCGTTTCCATTACACGTGTCTCAAAGATATTTTTTTGCGACATTGCTTTTGTCGAATAAACCTGGGTCAATGGAAACCTGCCTAATGTGCTCCTCAGAAGTATAGCTCGCTCACAAATCCTTGCCGGTACTTGATCTCAAGTCCTCTACCTCGCCAACACAACACACGTGACCGCATTGCTGGACAACGTACTAACCAGTTGCGCCACCGACCAATTTGTCAGCCATAAGCAACATTTCTAGCTGTGGAATCAGCTTACTGGCATGATATTACCTGTTACATGATATTACTGGCATGATATTACCTGTACATGATATAACCTGTTACATGATATAACTGGCTTGACATTACCTGTTACATAATATTACCGGTTACATGATGTAACTGGCATGATATTACCTGTTACATGATATCTCCGGTTACATGATATCACCTGTTACATGATATTACTGGCATGATATTACCTGTACATGATATAACCTGTTACATGATATAACTGGCATGACATTACCTGTTACATGATGTAACTGGCATGATATTACCTGTTACATGATATTACCTGTTACATGATATCTCCGGTTACATGATATCACCTGTTACATGATATTACTGGCATGATATTACCTGCTACATGATATCACCTGTTATATGATATCACCTGTTACATGATATTACCTGTTACATAATATTACCTGTTACATGATATAACTGGCATGATATTACCTGTTACATGATATAACTGGCATGATGTTACCTGTTACATCAAATCAAATCAAATCAAATTGTATTTGCCACATGCGCCGAATACAACAGGTGTAGACATTACAGTGAAATGCTTACTGACAAGCCCTTAACCAACAATGCATTTTTTAAAGATTTTTTAAAAAAGTGTTAAGTTAAAAAAATAAAAGCAAATAACTAAAGAGCAGCAGTAAAATAAAATAACAGTAGGGAGGCTATATACAGGGGGGTACCGGTACAGAGTCAATGTGCGGGGGCACCGGCTAGTTGAGGTAGTTGAAGTAATATGTACATGTGTGTAGAGTTAAAGTGACTATGCATAAATAATAGACAGAGTAGCAGCAGCGTAAAAGAGGGGGGTGGGGTGGGGTGGGGGGCAGTGCAAATAGTCCGGGTAGCAATGATTAGCTGTTCAGGAGTCTTATGGCTTGGGGGTAGAAGCTGTTGAGAAGCCTTTTGGACCTAGACTTGGCGCTCCGGTACCGCTTGCTGTGCGGTAGCAGAGAGAACAGTCTATGACTAGGGTGGCTGGAGTCTTTGACAATTTTGAGGGCCTTCCTCTGACACCGCCTGGTATAGAGGACCTGGATGGCAGGAAGCTTAGCCCCAGTGATGTACTGGGCCGTACGCACTACCCTCTGTAGTGCCTTGCGGTCGGAGGCTGAGCAGTTGCCATACCAGGCGCTGATGCAACCAGTCAGGATACTCTCGATGGTGCAGCTGTATAACTCTTTGAGGATCTGAGGACCCAGGCCAAAATCTTTTCAGTCTCCTGAGGGGGAATAGGCTTTGTCGTGCCTTCTTCACGACTGTCTTGGTGTGTTTGGACCATGATAGTTCGTTGGTGATGTGGACACCAAGGAACTTGAAGCTCTCAACCTGTTCCACTACAGCCCCATCGATGAGAATGGGGGCGTGCTCAGTCCTCTTTTTTTTCCTGTAGTCCACAATCATCTCCTTTGTCTTGATCACATTGAGGGAGAGGTTGTTATCCTGGCACCACACGGCCAGGTCTCGAACCTCCTCCCTATAGGCTGTCTCATCGTTGTCGGTGATCAGGCCTACCACTGTTGTGTCGTCAGCAAACTTAATGATGGTGTTGGAGTCGTGCCTGGCCATGCAGTCATGGGTGAACAGGGAGTACAGGAGGGGACTGAGCACGCACCCCTGAGGGGCCCCTGTGTTGAGGATCAGCGTGGCAGATGTGTTGTTACCTACGCTTACCACCTGGGGGCGGCCCGTCAGGAAGTCCAGGATCCAGTTGCAGAGGGAGGTGTTTAGTCCCAGGATCCTTAGCTTAGTGATGAGCTTTGAGGGCACTATGGTGTTGAACGCTGAGCTGTAGTCAATGAACAGCATTCTCACGTAGGTGTTCCTCTTGTCCAGGTGGGAAAGGGCAGTGTGGAGTGCAATAGAGATTGCATCATCTGTGGATCTGTTGGGGCTGTATGCAAATTGGAGTGGGTCTAGGGTTTCTGGGATAATGGTGTTGATGTGAGCCATGACCAGCCTTTCAAAGCACTTCATGGCTACAGACGTCAGTGCTACGGGTCGGTAGTCATTTAGGCAGGTTATCTTAGTGTCCTTGGGCACAGGGACTATGGTGGTCTGCTTGAAACATGTTGGTATTACAGACTCAGTCAGGGACATGTTGAAAATGTCAGTAAAGACACTTGCCAGTTGGTCAGCACATGCTCTGAGTACACGTCCTGGTAATCCGTCTGGCCCTGCAGCCTTGTGAATGTTGACCTGCTTAAAATTCTTACTCACATCGGCTACGGAGAGCGTGATCACATAGTCATCCGGAACAGCTGGTGATATTACCTGTTACATGATATTACCTGTTACATGATATAACTGGCATGATATTACCTGTTACATGATATAACTGGCATGAGCAGTAGGATTGATATATTGGATGGGCCCAGAAAATTCACGGTTGGGTAACTGAGGATTTAGCTGTTTGGGAGAGGAGGGTGTGAGAGGAGGGTGGGAGAGGAGTAGAGGAGGGTGGAGAGGAGGACAGGAGGGTGGGACAGGAGGATGGGAGAGGAGTAGAGGAGTGTGGAGAGGAGGACAGGAGGGTGGGAGAGGAGGTGGGTATCAATGGTAGAAAGGATAGGGGAGAGAGGAGGGTGGGAGTGAAGGGGAGGATATTGAGAGAGTAGGATGGGAGAGGAGGAGAGGAGGGTGGGAGAGGAGGATGGGAGAGGAGGGTGGATAGGGGAGGGGAGGAGATTGTGGCACAGAAGAGGAGTGGACAGCGGAGGATACTGGTTAGTGTTTCTATAACTTTTAGCCAGATAATACTAAGAATACCTTTAGTCCAGCACACAGTGTCACGGCTCCACTCATCCTCAAATGGTTCCAGCTCAGGTCCAGCATCTCCAGGCCCTCGTTATTGGCTGAGAGGACAGATAACCATTGGCCAATCAACAAATCAGTTGAAACAAGGGAATTTACAATTGGTCCAGGCCAAAGTGAAGAGATTTCACATTCATCAATTACCAGAATGATTGCTGTTGATCAGAAGTATGGAGAGGAAACCTGCATTCACAGGTGTCCCTCTGGACTTGTAATGGGAGTAACACTCCCCCATGCGTCCTAAATACAACCCTATTCTCTATCTAGTGCACTACTTTTGAACAGAGCCCTATGGACCCTCGTCAAACGTAGTACAAATAAAATAGGGAATAGGGTGCCATTTGACCGAGACACGTCCACACAGCATCGCATTAGTGGAAACCAAGACTGTTCTCAGGGCAGGCCTGGTTGTAGCTAGATATGTTTGCGTCGCGTCGTTGACAATTGTAGCATTTTAGCGAACCCTAACCATTTTCCTAACCTTAAACTAATTATCCTAACCCGCTACGTTAATTCTCTTAATCTGCTGCTTAAGTTCTCCTAACCTGCTACGAAAAGTCACTTCTGCTAGTAAACCTGCCCTGAGGACAGTCTTGGTTTCCACTAATGCAATACAGCCACATCCACTGTCTTACCTAGCATCTGTCCCAGGTGTTCTCCTCCCATGTCACAGAACTGGTTGTGACTCAGGTCCAGGTCTTTCAGCCTGTAGTTGTTCTGTTGGAGGGGGAAGAGTCACAGGTTTGCACAAATCTCCTAACTTTCCCAAAATTCCCTGTTTTTTTTTTTAAAAAAAAATCCTGGTTGGAGGATTCCATTACCAGATTTATACAGTAGCTCTTGGTGTGTATTGTTTGAAACGCCCTGATAGTGATTCCTGACAGAAATATAAAGAATAAATAGCTTGGGACTTACTGCCAGAGCGTCAGCCAGACTTCTGGCATCAGCATCGATGAACCCATTTCCTGGTTAAGAAAAGAAGGAGCAACAACTTTAACATTTACATAGACAATGATTCAGTGTGTGTATACAGTAGGCCATAAATACAACTATACAGCACCTGATAGGTTGATTGATTTGATGGTGACATTGTCCAACAGCATTTTACAGACGCTGTCAGACCCTGCTGACTGGAGGTGGTTGTTGGAGAGGTTCTGGAACAGACACATATCCTATCAACCACTACAGATAATAATAATAATAATATGCCATTTAGCAGACGCTTTTATCCAAAGCGACTTACAGTCATGCGTGCATAAATGTTTTGTGTATGGGTGGTCCCGGGGATTGAACCCACTGCCTTGGTGCTACAAGTGCCGTGCTCTACCAGCTGAGCTACAGAGGACCACCAGATCGGTCGATTTGGGGATTGGGCCGTTGTTTGAAGCATAAACCAGAGCCACATGTAATACTCTGTAAGATGGTTATTATAGTAAACGAAAACTGAAACTAAAATTGGAAAAACTATTTAGTAAAATAAAATAATTAGGAAAAACATTTGAAAAACTAAAACTATAATGAAACTAGTAGCTTTGACTGCAAAACGAGCTCAAATAAAATAAAATAAACAAATTATGTTTTATTGTAAAAGAAAATTGGGGCACAAATCTATTGGGGTTTTCGAGCTTTTGAATCTGTCTGATAAATGCTGCCAGTAGATGGCAATGTTTCAAATAGGCCTAGCTTGTAACCATGTTTCCATCTACATTTTTTATGCGAGTAAAGTCATACCATATTTTTAAAAAATCTGGAAACAGGAAGTTTCAGTACAATTTTATAAAGGCCAAGTCGTAGTGGGAGGACCACACACCGTTTCATCGAGTGACTCCAAGTGACTTTTCGCAATTATGTGCAAATATTAATATAATAACCATCATACCGAAGTAAACTTGGAGTCACTCGATGATACGGTGTGTGGTCCTCCCACTATGACTCGGGAAACCTTGCAGTTTATTAGGCTACAGATTAAATAAGTATTGATTAACTTCACAGGGTGGTGAAAGTGCACAGTGAGCTTGATGCTCCTTTCCAATAAATATTGAGGGTCTTATTCTGGTGACATGATGATCGATGCGTGACTGCTGATTGACAAATAATAATAATCTCATTGTAGACTAGCCTACCCCCACAGACTTCCGGTATTGTTTTTGCGAGCTGTTGGTTAGGCCAGAGTAGGAACATTTGCCATTTAACACAATAGTTTTTGTTTAAAAAAATATTGGTGGAGTTGAAAATGCGATGGAAACACATTAACTTTAGATTTTTATTTTATGTGCACTATGTCATCGCACACTTTTTATCTGCAAAAAGTCAGTTTGGTGGAAACACACCATTGGTGGCAAAATGCCCATATTTTCTTTATGCGGATTTTAGAATATTTGCATGAAAATCTGTCGCCAATGGATGCGGTAAAGGAGTCAATAGACGCAGACATTCCATTGACCAGATTTTCACACATTCAACAAGTTTGATCTAACAAAGCAGATGTTGGTGAAATACGTCATGATTTATGTTTTGCAACAGGCCTACGCTGTTATTACTAAAGTATGATTTTGATATATTTGACTGTTTTCGCTGCATAACATGCGCAAGTTGTCCCTTTTCAGGCTTAGAAGAAGTGACTGCTAAATTCTAACTCCCTTTCATATAAACTGGTTAGCATAGCTAGCATACAGAAATCGGTGGTGGTAGTCAAAGTCATTTTTTTACTGTAATGCAGTTGATTGGTAACGATGACATGAACATGTGTTGGGGTTGACATCCATACAAGCATTATACTCCGATTTTTACCTCAACATAGTGTGAAATACACATATAAACAATAGCCTAAATGTATGCTAATTTTGTTAGGGGGCAATGAGACGACTCGGGATCTTTGCCCCACAGCCCTTTCCCCCACACGTTTCCATGGCAATTCCATTGTTTTGGTCGAGTTCGGTTGACCTCTTTACGGCATCTGTTGACCTCTTTACGGCATCTGTTGACCCTTCGCTAAGCCCCGCCCCAGAATTTTGGTTATCGAATCGCAGCGCTCCAATGGATAGAAACTGTAATCGAGTCCGACACTCCGGACAAGCTCACGTTTAAATGGCATGAAAGCCAATGAGGGCTATGGCAACAACTGATATTTTAAATGGCTAAATAATTTAACAGTGCACCTGGAGTACTTGCTACTGTGATTCCTGAAATGCAAAGCCTGTTTGATGGAGTATTTTTCGAATCCGAAATTATGCTTTTGTTTACATTGTTTGCTAGCTCAGCTGGTTAACTAGCTCTCAGTCTCATTGACCACCAAACGCTGCTAACGCTAGCTAGCGAGCCACTTAATATAACTTGTTTTCTCAAAATGCATGTTAGCTAGTGTCGTAGTAAATATAAAATGTTATAGCTTGGTCTGACTAAAATGTTGTGCAAGACCCATTTTGTGTTAGGAGCTTGTTTTCAATCAATGCTGTTCCTATGCAAGAACAATGGACAGAGGACCATATCTTGTCAAGGACAACACCCACGCCACAGGCCACAATCACTGTTGCTCCCCACGAGTTTCCCTTGAGACATACACACACACACACACACACATCATCACTGTTAACACACACACACACACACACACACACACACACACATCATCACTGTTAACACACACACACACACACACACACAAAATCCCCTCTTTTAGGCTGAACATTTGAAGACAGAGAACTCTACTCAGAGCCAATGCAACAGTGACACTAGCCTGGAGGGGACCTCGCCCAACTCATCAGGACCAATCAGAAGATCAGAACTACTAGATTCAACCTACATCATTTATTGCATAAAATGTCTGCACACAATGTTTCGGGGCTCTCTTCAGATAGCTCCCTACGAGTTTGACGAACGAGTCCGTGCACGCTTTTCCAGATATCTTTACCTCTGAATAAACTGCCTTTATTATACCATATCCACCCTGTCCAAAGTCTCTACTTGGTCTCAGTTCTCCAGTAAACTTGTGATTATCAACACTAGCTAAGTTAGCAATGTTATGAATTCAACTCCCATCTGCTGTCGACATCAGGATACGATTTGAGAGGACTAGTTAGCTCCAAAAGTGGTTATAGCTTTGGCTGCATGCTGGCAGTGAATTCAGTGGCTAGCCACACTACAAACATAATTTGACCAGGTTCCCGTGAAGCAATTGTAATGACAGTTCACCACAACATACTCAATAGTCTCCTGATTAGGGGAAGTCTGTGTTTAATTTAATTGTGTATTTGAAACATAGTTTGAGATCATTGTGAGGGGATTTCGCCACTGGTTGCATGGGGAATTGGGCTTCCCAGAAAATGTTGGTCTGAGGTTGCAACGTATTAACCAAGGGGGGCGGGGCTTAGCGAAGGGTCACATGGATGGAAACCTAGCTACACTCTTAGAAAAAAAAAGGTGCTATCTAGAACCTAAAAAGTTTCTTCGGCTGTCCCCGTAGGATAACCCTTTGAATAACCATTTTTGGTTCCAAGTAGAACCTTTTTGGCTTCAATGTAGAACCTTTTCCACAGAGGGTTCTACATGGAACCCAAAATGGTTCTATCTGGAACCAAAAAGGGTTCTACGTGGAAACAAAATGGGTTCTCCTATGGGGACAGCCAAAGAACCCTATTGGAACCCTTTTTTTCTAAGATAGAACCATTTTGAACGTGAACCATAGGCGAGAACAATGGCGTCAGCAAACCCAACGCCAGCAGTGGTTGGTCGCTAAAGGCAAAGCCCCATATGGGATTACTTTGAGTACATTGCTGGAAAGGACAAAATCAAATGTATTGTAGAGGTAGAAGAGGGCAGCCTGTGTGGAACAGAGATAAAAGGTGAAAAACCAAACCAACCTCAAAGTTCATCTCAACAGCACCCGCAAAGAATTTCAGCATAAAGACAAAGTGAGACCGCTATTATTATATTTTTTGAATTCGGTCAGGATTCGACTCCTGGTGTCATGTGAACACACATAAGACGTGGAAAACTCATAGAATTACAGTAAATTAGATTTATAACTGCTACATTTTCTCCTCGCTCGATGGCATAACGTGTAGAATGGCAGAAAATGAGCTTTAAAATGGCACATTTTTCTCTCTGCCAACAAGAAGGGTGTGATCAGTTTGAACAGTTTGGGTTGCGAGGTGGGGGTTTGTTACTACGCCGATAAATGACAATATCCATCTGGACCGTCTCAAAAAGTACTGCATTACCCCTGCTATAGGTCTACAACACATTAATAAATAGTACTGGAGTACCCCTGCTATAGGTCTACAACACATTAATAAATAGTACTGCAATACCCCTGCTATAGGTCTACAACACATTAATAAATAGTACTGCAGTACCCCTGCTATAGGTCTACAACACATTAATAAATAGTACTGCAATAACCCTGCTATAGGTCTACAACACATTAATAAATAGTACTGCAATAACCCTGCTATAGGTCTACAACACATTAATAAATAGTACTGCAATACCCCTGCTATAGGTCTACAACACATTAATAAATAGTACTGCAGTACCCCTGCTATAGGTCTACAACACATTAATAAATAGTACTGCAATACCCCTGCTATAGGTCTACAACACATTAATAAATAGTTCTGCAGTACCCCTGCTATAGGTCTACAACACATTAATAAATAGTACTGCAATACCCCTGCTATAGGTCTACAACACATTAATAAATAGTTCTGCAGTACCCCTGCTATAGGTCTACAACACATTCTGTACATGGCTCCTAGCCTCCCATCCATGAACTAAAACTAAAACTAAAACTGAAGGTAAATAATCTTAAAAAAAATAGAAATGTTTTTATAAAACTGAAACTAAGTAAAAACTAGTAAATCAATTCTGAAAACTAACTGAAACTAAACTGAATTTCTAATAAAAATCTAAAAACGAAGAATAAAAACGAATAGAAAATCACAAAACTATAATAACCTTGCTCTGTTAATATGACTCTGGCATTAGGAACCTACCCTGTGTCACCCTCTGGTGGAGGAAATTATATAACACTGGTAGAAACCAGAGCCATATAAACTACATCAGTGTTTCCCAACAGGGGGTACGCCTGCCCCTAGGGGTATGTGGGCAGTCCCCAGGTGGTACGTGGGAAGATTTTCAAAAATATGAAGAAAAAAATCTTGGGAAAAATATTACCCAAAAATATATATTCAATTTATTTCAATTTTAATAGGCAGGAAAACATTTATTGAGGTCACTGGTGTGAAGTCTGTAGTTATTGTATATTTATAGGGAAACTTTTTGGACTTCCCTGGCCTCTGCCCGCCAGCGGGTTGGCTCAATGTTTGATAGTTTGCTCCGCGCGCTAGAGTGCCTGCAGCTGTCATCCTCACAGAAACGATTCATGATAAACCAGTAGCTGATTCACTGAAGACTGTACCATTGTCAAACAACACGGTGTACCGTAGGACTGATGACATGGGCGTTTATATTGTTGATCAATTGGTGAAAAAAATAATAATTCTGGTCCATTTTCTCTGCAGTTGGACGAATCCACTGATGTCAGTGGGAAAGCCCAGTTGATTACGTTTGTTGCGATACAGAGACATTTCGGAAATGTATGAGCACATTATGTTCTGCAAGAAGCTAACTGGGAGAACTATAGTTGAGGATGTGTTTCACGTTATTGACGGTTGGAAATCCTGTGTGCACGGATCGTGCTGCATCAATGCCTGGGAGAGTGAAATGAGTAATTTACCACATAAAGACGGTCAATTCCACTGTATCATTCACAGAGAGGCATTGGCCAGCAAGATAATGAGTCCTGAGATACATTATGTTTTGAATGACGCAGTGACAGTAATTACCTTTATAATGTCCAGGCCTCTGAATCACCTACTGTTTGAAAGGCTCTATGATGACAGTGGGACAGCACCAGCAGCTGCTGCTTCACTTTGTGACATGTGCTGATGTAAAAGGGGCTTTATAAATACATTTCATTGATTCACACCGACGTCCGTTGGCTATCCAGAGGGAAAACGCTAGAGGGTTTTTGAGCTGCGTAAGTGATTTTCTGTCTGAGCACTCACGCCCCCTTGTGGCTGTGTTGGAGGACAGACTGGGGAGCCCGCCGTGCCTATCTTTCTGATGATGTGTTCAGCAAACTGAACAACCTGAATCTAACTCTGCAAGGTAAAGACACACTCATTCTAAACATGTATGACAACGTGTGTGGATTCATGAAGAAGATCAAACTATGGGGAGAGGAAATGTGAAGATGGGGAAATAAGTTGTTTCCAGCAGCTTGACATTTAACTTTTTACAGGTGATCCTATGGTGCAAATAGTAAGCTCACATTTATCCAAACTCAACAGTGAGTTCAACTCCTACTTCCCTGACATTGAAAACAAGTCTGCCAAACTTGACTGGGTGCGTAAACCACATTTTGGTCAAATTTACACCTAATCTAGGAATCACGCCGGTCGCACGCGCATGAGTGGGTACATCAGGCAGGTCAAATAGTTTTAGGGGTACAGTACCCCCAAAAAAGATTGGGAACTACTGCAATCCATGACCAAAAGTATGTGGACACCTGCTCGTCGAACATCTCATTCCAAAATCATGGGCATTAATATGGAGTTGGTCCCCCCCTCCCTTTGCTGCTATAACAGCCTCCCCTCTTCTGGGAAGGCTTTCCACTAGATGTTGGAACATTGCTGCAGGGACTTGCTTCCATTCAGCCACAAGACCATTAGTGAGGTCAGGCACTGATGTTGGGCGATTAGGCCTGGCTCGCAGTCGGCGTTCCAATTCATCCCAAAGGTGTTCGATGGGGTTGAGGTCAGGGCTCTGTGCCGGTCAGTCAAGTTCTTCCACACCGATCTCGACAAAACATTTCTGTATGGACCTCTCTTTGTGCACAGGGGGCATTGTCATGCTGAAACAGGAAAGGGGCCTTCCCCAAACTGTTGCCACAAAGTTGGAATCACAGAATCGTCTAGAATGTCATTGTCTACTGTAGCGTTAAGATTTCCCTTCACTGGAACTAAGGGGCCTAGCCCGAACCACAAAAAACAGCCCCAGACCATTATTCCTTCTCCACCAAACTTTACAGTTGGCACTATACATTGTGGCAGGTATCGTTCTCCTGGCATCCGCCAAACCCAGATTAGTCCGTCAGACTGCCAGATGGTGAAGCGTGTTTCATCACTCCAGAGAACGCGTTTCCACTGCTCCAGAGTCCAATGGCGGCGAGCTTTACACCACTCCAGCCGACGCTTGGCATTGCACATGGTGATCTTAGGCTTGTGTGAGGCTGCTTGGCCATGGAAACCCATTTCATGAAGCTGCCAACTAACATTTATTGTGCTTATGTTGCTTCCAGAGGCAGTTTGGAACTCGGTAGTGGAGTGTTCCAACAGAGGACAGACGATTTTTACACACTATGCGCTTCAGCACTTGGCTGTCCCGTTCTGTGAGCTTGTGTGGCCTACCATAATATAATAATAATATAATATGCCATTTAGCAGACGCTTTTATCCAAAGCGACTTACAATCATGTGTGCATAAATTTTTACGTATGGGTGGTCCCGGGGATCAAACCCACTACCCTGACGTTACAAGCGCCATGCTCTACCAATTGAGCTACAGAGGCCACTTCGCGGCTGAGCCGTTGTTGCTCCTAGACGTTTCCACTTCACAATAACAGCACTTACAGTTGACCGGGGCTGCTATAGCAGGGCAGAAATGTGAACTTGTTGGAAAGGTGGCATCCTATGACGGTGCCACATTGAAAGTCACTGAGCTCTTCAGTAAGGCCATTCTACTGCCAGTGTTTGTCTATGGAGATTGCATGGCTGTGGGCTCGATTTTATACACCTATCAGCAATGGATGCGGATGAAATAGCAGAATCCACTAAGTTGAAGGGGTGTCCACATACTTTTATATATATAGTGTATATAGAGCAGGACTTCCCAACCCTGTTCCTGGAGAGCTACCCTCCTGTAGGTTTTAATTTCAACCCTGTTCCCGGAGAGCTACCCTCCTGTAGGTTTTAATTCCAACCCTGTTCCTGGAGAGCTACCCTCCTGTAGGTTTTAATTCCAACCCTGTTCCTGGAGAGCTACCCTCCTGTAGGTTTTAACTCCAACCCTGTTCCCGGAGAGCTACCCTCCTGTAGGTTTTAATTCCAACCCTGTTCCTGGAGAGCTACCCTCCTGTAGGTTTTAATTCCAACCCTGTTCCTGGAGAGCTACCCTCCTGTAGGTTTTAATTCCAACCCTGTTCCTGGAGAGCTACCATCCTGTAGGTTTTAATTCCAACCCTGTTCCTGGAGAGCTACCGTCCTGTAGGTTTTAACTCCAACCCTGTTCCTGGAGAGCTACCGTCCTGTAGGTTTTAATTCCAACCCTGTTCCTGGAGAGCTACCCTCCTGTAGGTTTTAATTCCAACCCTGTTCCTGGAGAGCTACCCTCCTGTAGGTTTTAATTCCAACCCTGTTCCTGGAGAGCTACCCTCCTGTAGGTTTTAATTCCAACCCTGTTCCTGGAGAGCTACCCTCCTGTAGATTTTAACTCCAACCCTGTTCCCGGAGAGCTACTGTCCTGTAGGTTTTAATTCCAACCCTGTTCCTGGAGAGCTACCCTCCTGTAGGTTTTAATTCCAACCCTGTTCCTGGAGAGCTACCCTCCTGTAGGTTTTAATTCCAACCCTGTTCCTGGAGAGCTACCCTCCTGTAGGTTTTAACTCCAACCCTGTTCCTGGAGAGCTACCCTCCTGTAGGTTTTAATTCCAACCCTGTTCCTGGAGAGCTACCCTCCTGTAGGTTTTCACTCCAACCCTGTTCCTGGAGAGCTACCCTCCTGTAGGTTTTAACTCCAACCCTGTTCCTGGAGAGCTACCCTCCTGTAGGTTTTAATTCCAACCCTGTTCCTGGAGAGCTACCCTCCTGTAGGTTTTAACTCCAACCCTGTTCCTGGAGAGCTACCCTCCTGTAGGTTTTAATTCCAACCCTGTTCCTGGAGAGCTACCCTCCTGTAGGTTTTAACTCCAACCCTGTTCCTGGAGAGCTACCCTCCTGTAGGTTTTAACTACAACCCTGTTCCTGGAGAGCTACCGTCCTGTAGGTTTTAATTCCAACCCTGTTCCTGGAGAGCTACCCTCCTGTAGGTTTTCGCTCCAACTCTAATCTAGCACACCTGATTCTAATAATTAGCAGGTTGATAAGATGAATCTGGTTAGTAACACCTGGGGTTGGAGCGAAAACCTACAGGAGGATAGCTCTCCAGGAACAGGGTTGTTATAGAGAATTGGGCCAACTTTTTAGAATGGATGCCATGTTAGCGCCTTTGAGCATTCAATTTATCCATTCATGATGAGAATTTGAAGTCTTGTACATAGCATTGTTTAAAAATCATAAAATTCAGTGAACTGCTATTGGTCAATATTGCCCATGGGGAGCTAACCATAGAAATATAATACATTAGTTATATTTCTATAGAGCTAACATGGCTGCCATGGAATGTAGTGCCATGTAAATGCATCATAATGCAGAAAGCTCAATGTCCTAACTCCCTAGATATATGGCTCTGGTGGAAACCAATGTTTGTGTAGAGGTTTTCCTTGAGAATCTCCATGTCCCCTCAGCCAGTGTAGCGTACCCATAAAGATATCCATGTAATACTATTCTATAATACTATTCTTTAACACTATTCTCTTAATACTTTTCTATACGTACTAGACTCTGGATAGTAAAGTTCTCCTTGAGCATCTCCATGAGGTAGCCAATCCCCTCAGCCAGAAGGTGGTTGTCCTTCAGCTCCAGGTTACTGATCTGCACGTCGCTCTATACGGCAACACACACAGACACAACCTATGGACCTACAGTCAACATACCACCACCCCTCCATGAGCGTAACAAGAGATCTCTGTAGCACCAACCTGACAACCCTATGGCGCCAGCCTGCTATACAGATAGATAGTCGATATACACTACCAGTCAAAATTTTGGACACACCTACTCATTCCAGGGTTTTTCTTTCTTTCTTTTTTACATTTTTTTTTACATTGTAGAATAATAGTGAAGACATCAGAACTATGAAATAACACATATGGAATCATGTAGTAAGCAAAAAAATGTTAAACAAATAAAACATGTATTTTATATTTGAGATTCTTCAAATAGCCACCCTTTGCCTTGATGACAGCTTTGCACACTCTTGGCATTCTCCAAACTTTTGACTGGTACTGTATGTCAAGTATTTTTGAGGCCTAGGCTTGAAAGTATCAATCTCCTCAAAAAGGAGAAAATTAAAAGACAGTTTCCCCCTCTTTCTATCTCAACCCCATGGTGGGTGGTTCATACTACTCACCAGGAGGGTGATGGCCAGGGCTTTAGCACCCAGCGGTCCCAGGCCATGATGGTTGAGGTCCAGGGTGCCCTGCTGGTTGAGGTCCAGGGTGGTGGAGGCTAGCTGACGGAGGACGTAGGAGCAGGGGATCACGGCCGTCAGACGACAGGCCACCAGGTAGAGCTCTGTAGGGGAGACCAGCCTGCCTCTCCTGTCCTGCTCTGGAGGATGAGAGGAGAGGAGAGGAGAGGAGAGGAGAGGAGAGGAGAGGAGAGGAGAGGAGAGGAGAGGAGAGGAGAGGAGAGGAGAGGAGAGGAGAGGAGAGGAGAGGAGAGGAGAGGAGAGGAGAGGAGAGGAGAGGAGAGGAGAGGAGAGGAGAGGAGAGGAGGATCCCCATTAGCCGATGCCAATGGCTAGTCTTACTGAGGTCCGACACATAATGAAAAATACATTACAGAAAAATACTTTACAATTTACATACATCTTAAAACATTAACATGTAGTGTGTGTGTGTGTGTGCATCTATCAGTTACACATACATGTCAGTACATACACACAGCAAGTAGGTCACATGGGGGAAGGGCGTTGTGCCGTGAGGTGTTGCTTTTTTAAAATCATGTTTGCTTTTCACTTGTGCTATATAAGATGGAAGGGAGTTCCATGTACTCATGGCTCTGTATAATACTGTAAGTTTCCTTGAATTTGTCCTGGACCTGGAGACTGGTGGGGTAAGTGTGTGTGGCAGTGCTGTGTGTAAGTTGACTATGCAAACAATTTGGAATTTCCAAAACATTAATGTTTCTTATAAAAACAAGAAGTGACGCAGTCAGTCTTTCCTCAACTCTTAGCCAAGAGTAACTGGCATGCATAGTATTAAAATTAGCCCTCTGATTACAATGAAGAGCAAGACGTGCCACTCTGTTCTGGGCCAGATGCAGCTCAACTAGGTCTTTCTTAGCAGCACTTGACCATACGACTGGACAATAATCAAGATAAGATCAAACTAGAGCCTGCAGGACTTGCTTTGTGGAGTGTGGTGTCAAAAAAGAGGAGAGGAGAGGAGAGGAGAGGAGAGGAGAGGAGAGGAGAGGAGAGGAGAGGAGAGGAGAGGAGAGGAGAGGAGAGGAGAGGAGAGGAGAGGAGAGGAGAGGAGAGGAGAGGAGAGGAGAGGAGAGGAGAGGAGAGGGTTACTGGCCCAAAGGCAGACACGGAGAATCCCTGAAAAGCAATGAAAAAGTCACATTTGATGTGCTGTAGAGTATTTAAAATGTACTGTAGTGTATGGTGAAATACACACTCACTCACTCACACATCTCGCTCTTTCTCTCTCTCTCATACACACACACACACAAACAAACACACCCCACCTCTCCACCCCACCCTCCCCCACCCCACCCCACCTCTCCACCCCCCTCTCCACCCCCACCTCCCCCACCCCCTCTCCACCCCACCCCCTCCCCCCACCCCACCTCCCCCACCCCCCCACACACAGCTCCACCACAGTAGTACCATCAGCCTCCAGGTCTGTGTCCCACTCGTCGCCGCTGTCAGGCTGCTCTGCTGGGGTTGGCTCTGGGCTCTCGTCCTGGTCCGACCCCACCGTGTCCTCCTCCCTATCCCCATCTCCGTCCCTGTCCTCTGGGGCAGGTAGAGCCCTCTCGTCCTGGTCCGACCCCACCGTGTCCTCCTCCCTATCCCCATCTCCGTCCCTGTCCTCTGGGGCAGGTAGAGCCAGCACCTCCCCCTCGCTCTGAGACATCACTGCTTTGCATGTTTGGGGTCAATTAGAAATTGAAGGTAATCAATTCAGGAAGTGATTTGAATGTAAAATACTTTTCAGATGATTTAGAATTCATTGAAAATCTATGATTTATTTATTTATTTATTATTGAATTAGATTTTCAGTTTACTTCCTGAATTGACTGCCCTCAATTCTACTTGACCCCAACCCTGCTGCCCTTGCCTTCAGCACCTCACTAAGACCACACCAGTGACAGGAGGGAGAGAGAGGGAAGCATCTCTGATCCATGTTACTGCACTGTATGGTTTTGTGGTAGTGTAATTCATTCATAATTAGTATGTAAATATTAAATCCTACTTAGTGCTAGTGTAATGAATTCATACTTAGTGCTAGTGTAATGAATTCATACTTAGTGCTAGTGTAATGAATTCATACTTAGTGCTAGTGTAATGGATTCATACTTAGTGCTAGTGTAATTAATTCATACTTAGTGCTAGTGTAATGAATTCATACTTAGTGCTAGTGTAATTAATTCATACTTAGTGCTAGTGTAATTAATTCATACTTAGTGCTAGTGTAATGAATTCATACTTAGTGCTAGTGTAATGAATTCATACTTAGTGCTAGTGTAATGAATTTATACTTAGTGCTAGTGTGATGAATTCTTGTTTTACCATTTATTCATAGCTACAGTTATTCTCATTGAGAACTGTATTGATTGTTGGTCAGATGTTTATGAAGAGATATATCTGGAACTGTCTTTATAGATTTGAACAAAAACTATAAACAGATTTCAAACATATGGAAATGTATGTGCATTAGATATGCCTAATAATGGTGTTCATTGTTATGATACCTTAGGTGTCTTGAGAAGCAGCTGTGAGGGAGTCTGAGATGAGGTAAGAAAAACAGTGAGATTCCATCAGTGACAACAACACTAAATAATTTAGAATGTAGAACCCATTGTTGCCTAGGTAACTAGTGCAGCAAAATTCTAGAACCCACAGAACAATATAATAGCATCACAAAGGAAAGAGATGAATAGAGTACTAATCTTTAAATCTATAGCTACAGAGACAGAGACAGTCATGCCTGTCAGATGTAACCATAGAGATCCTGTTAAATTACTAGAGGGGCTACAGTTTGTCATAAATCCTCAAAGTTCCAGAATGGGGTGAAAATGGCAGCCATATTGGTCAGACAGAAATCCAAACCAGTCTAATTGGAATGAATGGCAGTAGAGGCTTAATCCTGATTTTAATTATGCAGGAAAATAAAAGTAAGGCATGTGATATGTCAGAAATTGTGTAATAGAATTATCGTCAACCTAAAATATTGTCATATAACTAGAAATACACTTTATAAGGGTTTTATGCACATTTCCTGTACAAATAGCCTCTGAAATTGCATTTTATTTATTTTGCAGGATGATATCTCTTGAGATGCACCATCTCGTTTTCTCGTTTCAAAATAAAATAAACAATACTTAGTAACAAAAACAATATGGTAACTACTGTCTAATAATAATAACAATGAAATAATAATAATAATAATAATAAAAACGTATATTAACAACTACTAACAGGCCTACAACTAATAAAACTACTGCTACAACTACTAATACAACTAATATAAACTACTGCTACAACTACTAATAAAACTACTGCTACAACTACTAATACAATTAATAAAACTACTGCTACAACTACTAATACAACTAATAAACTACTGCTACAACTAATAAACTACTGTTACAACTACTAATACAACTAATACAAACTACTGCTACAACTACTAATACAACTAATACAATGACTGCTACAACTACTAATACAACTAATAGAAACTACTGCTACTACTACTAATACAACTAATAAAACTCCTGCTACAACTATTAATACAACTAATACAAACTACTGCTACAACTACTAATACAACTAATACAATGACTGCTACAACTACTAATACAACTAATACAACGACTACTACAACTTCTAATACAACTAATAAAACTACTGCTACAACTACTAATACAACTAATACAACGACTGCTACAACTACTAATACAACTAATAAAACTACTGCTACAACTACTAATACAACTAATAAAACTACTGCTACAACTACTAATACAACTAATACAATGACTGCTACAACTACTAATACAACTAATACAACGACTACTACAACTTCTAATACAACTAATAAAACTACTGCTACAACTACTAATACATCTAATAAAACTACTGCTACAACTACTAATACAACTAATAAAACTCCTGCTACAACTACTAATACAAATAATACAACTACTGCTACAACTACTAATACAACTAATACAAACTACTGCTACAACTACTAATACAACTAATACAAACTACTGCTACAACTACTAATACAACTAATAAAAACTACTGCTACAACTACTAATACAACTAATACAACGACTGCTACAACTACTAATACAACTAATAAAACTACTGCTACAACTACTAATACAACTAATAAAAACATCTGCTACAACTACTAATACAAATAATAAAATTAAGTACTTATAACTACATATTTACAAATATCTTCACATGGCTATGATTCTATTAGTTAAAAGCACAAACAGTTTGTTCTTAACATTTGAAAGATATATAATGGCATCCAAGAATGAATCAGCAAAGATATAATGGCATCCAAGAATGTATCAGCAAAGTCAGGTCTTGATCGTGTTTTGATAGATGATGTCACCATAGTCTAGGATAGGAAGCAGCAGTTGGGTTACTAAGGTCTTTCTAATGGATACAGTAAAACCATTATTAGATCTAAATAGTAAGCTTATAGTTAATTGTTTGTCTAATATAATCAATATGCTTTCCAAAAGATAATTCAGAATCTATCCTCACACCCAGATATTTCAAACAATCAACACTTTAAAGCATTGTTCCATCACTTTGGGGATGTTGATCTCCTGGTTCCATGTATACCTAGCATTGATGCAATTGTAGGTGAATTTATTATCTGAGGTACCAGGTGAGCTAATAGATGATGCTGATTAAAACATCAGCTATATCTGCCGGCTCTTGAATGACACCGTCATTTAGGATTATTTGCTGAATAGGTTAATTATTTGACCTATTTAAAATGTTATTTGTGTATTTCCAGAACTGCTGTGAATCTTTTTTAATTATTTGAAAGACTATCCATATGGAAGGAGGCTTTTTGCATTTCTAGTTTTGGTTTTACCTGCCGTTCCTTTATTTTTTATAGGACTCCTAGTCAGTTGGACCTTTAGTTCTCCGGTACTTAGCCCCGGCTTTATCCCTTTCTCTCAACAGATGTATTAAGGCAGAGCTAACCCAGGGCAGGTGACGGCCCTTAACCTTTTACTGCAGTGGGCTAAATCAGGGTCACACAGAGTGATTCTTGGTAGTCTTAAATAAATCTACTTTGAAACAAAAGTATACACCTCACACACATGGTTATGGGCTTTAAAAAAAATAAGACACCTGTACCATGTCAGATATAGAGTAGAAATGTACACTGTATATACATCACAGAAGACTGAAATACAACAGAACTGTTTGACATTGAAACACCAGATTTTTTGTTGTAAAAAAAACAACAACACTTTATTAATTATGAAATTATGAAAAATATTAATAACATTCCACCCATGAGGCCAAAGAGGGCTCTTTTGGTCATTGACTGCAGGAAAGGGTTACCTTTCACTGTTCTCCAAGGTGCATGTTCATCACATACCTTAATGAATTCAGTGAGAAAGTAATCCCATGCATTTTGGGCTGTTGGGATTAGTTGGAATCTTTGCCAGTTTATGGATATCAAATCATCAATGAAATAATCAATATTTACATTTTTACATTGTAATGAAATTAATCAATTTGGGTGGTGCTTCAGGTATGTTATTTTTACAAACCCAGTAGATGATGGAATGATCACTGAAACAGTTTGGAAGAACACCTGAATTTATAATCCTGTCAGAGCCAAAATCCCCAAATGAGTTTGTGCATTAACATATTTTCAATGTATTTTTATATCCTCAGCAGAGGATTTATCTAGCCAGTTCTTATTCAAGTAACCTAAAATAATCCATTAATTTGACCAATGCATTGAATTAACAGTGGTGATAATATTGTTTCTGGAGTCTACTGGGGCATTGGGTGGTCTGTAAATGCTACTAGTCATCAATGACTAGTTCTCATGTAGCATTATTTTAACAAATAAACCTTTAAAATCTAAAGGGATAATCTCTGGTGAAGTCTTCATAGACAGTCATTTATCGAAGGGCATAGGTTGCTTCTCCCCTACCTCGAGTGCACCTATCAATTCTATATAATATGTAACCCTGGACTTTTAACTCGGTGTCTGAAATTTTGCTATTCAACCATGTCTCTGAAATTCTTAATATGTGTGGCTTATGAGTTTATTTTTTAATATATATATTTATTTTTTACACCTTTTTTTTCTACCCAATTTCGTGATATACAATTGGTAGTTACAATCTTGTCCCATCGCTGCAACTCCAGTATGGACATGGGAGAGGCGAATGTCGAGAGCCGTGCGTCCTCTGAAACGTGACCCGCCAAGCCACACTGCTTCTTGACACGCTGCTCGCTTAACCCGGAAGCCAGCCGCACCAACGTGTGGGAGGAAACACCGTACAGCTGGCGACCTGAAATCAGCGTGCATGCGCCGGCGCCACAAGGATCGTAGAGCGCGATGGACAAGCATTCAGCGGCAAACCCTCCCTAACCGGACGACGCTGGGCAATTGGCGCCTTATGGGTCTCGTAAGATTCTACCAGCTCCGAGCATGTCTATTTTGGTAGCAGGTAGCTATTTTACAGATAAATTCTTTAAGCCTTTAGTTTGTATCTATCTTGAATTGACATGAGTAAATAATACAATTAATGAAGGTACTAATGAATGCATCCTCGTACTCGAGGCATATTCAGGAGTGTATATATATAAGTTCAGGCCTGGTGCCATTAGATACTCTCGGGGAGCTCCTGGGATTTCTCACATGTTCTGTAGCTTGTTGAGTTGTTGATGGGACTGTGAGGTGCTCCTGGATGTTACGTAGCAAATACTTCTCTGGTAGATGGCTGGGGTTTACAGGATGTTACCTTAGCATAACTCTTCTGGGTAGATGGCTGGGGTTTACAGATTGTACCGAGATCAAGGACAAATATGTTCTTGAGTGTACTTTTAACGGAGCTTAGATATACTTCAAAGTGCATTCACCCTGTTGCTTACACCTATCAAGTTGTTTCAGATCTACACAAGTGCCTGGGGAGGAGGGGTTAGGGTTTCTTCTGGGCA